CTAGGAGTTTACGTGGGCTTATAGAATCAGAGAATTGTAGAGTTGGAAGGGACCCCAAGGGTCATCTAAAAGTTCAAAAGCACGTCAAGTGCAGGTAGATAAATAGGTACCATTCCGACGGGAAGGTAAACGGCATTTCCGTGCGCTGTTCTGGTTTTGCCAGAAGCGGCTTAGTCATGCTGGCCACATGACCCTGAAAAACTGTCTGCAGACAAACGCCGGCTCCCTTGGCCGATAGAGCGAGATGAACGCGCAACCCCAGAGTCGTCCACGACTGGACCTAACGGTCAGGGGTACCTTTACCTTTACCTTTACCAAGGGTCATCTAGTTCAACCCCCAACAATACAGGAATCTCAATGCAGGCTTGTCTTTACAATCACCGAAAGTGCGCGACAAAAGCCTTCTAGACAGTGTATTGTACTTCTGCAAGCGACTTTTCAATGGCAGCTCTTCTGCGATAAGGGGACAGGCCATGTGTTGCATGTAGGTCCTAGGTTCAAATCTCTGGCACCTCCAGTCTGTCTGAGATCCTGGAGAGCTGCTGCCTGTTAGTGTAGGAAATACTGAACTAGATGGACCATCAGCTTGCCTTGCTGTAAGGCAGCATCCTACAAAAACATCACACACACCATTGCTTCTCTGTTGCTGCTGCAATCTGAAGCCAGAGAACATTGGCAAGAGGCTTGCAGATTGATATGCGTACAGGGTTTTAAACAGTGGAGGGAAGGAAGAAGGAATTTGACATTTTTAGGTTGGCTGGGTTTTTTAAAAAATTGCTCAGTTAGATTTAGCTTCTAAAAATCTTTAATTCCCCATGCAACTGTAGAGATGTGGCTTTGATCATGCTGTTTTATTGATGCTCTCGCTATTGTTTTAAATATTTTGTTTGTGTGACTTTTGAAGGAGAACCTTTGGTTTTGAAAAATGGCATACAACTTGAAATAATCACAATTCCTATTACCCGTCTCTTTAAAATTAAAAAATAAAAATCATGTTATTGCCTTGAGAGCAATGTGCTTTTGCCACCTTCCATTGCTGTCCCACTGACTGTCTTGCCTCCCTCCCTCCCCTATGTTCTGTGGGATAAAATTAGAATTCATTAGAGCAAAATAACCAGCAGAGAAGCTGTATTCTCTCTCTACATCACCACAGAGCTTTTAGAGAGCCATTCACCATCTCTGGGCAATCTCTCATGATAACCTAGCAATATCCTGCCTGCAGATAGTAGATGCAAGCTGACAGTGGTGCTCTAGTGGAAAAGGTAAAAAAAACCTATGCTCCTCTAAACATGCAATCCCCACCACTACCACGTCAGACTCTCCAAGTATATCTATTTTCCAGGAACAGTTCCAGATTTACAAAAGCTGTCCCAGTTTCTGATTTGATCTTAGAAAGTCCCGTTTTTCCTTAGGATGTTCCTATTTTCATCAGAGAAATGTTGGAGGGTATGGAGTTATGCGACCCCCCAAGCCAAGGAGATAAGTAACTATACCTTTAAAAGACATCTGAAGGCAGCCCTGTATAGGAAGTTTTTTAAAATGTTTAATGTTTTATTATGTTTTTATATATGTTGGAAGCTGCCCACAGTATCTGGGGCAACCCTGTCAGATGGGTGGGAGACGAAGAAGAAGAAGAAGAATCGGAAGAGGACGTCCCTATTTCCATTGGAGAAATCTTGTAGGGTATGCCACACACAGCACCCTATTCCTGCATAATAGTCATACATCAGTGGAACATATCCTTTCCAAATATTTGGGGGTTGGGGTTGGGTTCTTGTTAAAATGCTTGAAGTTTAAACTGAACACTCGACAAATTACAAAGAAATTCTAATGACAGGGACATACAGTGGTACCTCAGGTTAAGTACTTAATTCGTTCCAGAGGTCTGTACTTAACCTGAAACTGTTCTTAACCTGAAGCACCACTTTAGCTAATGGGGCCTCCTGCTGCTGCTGCGCCACCGCCACACAATTTCTGTTCTCATCCTGAAGCAAAGTTCTTAACCTGAAGCACTATTTCTGGGTTAGCGGAGTCTGTAACCTGAAGCATAGGTAACCTGAAGCGTATGTAACCCGAGGTACCACTGTATCATAAACAGAATCTCCATATCATAAAAAGACTCTAAAAGATGTCTGTGAGACCCATGAACTGCATTCCACGTAGCAATCAAAATAGCCGTGACTATCCTAACTGCAGAAAGTACAACAGGATGCAAAATAACTGTGCTCTAAGTGTCTTGACAATGCAATATCCCCAAAGAGAAATATTTCTTTTGAGAAATACACGGGGAGGTAAGGAAGAATAGGTAAGCCAATCTTTTAAGACTGGAGACACTGGGCCAGGAAACTAAGGGGAGGAGGCAAAGAAGTGATGGAGGATCTGAAAGGCATATATTGATTTTAACTAACCCACCTACAGATCTCTCGAGTTAATGTTAATCAGCCTCTAGAGAAGTTCAGCTTAAAATGAAGAGTTCTGCTTTGATCTAGCAATTCAGTGCCTGTAAAACTTAATCTTGCATATTCAAATTTCTAATAGCATAATTTAGTGAAAAATTCCCTTAACGATACTAACACTTGGTAACGTTTTTAGGTGAAACTGATCAGAGTAAAAAGTAAATTACCAAAATAGTAGTTAGGAGCCCTGAAAGAGCAGGGGGAGTTGATTTTTTTAAAGAAATAAAAACGTATGCCCCAAATAATTCGCAAACTGCAGGGAAATAACCAACCGATTACTGTTATGGTAAATATATAATGAAATTAGTAATTATGATAATTGAAACCACCATGTAAACAATAATTCAATCGTAACAAATAATGAACACTTAGAATTTTGGATGTAATCCAGTATATTTGGCTGTTTTCCAAGGTGCAAGTATGAAATAGTAGAAGGGCCACTGATTAATTGTGAGAACCTAACCTCCAATTGTGATGTTTAGTTGAGGATAGGATAACAATATGGAGTGCTAACCTACTGAGTTTAATGGGTCTTACTGCTAAGTAAACAAGTATAGGAAGGTGGGCTAAACATCTTATGCTGGCAAAACTCAAAGTGGCACATCAGTGTATTGAAACTACAGCGGCACAGATTTATAACAATGGCATGCTAGTTTAAGTTCTGGCTTAGCAGCGGATGGCATGGAACTGCCTGAGTCCTAAGAACACCAGTTAATAAGAACCCCCAATATAACACATCCCATCTTAGACTTGTTTCAGAGCTTGCGCTTCAACAGATCCAGGTTGCAGCAGATCCCACTCTGGTTATTGAACCAATTCATATATTTGCACTTCCTAGTTATAATGTTTATCTCCCCATTTCCAACAGAAGCCTTACCCCATCTATGGGGCAATAGAACAGGGAATAAGTGATACATGAGGTTTGGGAGGCTGCTAGCGGACACATGAAATGATTCATGGGCTACATACCATTCTTCTGGGGGAAAAGAACTGTTTTGCCAGGGTTGCATCACAGCTGCTTTGTCAATAGAGTGGGCGTGACAGAGTGCAAGGCTAGGTTGGAGGAAGCACCTAGCCTGAATGGAATCTCTTGTCTCCTCTTGCATAAGAGGCTCTAGCCCTGACAATGCAGTGACAGTCTCTGGCCCTGGTGTGCTGACCTTCCCATGACCCTGCAACAAAATGCATATAAAGGAGCTTCCTTGTAGTGGACTGAAGGGAACTTACAGAACAGGGAGGCTGCTGTGGCCAAAGGTGGCTTTAAGTGTAATGCAAAAAGAGAGAGAGAGAGTTGGCAATCTCTAGTGGAGTAACGGGCTTGGCAGGGATCAAGAGCACTTGGGGTGTTTTTCCATTTTTGCCCATGACTTTATCTAAGACCCTGAGTACTGAAGCACCAGTTCACACATGTGGATGCATCTCTAAGTATGTATCATCCATCAGTCAATGATTTTGTCACTCGAAGGTAAATATGTGAATTGCCTCTGCCAAAGGATATTGCATTTATAAGCTCTGTGGAAGTTCTGTACGTAGCATCTGATATGTGGTGGGTGTTGAATGTACATGTGAGAGGACTCATTCAAGGTCTCACTGGGTGGGTGCGAGAGGTGGACAGAAAACATCACCTATGATCCTCTACCCCAACTCAGAAAACAAGAATGCAAGATAACCCTTTCTTAGACATTATCACAGCTTCCATTTTTAAAAATGTTTGTTGCAGCTGTTTTTAACAAATTACTGCTACTGTACCTTATATACTCACTATTGTGTGGTGTAAGGTGGTGGAGGCCGTCATAGCACAGCAACAAGGGGCTCCCTGAGAGTGGTTTTTGTTGTTGCTGCTGCTGTGTGGTTTGCTTGTTTTGCCTCTTCACATTTAAAAAACAACAAAATATTTTATTAATCTTTCAGATATATACAGGACCATAAGATTCAACAAGAAGGAAAACAATACCCCCTAGCCCCTTCTGTAGTAGCCAACAATGAGTGCATCTAGCATGTCTATATGTTTTAAATTTTGTTTGATACTTTATAGTGTTAGCCATGTTGAGAAACTTTGGATGGAAAGATGGGGTACACATTCATAAATGGGAGTTGCTAATTCGGTTAATGTGTTTCAAATTAAACTTGCTTTTGCTCTTATTTTAATCTGGGGGAAACGCCTCCCTACTCCTCTGAAAAGCTGGGAACAGGAACTGACAATATGGCAGAGCATGATCCTCGTCATTCCAGCCCATTTCATGGGAAAGGACTGGTTTCTGCTGCATAATGGTAAACTTGTTTGCCTGTTTGTTTGTCTGGTGGGGAGCATACTCCGCAGATCTTCGCTTTGGCCAATATGATATCTGATGCCAAGCATCCAGTTGCCAGTGGCAATTGATAATACCATGCAACCCCGGAAGATGACACATTGGCGTCTTGAAAGGGCCCAGGAGAATTGCAGGATGCATCCCTGACAGGTGCATCTTGCCATAAATAGCAAAGCTGAGCAAAGGGACCTGGCCTTATAAAAGCCAGGGAGGTGGTTTTAGCTTTCCAAAAAGGAGCCTCCAAGACACAGCCTGAGGAAATTCTGCGGGAGGTAAGTGCTTGCTGTGGATATAGTCAATGCCTAGAGAGAGGCAAGCTAATGTATTAATATGGTAGTCAGAGGGAGGGGACAGTTAGAGAAAAACTGCTAAGTTTTTTCAAGAGCATTAAGAGTCACACTCAGAAAATCCCTGTGATTAGTGAAAGAGGGAAAGAATGAAACTAGTGGAGGCAGTCAAACAATCCAGTTCTGAGAGCTAGAATAGTTTGAGAGCTTAGTAAACTGGTTAGGAATACTAGCTTTGTTGAAGGGATGTTCTATGAACCAAAAAGGTTGTTGGCATTTAATCAAATCAGTGACCCTGGCTCACATGGAACACCTGTGGTGCACAGCACAGGTCCGATGGCTATGGAAAACCAACACATTGAAAAGCTAACATCCCATGGTATTTCAGGCAACAGGTGCTGAAACCACCGATTGAAAGTTGCAATAAAGGAATTGGTGGTGGTATTGCTGTGGAAAGGATAGCCAAGTTATATAGTTAAAAAAGGTAAAGGCAGATGCATACTGATGTTTGCGTGTGTCTTTGTTTGTTTGTTTGTGAAGGAGGGGATTTTGAAAAGTGGGAGCCAGTTGGCTCTTCATGCTATAGCCTGATTAATGGCGTACTGTGAATTAGGAGATGGCTCCTGGGTTGCTGTTCCTCTAGCATAAGAGTGGGATGCAACAGGCCATGGACCTTGGTGTAGTGTTATGTCCGATATATATATTGTGGTTTGTTTTGCTCAGTTAAACCCTGATTGGGAAGCCAAGAACAAACTTTGAATTCAGATGAGAAACCACAATCCATAGTTTGGATGTAGTGCTAAGTCAAGGGTCATTCTTTGTTGCTGCTGCTAGGGGAGGAGTAAAGCCATTAGCTATGTTGTTCAGTCCCTGCTCCTGCCAACCTAGCAGTTTAAAAGCACATCAAAGTGCAAGTAGATAAATAGGTACCGCTCCGGCGGTAAGGTAAACAGCGTTTCCATGCGCTACTCTGGTTTTGCCAGAAGTGGCTTAGTCATGCTGGCCACATGACCCGGAAGCTGTCTGCGGACAAACGCCGGCTCCCTCAGCCAGTAAAGCGAGATGAGCACGGCAACCCCAGAGTCATCCGCAACTGGACTTAACGGTCAGGGGAACTTTACCCTTTTTTACCTGTAATGTAAGCCATTAATGATGGCTAATGATGGCTAAATGTGACCCTTAAACAAGGCCTGCGTGTGTGATGCTTTGACTACACCCACATGCTCAGGACTGGAGATGGAACAATCTGCCCATTTCAGATCTCTGTTTCTCCTTTTCCCAGTCTTGGATTCAGTTCTCCACATTTCTACAGCAACCCGCAAATTTTATTTTTAAAAGTCCTCATGAAAATTCTTCAACAATTTTGGGTGAATTTCTTCTGATAAACATGTTTGTATGCAGTTTTGACCAACCTACACATTTTTGCAGGCAATTCCTCCTACTACAAAGCATTTTTGTATGTTATCATCACCAATGTATTCCCTTGTTTGCACGTTTGTCTCCAATCTCATACCCTCCAACATTTATCTGATGAAAACAGGAACATCCTAAGGAAAAGTGGGAAATTCTGGAATCAAATCAGAAACCGAGATGGCTTCTCTAAATCAGGAATGTCTCTGGAAAATAGGGACACTTGGAGGGTCTGCAATCTATGGTTTTTTGGTTGGAGAGCTTTATCACAAAATTCAAATAGGTTTTTGCTCCCCTGTGTTTTTAGAAAGTGCAAATCTGATAGATTCGGCTTTAAATGCAAACTGAATTGAATTACTCCCCCTTGCCTACTCAGGACTCCAATGCACAAGCCTGCTCTTGCTGCTACTACAACTTCTGTGCAGTTATTTGGTGCCAACAGTTTGCTAAGTGCAGCCTTTTAAATTAAGACATAGAATAAATTAGAGCCGGTGAGGGGGTGGGAAATGCAGTTTTATTTTTATGGGGGGAAGACATTTAAATGCTGTCTCTGAAAGAACTTGAGGAGAGATGATTTGCAAAATGTCAGTGTTGGAAAAGTCCAACTCTCAAACGCTAGAGATAGTTAAGAAAATGTTTCGTGAAGGCAGAGGGCTTCAAAGATGCAAATAGACCAAGGGGATGGTGGAACATCAAAGACACAAATACAGCAAGCCCCTTTTCTACTTTAGACAAGTGGGCCTCCATGTCATGGCACTTTTTGCAAATGACACTTGAGCCTTTAAATCCCAGAGGGGTAGTAAAATAAGAGGGTAGTCCAGACATGTCTCCAGAAGAGGTGAGAAAGTACAACGCCTACAGAGGGTCTCTCAGCATCCGGGAGTATCCATGGGCAATATTATGGAATGACACCTCCACAGTGCCAGATGGCTTGGCAACCAGCACTAGTGAATATATTTTTGTCCAAATACTGGGCTCACACCAGCATCCCCTTACCATGCCTTCACATGTCCAAATGGATTGCTTCACTATTCTGTTCTGTGAACAGCAAAACAGCCTCTGAGTTAGTTACCTCATATGAAAATGGCTGATCTCCCTGAATGCTCAAAAGTCATGGGAGAAGAACTGCCTTGTCCTTTCCTAAATAAACTCTTGGCAGGCAGAGTCCGACAAAACATGGGGAGTCCATTGGGAAAGCTGAGTTATTTAGACTGTGTGTGTAATCCTAGAACTAGTTCACATCACAAGACATTGCCTTGCGAATATAAGAGTCCCTTAGAGGAGGCAATGGAAGGGTCAAGACGAGCACAAGAGGGGGAGCTTTCTTCAGAGTCCCAGCCAAGCCACAGAAATAAACAAGTCTCCCACTACAGTAATATGGAAGAGTGGGTGTCAGGATATATGTCGTAGAGTTTAAAGAGGAAAGTGTGGAGGACTAAGTGGGGTCAGGACAGGCCTTCAAGTTGTTGTCACCCAAGTGAGGCAAGGAAGCAGAAAATCTTGAGGAGGTCTGAGGCCTACACAACTGGCTGCTAGGCAAGAATTGTCCAATTGCACACTTATGTGTGTTTCCTAGAAGTTCAGGCTCATGAAGCACAATGCACTGCTTCCCTAGCTTCAGGAAAGGACTAAGTTTTGGTTTCAGCTGCATTCAGTTTCATCAGGAGAGTGCTAATACTGGGAAAGACGAGCTACGACAGAGCCTGTTGAAGGACAATAGTACAGGCAACTGTTCGTTTGCTCTGCTAATCTCCAGTTATATCACTGTCATGGAGCACTGCATTTTTTTGGGATTGGGACAGGTTAGGCACATAGCTGTCAACTTTCGGATTTGAAAATAAGGGATCAGCAGCCTCACCTGTCCCGGGGACAGTCTACGGGATATCTAAACATCCAGGATAGCAGCAGAAAGCAGCAGGAAACGGCACTGGAATAAAGGAATTTCCCACCAAAAAAAGGGAAGGTTGACAGCTACGGTTAGGCAATCTTTGCACGCAGCAGGTTTTACACAGAGGCCCACCTTGGTGGGAAAGATTGTTAGGAAACAAAATGATCACATCAGGGTGTGGACACCTTAAGGTTCTTCACGTGTCAGCACATGACTGATCTAGGCTTGCAACATTTCACCCCAATCTAGCCTGGTTGCCCTCTCAGGTCACTGATTTGCAGCCTTCTCACACCTGAAGCCACACTGTATGAAAGTCTATTTCTCATCCAGCTAAGAACAGGAACCCTCTAACACACTGCTCCAATCCCGTTTTTCAAGATGCTCACAGCTAGGTCTAGCTCCATTTGTGCCCTAGCAGTATTTTAAAAATCCCCACAGTATTTCACCAAAGTTGAATGATAGCTTTTACTTTGAAGAACTTGGTGGAATATATATGTAAAACAATCTCGACCCAATGAATTCCTAGGTCAAATCAAACTCAGCGACCATGAGGCCACGCTAGGAGTGCAATTGGCAACTGGCGTTGGCACGGCTGATTTGCCTGCAGATGCATTCATCCAGAATATTAACTTCTCCTATGGGATGCAACAGTTCACTGTAGGTGTGAATTTGAAATGTGGCCTTGATTAAACCTTTGCAGCACGGGTCAGCAAAGGCAACATTCATTCTCTACATTGAACAGAACTTAGCTGGGAACTAACATTCGTCTGCATATCTTTTACATAGTAGATCTTTCTATACTGCAACTCCCATCTTCTCTGAGCTACTGGCATTCTGGCTGGGGCTGAAGGGAGTTGGAGCCCACGTTGGCTACCCTTGATCTAACCCAAAAAGGAAAGCTCAGTGTTTTTCCTAACGCTTACAGCCTGGTTTATCCGATATGCTTTCGTGTATACCAAGTGACAGTGATTCTGGGATAGTGTGGCCAACTGGCAGCTCGTGAGCTGCATGCAATTTTATCTGCCCTCTGGAGAACCTGCTAGAGACGTGCCAGAATGCCCCCCCCCCCGTTTCAGCTGGAAGAAGAATGGGTGGGGTGGGGAGCAGGGATTGCCTTTCTGCCTAGGCCTGCTTTCCTATCATGGGATGCAAACGTTGCTTTTATAAGCTCCTGCATCACACCAGCCTACATTCTGCATAATCGAATGTCAACACTTCCACAGTCTACAGACAAACCTCACTCATCATTTCCTAAGAGAGAAAAGACCACACCCTCAGGATCGGGCCCTCGGGTTTCCTTTTTCCTTGCTACTGAGAGTGGGAGCCAGCTTTGTCTTTCATCTCCTTTTCAAAAAAAAATGTACCACCAGCCTCCCTTTTTGATCCACTCATGTTCCTTTGTAATCCAGCATTTTGCAGTGGCGTTCTGTTGTTGTTGTTAAATGAAGTGTGCACTGCAGAGTTTGGGAAGTGAGGGTGACTCACCCAGGAGTTAAGCTCGTCTAGCAGACGCTTGGCTGCCAGCGAGGGGGAAAGAGCCAAAGAGGCTGAGCCCAGTCAGCTTGATTGGCAAGATGAGCAGCTAGCTCAGTGCAACAGGATTTACTGGAATTTGAAATCTGCCTGTGGTTTTAGCAGGCAATTGAAAGCTTCCTTCCCTTGGATTAAACGGGAGATAATCTCGGTAAATAGCATGACTCCACCATGTGGGGCTGAATCCAGACGCACACGCATGACTATATCACCCAAGATTCACCTCTGTGAAGGCAAACGGATTCAGAGATGGAGGGAAGATGCTACACGTCCCTCTTCCTGCAAGGCAGTATGAACCAGTAGACATAGTGGCTTGTCTTAAGAGTGGAGGAGCAGTTCTGAATGAGTTCCTAAAGATGTTGTCTAGCACAAGCCTTGAGGCAATTAATGGCAATCCTTAATCATCCCTGGCATATGCTCGTCCAGACTTTCCATCAAAGCTGACAATGACAGCAATCACTCAACTCCTCTAAATGATGCATTCAGTTGCCTGTTTGTTCTTCCCCACAGAAGCAGCCTTTCCTGAATATTCTACAGAATATCCATGCAGCTGCAAATTAATCCGGAGGCTCTTTCCCCTTCTCTGTGTGGCAGTGAATAACATCTCTCTTTTAATAATCATGCAATCTACATATGCTCCATTGTCGCTATTTACTAGGGAAAGTACTGGTAGGGTGTTGGGGGGGGCAGCGGAGTTGCATCTTTCCCTAGTAAATTTATGTTCTCTTCGGCCTTGGATGGATTTTGGGTGTGTGTGCCCTTTTAAAAAGCTAGTGAGTGTGTACATTATTAAAATTCTGATTCTTCAGGGTTCAGCCCCTCTCCCACAGAATCTAGAAGCCATATATCTTAGGAGGAACAAAAAAATTAATATAAAACAACTGCTCATGGCATCTCCTCAGCAGGGCTGACCTTAGGAATTTTGTAGCCTAAGGACAAAATGGCGCCTCCCACATCCCATATACGAAAGTCGAAGCAGCAGGCAGTTGACAAATACTTCAGCAGGGGAGATGAGACAGAGTTTGACCACTGCCCTTGAGGGCAGTAGACTAGCTTAACGAGTGCAAGCCTAGCCACGTGTTGGCCACAGCTCTGTCAATGCTCCACCCACAGCATCTGCTGCCTGAGGCAGTAGCCTTACTCTGCCAAATGACAGGGCTGGCCCTGTCTCTCTCAGTTACAGGGTGGCTGTGTGTTCTTCCTCATGGGGACAGTCCCCTTTTTAAAGGAGTACTATATTTGAAGGGCTGTCCCATCCAAATCCAATTCAAAGATAAAGAAGGGAGAGCAAGATAGAACTGGACTGCAGACTGAGCAAGCACATAGGCCACCCCTCACAGTCTTCACCTCTATAGTGACATATATTGTGTTTCTACTTAAATTGTGGTGATTATTCCTAGCTTTGGACCTATATCAGTTCATGCAAATTTTATGCAAGTAAGTGTCCTCTTTTTTGGTGATGCATTTTCCTTTTTTCCGTGATGCACAGGTGGCCACCCTTCCTTAGCTGTAGGGTGATCCTGGCTTCAAAACTTAAGTGTCCACAGTTGGGCCTGGTGAGCATTTAAGATCCCCAACCCTAATCTGCAGTTTGTCATCAGATTGTATTTTATTCTGATCCTGATTTGATTTTAGGAGGTATTTTAATTGATTGCCTGATTTTATGTTAATGTGTTAAACATTTGATGTTAGCCGCTATGAGTCTGGTTTTGGCCGGGGAGGGTGGGGTATAAATTATTATTATTACTACTGCTATTATTATTATTATTATTATTAACATACAGTGGTACCTCAGGTTAAGTACTTAATTCGTTCCGGAGGTCCGTGCTTAACCTGAAACTGTTCCTAACCTGAAGCACTACTTTAGCTAATGGGCCTCCCGCTGCTGCTGTGCCGCCAGAGCACAATTTCTGTTCTCATCCTGAAGCAAAGTTATCAACCCAAGATACTATTTCTGGGTTAGCGGAGTCTGTAACCTGAAGCGTATGCCCAAGGTACTATTTCTGGGTTAGGGGAGTCTGTAACCTGAAGCATATGTAACCTGAAGCATATGTAACCCGAGGTACCACTGTACTAGCAGGGATGGCCCACCCATGAGACAAGGTGAGGCGACTGCCTCAGGTGGCAGGATCCACAGGGACAACATATCTGGCCTCCAAGGAATGCACTATCTGCTACTGCTGCTGCTGCTGCTGCTGCTGCTGCAGTCGCAGTCACAGCAATGGCTGCGGCACACTCCTTGGAGACCAGATCTGACTCTTCCTCAGCAGCCCCCTCTTGCCACCTCTACAGCAACCTCTTGGCAAATAAGGAGGCATTGCTGGTCTCCTCCCACCCCTAGAGAAGCAATGGTGGAGGCTGCCTTCTGGGGTGGAGCTGCACCCTCCTGGTGTGATTTAGGGCAGGAACCTTTCCCAACCACAATTGGCCTTTGATTCCCACTTCAGCCATCTGATTTGACCCCCCCTCCCTTTGTTCCTGATGCACTTCTTCCCTCACCCCTTCTTCCCATTTTGCGGTTCGCCTCAGGTGCCAAAACGTATTGGGCTGACCCTGCATGCTAGCAAGCTGAATGCTGACTCGGCCATTAATTTGTACCTCATCCCCCACTCATGCGCGAGATGAGCTACAAGCCTTTAAGAAACAACTGTGTTCTGCATGACCATTCATGCCTTTATTTGTCTGTTCACCACCGTATTAATTTTAGAAAGGAAACAGTGCAAAATTACTCTGGGGATTGCTGGTGGGGGAGAGATTTATTGGTAACATAATAATGTCGGGTGGGGGGAGGAATCAGTGCATTGCATAGTTGGCTTTCTTGTAAAGTTGCAGAACTTTTTAAAAAAATAATAATCAAGGAGTTTGACAGAGCAGAGGAAAGGAAAGACACAACTGGGCAGAATGCCAAGAGAGTGTTGCTCTTGGGAAAAAAACATTATGTCTTCCTTCACCCTCAACAAAGGGTGTGAGTGGAGGAAGATGAGTCTTGGCTTTTGCACACAAGAGGAAATCAAATTGCCCTTGGGCCCTGCTGTTCACCAGTCCCACCCCTCATTTCTGAACCAGATAACCCTGCAACAACTCTAAATTAGTATACGTAGTTGGTTCCATTGTAAGATTGAACATCCTAAAAAGTATTCTTAAGTTGTATGTTGTTGTTGTTGTTGTTTTTAAAAAAACCACTTTATGATAGCTTTACTGGTTAACTTGTTTCAGAAGCGAACGCAAGACAGACTTCCGTGGAGTAAATAAAAATACAGTGGTACCTCGGGTTAAGAACTTAATTCGTTCCGGAGGTCCGTTCTTAACCTGAAACTGTTCTTAACTCGAAGCACCACTTTAGCTAATGGGGCCTCCCGCTGCCCCTGCACAATTTCTGTTCTCATCCTGAAGCAAAGTTCTTAACCCGAGGTACTATTTCTGGGTTAGTGGAGTCTGTAACCTGAAGCGTCTGTAACCTGAAGCGTCTGTAACCTGAAGTGTCTGTAACCCGAGTTACCACTGTAGCATATAGAGAGGAGGAAAGGAAGCAGCCTTATTCTGAGTAGGACAATCGGGCCATCTGTCTCAGGCCTGCAATTGGCAATGACTCCCCAGAGTTTCAGACAGAAGACTCTCCCAGTCCTACTTGGATATGGCGTGGATTGGAACACTGAGCCATGGGCCTTCCTCGAGGAAAAGACCAAGGAAGAGTACAAGAGACCAGCGGTGGCGGCAGTACAAATCACAAAGCACCTAGTTTAACTGTCTCACCCGCCATGAGGAGAAGGAGTCACTCTGGTCCTCAGTTCCCTCGCCCCACCTGCAATAAAGCTGACTTATCTTGCAGGGTTATTGCAAGGAACAGCAACTCAGTAATGCACATGAAGTGCTTTGAACATTTGAAAGTACCGTACAAGTATTAAGCATGCTCATCCTATAGGGCTGTCGTAAGGATTGCAGAGATATTTATGTGAAGCACTTTCCACAGTGGAATGTGCTTCATAAACACTGCTTTGAAGCAGTTCCTAAGATTCACCTGCTGCTTTTGAGTTGCTGGGATTTGTTTGGCTTCTTCCTCTTCTCTACCTGCCCCCCCTTCTCTGCAGAGAAGTTGCTTGGAGGGGGTTGTGATGAGACAAGGGGGAACACTCAAGTCAGACTAGCGTTGCTGATGCGTTATGTGCGATACAACTGCATCATCTTACATCCGCACTCCATTTCTTTTGTAGCAACAACGGTATGGCGGACGATTTTACTTGCCAAGTCAAGAAGATGGCCTTGGCCATGGGGGCATCCCTGTCTGACAAGGATATTGACCTGCTGCCTTCAGAAATGAGGCATCATGGTAAGGAACAGATTATGGGTGCAAGCCACGGTGCACATCTGCAACAGATGTTTAGATTAGCTCATCTGGAGCAACAAGCGCTCCTCAGTCCCTTACACTGACCTTCAAACACATAACCCAAAGGTTGCATACAGTCCCTCCCCGGATTTTTCTGTGCCCCCCCCCAATTATTTCAAAATATATATACTGACTGTTCCCATAGGCTACCCAATGTGATAGATTTTTAAAAATATTGTGTGTGCCTATACCTCTCTCGTAGGTACCTCACTATGATGCTGAATGGCTTTTGTAACCCTCCAGATCCCCAAAATGTGTCTCTTTTAATTGGCCACACCCACCTTTTCACTTCAGCCATGCCCACCTTGACACATGGTCCTCAGAGGTCAGTGCAGCCTTTGGCCTGAAAAAGATAAGAATAACACTCCTCACAAACCTGAACTCAAAGGGTGGCCAACGGATTAATGAGTATACCAGGGGGTTAACTAATCTACAAGAGATCATCATTAGCATGAACCATATTTCTAAATATATGTAGATCTTGGGTTCAGTGTCTACAGGTTATTTTCCTTTTATTTGCTCCTGGCTCAAGCTGCCACCCAAGAAAACTTGGGGCCCCATTTTGGAGGTCTGGGTAGCTGTGCCTTGTATGGGAAGTCAGAGCTTGCTCACCTCACTTCTGTAAAGTCCTTCAGCCCCCAAAATCCACCTCACCGTAACAAAGCAGTTTTTGAATTAAAAGCCACCCAATCTGTTGCAGCTTCATTCAACTACGCCAAGTTCTTTGAATATATGCGGCAGTTTCTGACATCAGACGACCGGGAGATACACTTGCGAAAGGCCTTCCAAGTGCTTGACAAGGACGGGAGTGGATTCATTGAGTGGAATGAAATAAAGTAAGAAACCTCTGATGTGAAGTGTTGTCAAGTGCCAGGAAGAGTCAACCTGGGACGACACCCAACATTGGTCAAACCGAGAGTATACTGAAATCAATGTGCTTAACTTTATTGATTTCAAAGGGTCTGCTCTGTGTATGACAAGCATTGGGTATCACCCATTCATTCATTCTTCTTACAACACAGAAGAATTTCTACATACACATAATTTTTGGAAGGTTATTTAATCTCTATGGATTACCTTTTTTCAGACTCGAAGCTAAAAAGGATCTCAGGTAGCTGGGCTTGCCTGAGACCTTTAAGTGTTGGTTTGGGAACCAAATGCCCCTCAGTTGCCAGGATTAGGGCTGGGCAATATCTGGTTTTCGACATTGTGATCTATCACCAGCTAAACATCAAAATATACCAGTATATCACAATGTGTGAAATAGGGATGGAGCTATGTAGAGGCATTGGTGGGCTGCACAGTTTTCCCCACATTGTGATTTTTGCATAGCACATGTGCACACACACACACACACACACACACACACACATCGTGATTTGTGATATATTGCCAGGTCAAAAATTATGAAACCAATATCACAATACAGGCTTCAAACCAATTTTGAACGATCTATCGCCCAGCCTTAGCCAGGATAGATATGCGAACTGATGAGACCCAGCACTGAAAAAATACATATTTGTGACCAATGCTTTGCCATAGGTTACACTCCTTTTGGCACACTTTTGGGTGTCAAATTACCCTCCCTGTGGCAACCCACCTGCTGCTTGTCTGTCATTTTTCTTGGACTCAAGAGGGCCAGTTCTGTTCAGAGAGAACTGGGATACGTTACCCGGTCAATCCTCACCCCATGTGTTTCGATGACAAAACGCAGGAGAGCCCTGTCTGAAATCATTATTGCAGAAAACGTTTGGGCTCGCTACTCTTATCATCCTGGCATGTCAGGCTGCACTGCCAAAACCCACTTCTATCTATAATAATGACAAACTCTGTTCTCTATTGCACTTGATAACCTTGGCTAAGACGATTAAGACACATCCTGCATGCTTAACTATAGGCATCCAGGTCTGTCAGCAATTCAGCTTCCCCCTCTCCCCCTTTCTTTTCTTGCTGCAATCCTGTATCCCAAAGCAGGAGAAAAGAGATGTCCCAGAAGAGCAGATGTCTCTGCTACATGAGATGTGGAAAAACAAGCCTACTGTATAGCCTGGAACAGGAACAGGGAACCTGTGGCCGAACAACTGGTGTTGGGACAACAGCTCACATCATCCCTTACCATTAGTTATGGGGCTGATGGAGCCCCAAGTTCCCCATCCCTGAGCTAGAATATCTTGCAAAACAAGAAGCTCCAATTCATAGAACCTTAGATTTGTAGCCCTGGAAGAGATCCCAAGGGTTATTTGGTCCAACCCCCTGCAATGCATTTGTGATACTGGCTCTGCTACTGACTGAAGAGTAATCGCAGAACCACATGCTTCCACTCTCTGAGGCTCAGCTTTTCCCTCCTGCCCTTAGGTACATCTTACAAACAGTGCCCAGCAATATGCCAGTGGTGCCCTTATCAGATGAAGAGGCTGAAGCCATTATCCAAGCAGCTGACACAGATGGGGATGGCCGGATTGATTTTGAAGGTGGGCAGAGAATGTATCATGGCAGTGATGGTAGCATCTCTGGGGTATACAGCACTGGGGGCTCAGAAGCAGAGGGCGCTTAGTCCTATTTAGAACTGGATGGGTCTACCTGCCCAGTTCCCTGTATCCAATACTGTAAGGGGAAAGGCATGTAAGCCTAAGCAAATGCAAAATGTGGCAGAAGAGCTCCTGCTGAGATTCAATCACCACATCTGGAGCTGATCCGAAGGACATCACTAGAACCAGGTACTCAGAAGATAATCGTGGCAAAGTTATGTAAACTGCCATGGAATACTGTTGGGACAAGTGGCCCTGGAACAGGTGGGAAGTGAGAAGCCTAGAAATAGGCAGTGTTCGTTTTGGATTGCCTTTTGTTGATTGTTGTGTAGTGTCTTGTTTTGTACTTGTTTTGTTTTTAAAACTAATAAAGCATTTTAAAAAAGAGTGTTAGAAAAGCCTAGACTGTGGCCACTTTTGATGGGCACTTTGGTAAGCAATAAAGGTCAAATACATTGCCTGTCTCCCAACCATTACCCCCAAATCCCCTATGCTAGCCTTTTTACATCTCCTAGGCTAGGGCTTACCCACACTTACCTTTTACCCTGCTCTTTCCAGGTCTGCGCTTTAGTGCTCAGTGTCAATTCAGGTTTTCCATGGATTGATATTTGCTCCGATTGAGCTTTAAAGAGCAGGTTTTTGCAGGGAAAGCTCCAGAGCAAAAAGAAAAAAAAAGGTAGGTGGGTGTGTGCTCAGACATGGAGCTTTAAATAGCAGACCATGCCAGGAAGGAGAAGAAGAACAGTAAGCAGAGATAAATAAGCCCCTAGTTTGAGTTTCCCCTCAAGTGATGCCTGCTCACCAACACTGAACTAGTTAATCAATCAATTCAATTTATATCCTGCCCTTTCTCCCAGAGGGGCCCAGGGCATTAATAATATTCAGCTGCTCATGCAGTTGGACTCTGTCTGTAGAACTGGTGGTGGTCCCCAAAATTTATGAACTGGCTTATTAATACTTTTTTTTTTAATGGGAAAGCAAAAAGTTAACGAATAACTGCCTTAAATGCAGCCCCCATCTCAGACACTAAACCTACCTACTTCATCTGCCTGTTTCTATTGCAGAGTTTTCCGATATGGTCACAAAGGAAAAGGTTCCAAAGAAAAAGTAGAAAAGACCAAGAAGAACGGCCTCCCGTTTCCCTATGCAAGAATGCTGTGCTGGGGGTGGGATGATGGAACTTACCTGTCTATGATCATGTTGCACTTTTTGAAAGATCTCTCCTTATTATTAATATTTTTGCAGGATGCAGTGGGTAGGTGCGTGGGGAATCTGCAGCTTGCTGTCAGGGTGTGCTGAGAGAGGCCTCTCTCTCCAAACTGGAAAACCAGCCTGTTAGTCACAAAATGCTACCCAGCCCTTGAATAGGTTTCTTTCCAGGCCCAGGCTACCTGCCCCAGAGCGATTATATCTCACCTGGCCCTGCAGTGGCAGACTCCAACTATGGCGACGGAGCGAGACCAGCTCTCCAAACTCTTAAAGGGTGATTATGGTTAAGAGGCACGTGCTTCCTCCTTTGTCGCAAGCCATCCTTTGGTCTGTGTTCATCAAATTTAGCTTTGGCCTAGCTGCTCCCCACTTTGCCTGGTAGTAGACTGACTGCTTTTGGTGGCGAAAGGAGAACGGTTTGCCTGCGTTTTTGGACAACAGGACTGAAAGTGAACTGGAAATGCTTGCGCGTGTTTCACAGCCTGCCCAAATTCTGACGCGATATTTTCTCTCCCCGGACCTTCCTGCTAGCTTTCCAGTTAGGAACCATTAAGAGCCTAGTGGGTTTTGCGCCAAAGGAAAATGCTACTTTTGTCCTTTCCTGTCCAAGGCAAATAAAAGCCTTCTGTTTTAGCTCAGCGGCTACTGCGTCCTCCTTTGTCTTGACTCTTTGCTTTTGTTTCACCCTCATTGGGGTCTTGGGGGGGGGACAGGACGGGAAAGAAGGAAAGCTAGTGGCAGATCTGCAAACCCCCACAAACTGGGTCTCTGTCCTGTGAGGAAGGGTTCTGCTTCCCTGAGCAAATAGCAGTAGGCCTCATCATCAGCGGAACACCTGCTGCTGCCCACACTGCTGAACCCAGGTGCTTTTTATCTGCCAATTGGCTAGGATTTCTTCCCAAAGTCACATTCTCACTTCCAGTGGTGTCTGAATTGAGGCTTGTTGGGGCAGAAGGCAGAGAGGCCTACAGGAGGAGGCCTCAGGTTCCTCCCTGCTGAGGGCAACACTGAGACTAAGAAAAAGAAAGCAGATTGCCATTGTCACTCCTGGGCTGGTTGTAAGAAGGCAGGCTGGCTGCACTTAGCTGGGCACTGCCCCATTTGCCCTAATGGACCAGCCCTACACTGCTAACTTCAGAGGGATCTTCCTCAGAACGGATGAGAGAAATGTGTATATGTGTTGCATTCACTCTCCCTTGCTTGCTCTGATGTCATTGATTAACACAACGCACCCAGACCCTCCACAACGAACATGCCTTTAAGCTGCACGTTAGATACAAGGACACATTTAACTTCATATTGAGTCTGGCCCTAAAGAATTTGATTTTCATCCTCCTTAACTTTGAGCAGTGCCTACCACAGCTGCAGGGATGCAGGTGGCACTGTGGTCTAAACCACAGAGCCTAGGGCTTGCCGATCAGAAGGTCGGCGGTTCGAATCCCTGCGACGGAGTGAGCTCCCGTTGCTCGATCCCAGCTCCTGCCCACCTAGCAGCTTGAAAGCACATCAAAGTGCAAGTAGATAAATAGGTACCACTCCAGCAGGAAGGTAAACAGTGTTTCCGTACGCTGCTCTGGTTCACCAGAAGCGACTTAGTCATGCTGGCCACATGACCCAGAAGCTGTCTGCGGACAAATGCCGGCTCCCTCGGCCTATAGAGCGAGATGAGCGCCGCAACCCTAGAGTCATCCATGACTGGACCTAATGGTCAGGGGTACCTTTACCTTTACTTTACCACAGCTGCATGGGTTGTAGAACCTTAACAGCAGAGCTTTCCATACTTTTCATGTTGGAGACACACTTTTTAGACACGCATCATTTTGCGACACAGTTGTTCAGTTTTACTAGCAAACCGGAGGTTAAACTAACCCCTTTCCAGCCCCCTGAAGGAGCATGGCGACATACCTACATGCTGCAGCCGACACACAAACATGTCACGGCACACAGTTTGGAAAGTTCTGCCTTACAGGGTTCATACCCCAGGAGATGCTCCCTGGCTGCTGGGAAGGATCTGAGGATGGCAGAGCAGCGGTGGCAGAGCCAAAGAGTGTCCCTACTTCACCAGAGTGCATCTCAACAGTCATGTGCTCAGAAGAGGGCTGGTTTTTAGCACATGGCCTGAGAGAGGCTGGTTCTGGATGAGAAGGTTCTGCTCTGTCAACTTAGGCAGGGATTCCTCTTTTCTGCCTACAGGCTCTTAGCAAGCTGAAGTAAAGATGATAGAAATCGGCTTGCTTTGGAGAAAAAAGAAAAGGCGAATGAACAAGAGACAGATTGCCCATGTGCACTTGAAGCCTCCTCTGTCCAGCACAGCTCAGCTTTTTGAGGTTAAGAGAATAGTGCCATCTGGTGGCACCTGTGCTAAAGGTGAAAATCACATGATTGTCGGCAAAGCAGGGCCAGCCTTGCCATTTGGCAGTGAGGCAATACAGCTCAAGTGGCAGGTGCCTGGTTGTATGCTTTGGTTGTTGGGACAGAGCTGTGCATGCCACATAGTTTGCCAGGTTTCTCCATAACTACCCTGCAGAGAACACTTTCCTACCGCTAGTACTGAAATAAAATTCAGGTGCCAGCCCAGTCAGCTTCTGTACATGGTATTGGGGGAGGGGACATGTTGCCCTTTGCCTCAGGTAGCAAAAAGTATTGGGTGGCAAAGTCACCACAAGTTGAACTTTTTCAGAGGGTTGTTTTGGAGTGTGTTTTTTTTTTAGCATGGTGACAGGTCCCTGTGAATTCTCATTCACGGACTGGAGTCCTTAATTCCTATTCATATCTGGGAAATCTACACAAAGGGCAATGGCCATGAAACTTCAGTCTGGGTCTTGAGAGGATTCAAAAGGCCATGGTTGATTTCCACTGCAGCATACAACATCCATGTTAAAGGATTTGTGGGGTGGTGTAAGAGAATAATCATGCTAACTGGTTACAAGAAAGGATGGACATGACAGAGAAATTGCTATGCTCCCATAGGGATGTTTCAAGGGGTCTGAGAAATCTATTTGTCTCTCCTCGTGGAGCTTATAACCTTAGCAAGAGAAACACTGGACAGAGCAAATGTGTCTTCTGGAATTTACTAGAAATGACAACGCCACTGGAGCAGCCCTCTTGCTTCCAGCCATCTGAAGCTTCACATATACATTGTTTGTTGCCATGGAAATGTGCTACCATAAAGACGATTGAAAATAGCAAACATTTCATTAAGAACCATCACTTTGAATAATGCATCTGAATTCAGAAGATGCCAAGATGTTAGAATTCAATAAACAGTTTCATATACAGTGATGTTTTGACCTGAATCTGATGTCAAGCTACGGCTCTAAATCGCATTAGAAAATATTGCAAAGCTCAGACATATAATGTTCCTGCTGGTTACTAATGCTAGCCTTCTCTCAAGCTCCATTGCAACTGTAGGGCTTGGGCCACTCTCCAAGATAAACCCTGCATAATCAGTTATATAATGCAGCTGTATTATTTGTGTCTGAAAGGGGCATTGGCCTAGAAATTAGCTAACTGCAAAGATCAAACGTTGCACAGAGAGAATCAGAGGATTAGTACAAGGGTAAATGCCTGCACAAAATGGCAGCACTCCCCACCTTTCTACACATTCCTACTGAATAGTGTGTACGGTGCTTTTACTAGTTGCCAGAGTTCTGGTTTGTAAGGTTCATCCCCGCAAATTCAAAAGTACCCTGAAGCCAGCAAGTGGACCAGCCATGCTGACTGAGGATGATGTGAATTAGAGTCCAACAACAACTAAAGGGCCACCACAGGTTCTCCATCTTTGCACTAGAGCAGGGGTCAGCAACCTTTTTCAGCCGTGGGCCGGTCCACCATCCCTCAGACCTTGTGGTGGGCTGGACTATATTTTTTTTTGGGGGGGGGGAAATGAACGAATTCCTATGTCCCACAAATAACCCAGAGATGCATTCTAAATAAAAGCACACATTCTACTCATGTAAAATCACAGGCAGGCCCCACAAATAACCCAGAGAGGCATTTTAAATAAAAAGACACATTCTACTCATGTAAAAACATGCTGATTCCTGGACCGTCCATGGGCCGGATTGAGAAGGCGATTGGGCCAGATCCGGCCCCTGGGCCTTAGTTTACCTACCCCTGCACTAGAGTAACTCAGCACGGATACATGCAAAAAGGGTAACATGACCAACACATGAAGGTAATCTGGATAAGATGGTAGTTTGGTATTGTTGTCTCTGGAAGTGGTAGAAGATCAAGGATTACTTTCTGAGCGACAGCATACCAGTTTCATATAGGTACATGCATGCAGTCACACCTCTTCCAAAGAGCAGGAATGGGCAGTGTGTAAACGGCGTTTTCATGCGCTGCTCTGGTTCGCCAGAAGCGGCTTAGTCATGCTGGCCACATGACCCGGAAGCTGTACACCGGCTCCCTCGGCCAATAAAGCGAGATGAGTGCCGCAACCCCAGAGTCGGTCACGACTGGACCTAATGGTCAGGGGTCCCTTTACCTTTACCTTTATGCCTGCTATGAGCAAACATTTTGGAGCTATTACCTAATAGTGGCCCTAAAAGAGACCATCTATTGAATGCAAAGTCAGGTTAATGTAATCACAAGAACATGCATGTGTATGCAGTTTATAAATGCACACACACACAGTAAGTGAGAAACCAGGATTATTCATGTTAGTGCTTCCAAGCTTTGCATAATTAGAACGGATAACAGCCCTGAACACTGTTTGATCGCTGAATTTCATCAACAATGCAAATAAATTACGGTAATCAGGCTTCTTTCAGGAAAACCTTATGCCTGCAGTCCTGTGCATAAATATTTGAAGTCCCACTAAACTTCATGGGACTTGTCTAAGCTAAATTACACAAGGTTAGGTTGTATCACCCAGGGAATTTCTGACAAAGCAGAAAGGGCATATTTGCATGAGGAAGCCCAGCCGAATGCAGTAAATTTTACTACTAAATACACAGTCACTGCTATTGCAGATTCACGTAAATAAACACTTTCGTTCAAGGGCAGACTATTGGATCTGGGCATGTAACTGTCCCAAGTTATCTTGCATATTCCAGCCAGTTGCACCTTACCAGGATCAACTACCTCCATTCTGGATTTGGTAATGACAACGCAACAGATTACAGACTATCATAGTAGGTTATTTGCACCTCATTTATGTGGATTTTAAACATCTTCCTAGAAAGTGACTTGTTGGGGGAGACAGGGACTGGGACTGGCAGTACTGAATTCCACCATCAGTAACCATGCTGTCATTTCTTACAACCATGGATAGCAAGCAAGAAGATAATCACCTCCTTTCTCCCACTCTGCACAAGACTGTTTATTTCCTACTGAATCTGGGCAGAGCAGCATTCTGAGGCCCGTTTGCAAAGAGAATAAATCCCTCCGACTCCTCATTTGAAACAAGAGCTCTTTCTAGAAATGCTTTCCCACACTGGATTTCACATGATTAAATACTTAAAAGCCTGGGTGTTCCTGCAGAGCTGGAGCTGTGATTAACACCGCGACTGGCCCTGCCATACGCCACACCAGGATGCAGACGTAGAGGTGCTTCTCTGAGGAGTTTCCAAGCATAGTGGGTGAGCAAAGTGCAAACACAAAGGGCAGCCATTTGCACAAAGCACTTGGGTGACAAGACCCATCAAACAGCAGAACAGAGTTTAATAGGACCAATTTTTTTGCTCTCCAAAAGGATGGGACCTTGAGCCCAGTGTCTCTGAAAGTATTACGACATTTTTTTTCCTAAGCAGAAAATTATTAATGGTCTTCTGAACATGTGTAGAACATCCCCATGTCACGGAAAGCAGTATTTTTAATTTTAAAAACCAGTATTCAGTTATTTGGACATATGCAGGATACCTCCGTCACAAATGCACTTTATAAGTAACTCCATCTGCTCCTATTTTTCCCTCCCAAACTGAAGGGAGAAAGCAGGAGGAATGTGCATTAGCTTTTCCTTCTCTGACAAAGTCTAGGGAAGAGCTGTAACTCAGTGGAGGAAGAGCATCTGTTTTGCCTAGGCTCCCATCTAATCTCTGGGATTTCCAGGTAGGGTTGGGGGGAAAAACCCTGCCTGAAATCTTGGAGAGCCACTGCCAGTCAGTACTGAGCTAGATGGACCGATGATCTGATCTGATAACAGGCAGCTTCCTATATATGTTCTTCTGCTTGATCTGTGGCTACAAGGCCCAGTCTGTTGGGAGCTGCCTGCCGTCCACAGTTGGAACACAAGCTTAAAGTGAGGCCACTCCTCTCTCACTCTCCTTCCACTCCCTTTTACGTCACCTGCTGTGGTTAGCAGAAGGAACGCACAACACAGTTCAGTAATTTAACAGGAAGCCTACAGATTTCAAAAGGAACTTACTTGGGATACATGGGTGCTTAGGATCTCGAGTCCTTTGCAGTGTTAGCACCCGAGTGGCACACTTTCCCAAGCCACTCAAATCATCTAGGAGGCTCACTCTATATGCAAATAGAACAACACATGGGGTAAACAAGCTTATATGGGACAGGTGTGCTTTTGAATGTTTATGCAGGAAAGCCTTTTACCCAGCGTATCTGAATCTCCTTTCCAAACAAAGACATTGGGAGCTGGAGAAAAATCCAATTTTGTATTATGGCTTTAGCCAGGCTAGCTGCAAATAACAAAAGCGGGGGCCACGGAAAGGGGTGACAGGTCTGCTTTCAATGATCTTCCTGTGACTTCCCAAGTTATATTTCATTCATTCCCATATTAATGCAAACATTAGGGAGAATAGGAAAAGATAAGATGTAAAAGCAGGGCACAGTCATGAGGATCGAGCAAGCGTCAGCTTGACTGTGCATTATCAATACTTTTTGTACCTGGTTAGGTTTTACTTGAAGCTATTTGAACAATGCAAAAAGATAAATTGAATTCCAGGTACCCACATAAAATGGACTTTGGGAATAATAATAATAAAAAACCAAGTGTGCCTGCTTCTGCCAAAGACAATTCACTGCAAGATACCCCTTGGCTGAAACACAGCACTTTGTGACCTGCACGTAGCACATGATAATTCAGACAGCAAGTGGCTTCAGGTATTGTTAGGACTTAAGCCTAGGCCTGATCACAGGTGTATCTGGTAGACAATAGCAAGGAAGACTCTGTGAAAGGGCAGCAGATCTGCAATGGTCTCAGACACAGGCTCAGAACCAGCCAAATTCTCTTTACAGGCATGTACATTCCAGAAACCAAGGAAAATTTTAGACTGGGCAGATGGATTTTTACAACACAGCTGCCTCTGCCCACCAAGTTACAAATGCGTTATGCTTCACACCCAGCAGCAATAAAAAAAACCTCTGGAGAAGTAATAAAGGGCAAAAGGTAACTAACAACCGGTGAAGAGACATTTGCTTTTAACAAAGTTCCCAGAGTGCTATTGCTGGACCACAGCACTCTGCTGCTGCAGGCAACACAGCTACTTTTCCAGAATTAACAGTTGTGTGTCTTTAGATTAAGTAAAACTAATCTGCTGTGTTAAGGAAATAATAGAAGTGAAATGGTTTAGGCAATTGCAATAGGACTTGTATAAATACTTATTAATAGCTAGGGGCTGTGCCCCTACTCGCTTTACTCATCAATCCCCCCGGCTTAAGCCCAAGGTTCCCCTCCCCATCACATGCAACTACAAAACTTGCTTTTCACCTTCCCAAACCCCATGTCTGAATCTACTTCTCTCCTCTGTCATGCAGCCCGGTTTTGCACCCATGTTCGTCTACTTCCCCACCCTTGTGTGTAACCCGCCGCACACGCACAAACCACTTCCATGGTAACCTCCTGCAACTTCCTCCTCCCACCCATTGCAACTGCTAAAGACCCTTTTTAACCTTCCGCCCAGTTAGAAAGCCAAGCCAAGCTACCCTCCCTTCCTGTTTTACAGACCCTTTCATGCCCCTGCTTTAATCTTCATCCCCATTCAGGTGCCTTCTACTCCCTCCTTTTTTTGCAACCCATTTTCTTATCAACCCCTCTTTTCCTACCTCCTCCTCCTTTTTCAACTCGCCCTTGCGCAGAGATAACCATCTTCATGACTCCTCCTCTCTTAATCTGCAAACCTTTTTGGGATAGCGTATGTTACTAAATCTTTAAGATGTATGAAACCTTCAGAGAAAGCCTGCCAAGTTTGCTCAGTTAAGAGAAGGTTAAGTTCAGATTACAGGTGTTGTACATATATGGGTGTTTGCTTGTTAATAAAACACCTGTTCTAAATTACTACATCAAATCTGGAGTTTCCAGTTGAACTCAACTCGTGGTACCAGGGGTGAAGTACATGATCTGAAGGAACTGTGGAATATTTGAAGGCCCCCCATATGTTTATCTCTCTCACATGTGGCAGCTGCAGAGTAGAAGAGGGAGAATTTTGAGTACAGAAAGAAAGGAGGGACATTGAAAAGAGGGGGAACTGGCTGTTTTAAACAATGCTTTGAGTAATGTGTGGTGAAGGGAAAGTGAGAGGGAAAATGCTCTCAGCTACCTCCCACCTGCCTGCGTGTCTTCCTACTTTACAACCAGTTCAGATTGTGGCAAACAGGTCAGCTGACTCCTCCTTAGACTCAGCGTTGTCCCTTGTAGAACTCAGCAGGGAGGATGATGGGGACAACATTAGAATTAGTTGGGTTTGGCTGTTGTTGGCTCTGGCTCAACCTACTGTTGTGCCCCCTGCCTCCTGCCCTACCAGTACGACACTGGTGCAGACAATACTGGACTAGATGAACTAGTGGTCTAACTTTGTATATAAGGCAGCTTCCCGTGTTACCAATGGTGAATAATGCAGGGCCAAGAATGCAACCAACAGGGGGTCTCCTAAGCAGGCAAGACTAGCTTTAGCAGAGAACAGAGAGCGGTAAAAATCACTGCTAGGCAGACATCTTACAAATCAGCTGGATTTACTGTTAAAATACATTGGCAAGAACTGGGATACCACCCAGAGGTCATATCTCAGGCACAAGTAAAGAAACAGGTTAAAAAAAATATTTTTTCTTAAAAAGGGGGAGAGGGGATCCCTCCCCAACCCACATACAGATTAGTGTTCATTTTATCTTAAGTCTCTTGTGGACCACAACAGGCACATTTCTGTTGTTGTTCGTGATCACTGGCTCTGTCCTTGCAGGGCTGTTGGTACCAGTGCAGCCGCTACTTGGCTGCTAGCAGCTGCTTACGCTGTTGCTCCAAAAGGGCCTCTAGGTGGTCTGCCCTCTTCACGGCCGCCTGAAAAGAGAAGATAATTCAGTTCAGGGGAGAAATATGTATAGCGGCAAAAGGATGTAAGAGGAAAACAGAAGAATTTGCAATGCAAGGATGTAATCGCAAAAGTTAACAGAAGCTAATAAAATGAACACAAATCAAAATTATTCTGATCGTTAAGGAATCACTTTTAAAACAGCAAGGTAAAAATTGTTCAAGGTCTCACTTTTATTGTTGAATTTAATGTGGGGGAGGGAGAACAGGAAATAGTTACAAGTTAAATTGCAGGGAAATGATTTGGAATGATGGGACAGAAGTGGTTAAAAAGGGTGAGCATAAGCTCCATGTGGCATTGCAAAAGGAGGAATGTTTTACAAGATTGTGTAGGTGTTAATCTAATCACAGTCAGGATTTATCACATTTAGGAAATGGATTCTAATATATGTTGGAGAGGATGTATAGAAACAAGTAATTAGAGATATCCATGGCAAAGTTGTCCTAAAATCCTGGAGACATGGAGGAAAATGTTAAATATCATTAAGCAAATTATGGGAACTAATCTAATAAAAAACATGCTGATTAATTCATTTAATTAATTAAACCAACTTTTAAAAAACCATTAATAATCTCTTAACAAGTACAAAGGTGTTCGTGATAAGATCCCGAAAATGTGATAAGGAGTTAGCAATTAAAAAACGGGGATCTTGAAACTGCATTAACATGCAGAAACTAACTAGCCACATGAAAATCAAAGAGAACTGAGAAAGTTTTATTCTATCTTGGGAAAAATCAATGACTAGTTTACTGAAGTGTTTTATTTATGGATTTCTGGAACTTTGTGCAAACATATGTGCACTGTCATATTGATCCAATTCATCCTTCAAAATTAAAAAATAAATGTTAATACTGCTTTTTATTATCAACCCACAGCAATTGTTGTTTTGGTTAATGTTTCCTAGCAAAGAGTTCACACATTCAATTAAATTGCACGCTGGATGGAATAATACTTTTCCCCATTCTTTTTCTAAACTAATTTGCTGCTCAAGTCTTGCAGTGGAGCGGCTCCTCTGTGGCGGATGGCTACAATCATGCTGGATTGAACATTAACCAGATAATACCAAAATTACAAATTCAAATAGCTTTATTCATCTTATTCCCTTGAACATTACAAAATTAACAGCAGTAGCAGGAAAAATAACAACAAAACGAAACACAGGCTAGAATCCAATGCTGTCACTGCTCATATGGAACAGCTTTTGTTCTAGAAGACATCTCTACTAATGTGAGAGGAGGGAAGGAAATTTTCTCCAACTCTCCTTTCACCCCACACATGCCATCTTCTGCTCTGTTCTGGAGGGTCTAGAAAAGCCTCTAGAACAGATTTTTGAAGAGCTCCAATGGGAAATACCCCACCCCTCAAGTTTTCAGGCATCCACTGGATCAAAAGCCATTATACAAGTGGAGCGGCAAGACTGAATTCCACTCTCGATATCGCTAGCCAGCTACCTTTGGTTTGCTCTTGATCTTTCTTACTGCCTGCAGAAGTCAGAGGATTAATTTATTTTATAGGGCTTTGGCCTCTCCTCAGTAGTCTCTTTCAAGGTGGAGTTGGTGCCACGAGCATTTCATAATTCTTTTGCAAACTGTGACTCGGCAGCCAGCCAGTGCCTTCAATGTCTCTTCCCCTAATGAGCCCAGGGCTAGCTCTGCCATGTCACAATCTCCACCTGCGTCCTTGGATCCCATGAATTAAAACCATCATCGTTTTCCTCGCTTTGTCTTATTCTCTGCATCAATGGTGACAAGGATAAGCAGGTTTGCAGCTCTCACCTCATGTAGTTTTCGAAGGCTGTTCACTGCTTCCTCTTTCTTCACAATTGCTGTCTTCACTCTACAGAGAAGAAAGCGAAAGGAGACTGAGACCCAGGGTCATACACTTATGGTACCCTTGATGTTCTGCTGTCATGTTGGAAGCTGGGGAAGAAGAGGAAGATGTTCCTGCTTCTCCAAGGACAATACCTGCCTCCTCACTTTGGCTTCTCTAGAAGATCTCACATGGCGATATAAGCCCTTTCCCGACATTCAGTGGTGAATGGTGCCCCCAAATGAAGACAGATTTAAGTAGACTGTTTAAACATGTAGTAACTCCGAACATGCAGTCTCTGTACATGTGACTGGGCACCCTGCAAAAAGGCTGGGGTTTCTTTAGGCAAAATGTGATGCTGGGGGTGTGTGTTAAAAATAGATCCAGTTATACATGGGTCTTTCTGCTCTCAGAATAGCAGTAAGAGATTATACAAATGTCTGAAAAATGACTGGGGTGCAGGTTTCTTTTTAGAGACAGCAACAAATGAAGAACCACCCTGAGATCATATGATGAAAGGCAGTATATAAATCTAAGGAATAAATAAAATAAAATATGGGACAGGTGACATTTGAAACTACTGGTTAGTGCTGCAAAAATAGATCATTTTGCTTACTTTGCTGTCTAAGATCTTGAAGATCCAGATTAACGGTAGTAAATCTTTAAGCAAAAAAGACAAGCAACTCAACCTATTGCGTTCACATGCAGTCTAGGTCCAAGGGACGAACCAAAGCTACAGGGACAGATCAGTGCTGACTTGAGATAGTGAAGAGGAATTTGTGCTACTGAAAGTCTCAGAAGAAGTGGTGGGACACAATATAGGTTTTTTCAGTAGTCAGGGACAGCAAGACCTCAGAACCAAGCACAGGTCTCTAACCTTCCCTCCTCATGACTTTCAGATGCAAAATACGTCATCAGCTTATTGGTGCCAACTTGCATAAGATTATACAGGTCACAATTCAGCTTGTTGTGGTGCAGAACTGCAGTTATCTAGGCATATAATGTTAGCTCCCTGATTAGCTACACAGCCCTGTCACATCACCACTTGACAGTTTTGCACCTTGGCAGGGCTGCCACACTAAAACTGACAAGAGCTTCTGCCTTGGGCGTGCATGGGCGGAAAAGACAACCGCAAGCGTCATTTGGGATATGCCAGCCCAGGTTGCTGCAGCATTGTTCTAGGTCAGACCTGAACTCATCTACAGCAAGTGAGATCAATCCTCACCTTTTATGCACTTCTTCCAGCTCTTCCTCTTTGTCCCTCCTCACTCTGTCCAGTTCCAAGCGTTGCCGGGCACGAAGCTCAGCCATTTCTGTCTTGAGCCGCTTGTTCTCCTCCTCTGTGCTCACCAGCCGATCTGCAAATTCCTGCCGGATGACCTCAGAGAGGCTGCTGCGCTCCTGACTTAGCTGATCCGCTACCTGTTACAGCAAGCAGAGAGGGGGAAGAGTATGTGACATATTGATGTCACTTTCCAGATATGCAAGAGATAAAGTCAGAGAGAAGGCAATGCTCAAGCTGCCATCCAAGGTCTGTCTAATTCTTTATTCTGCAGTTTACACCAGCAGAATTTACAGGTCCTTAAACCTTATCCAAAGACAAGAACCCACACACCTCTCCCATACTCATCGCATCAGGGTCTCTGGGATTCCTCCCTACCTTCCCTTTCTCCCCTGGATTTGGAGAGGAACCTGTCTGAGCAGAAAAAGCTTACTAGGAAGTCACCGCTTGCCTTCTCTGTGATACACCCACCTTTCGGATATCCTCTGTCTCCTGTTCCTTCTGCCGCAGCAGACCTCGCAGGTGAAAAATCTCGCCTTCTGCCTCTGAGAGCCGTCCCTTCATCTCGTTGCAGCGCTCTTGGAGTTTACGTTCTGAGTGTTCCATTTCTTGCAGCTCTGCTTCATATTTGTCCCGCAATCTCTTTATTCTGAATAGAGAATGGGAAGAGCTCCTGACTGCCTGCTCAAGCTGGAGCAGACCCCCCAGTTTTATCAGGAGGCCTTTGAGGCATAATACAGCTCTTAAGACCATTTTTATGAATGAGGTGACTGTAGAGAAGGGTTCTCAAGCTTTCTGCCCACTGGGGCCACTTGAGAGGGCTGAGGTCTAGAAGTCACAAAATATTGGTGGAAGGGTAGAATTGGTTTGGAGCTCATATCCTGCAGCATTGCTTTACAAATTTGCCAAAGCACAAATGAAGTGTTCTGATCTTCTGGCACTCTGAACAAAGTGTGTTTGTGTGTAAAGGCAAGCCAGTCCTGAGAAAGTTCGTTCTGACTTTCAGCTTCCAAAAATACAGAGGTAAGTGCCTTCAATGACTGATAAAGGCACTGTGGGCCATCTATAACATGCACCAGTTCTAATGAATACCTGGAGCTATGAGAAAAATAAAAACGGCAAGGTAGCAAATATGTGGGTTCAAGGACCTAGTCACAAAGGAATACCAGCAATCCCACCTGTAAAGTCAGGATTATTACCTGTTGCTTCAAATGGCCGGTGATTCAAGGAAAGCAAAACAAGTGTGTAAAATATGCAGATACACACCACCTGACTAGGCCAACTACTTGCTTGTGTGGTTGAGGGTCACAATACCTCGAGGACCACATCTCCACATATGAACCAACCCAGACCTTGCAATCATCACCTGAGGTCCTTCTTTGTGTGCTTCCTTCATGCAAGGACCAGAGGGTGAAAACACAAGAATGGGCCTTTTCTGTGGTGGCTCCCAACTTGCCGAATGCTCTCCCCAGGGAGGCTTTCCTGGAGCCTTCATTACATTTCTTTAGGAGCCAGGCAAAAACATTCCTCTTCTCCCAGGCCTGCGGCTAATTAAACAATCTATGGTCTTTTAAACTATGTGTGGAGGGGTTATGTTATTGCTTTTGTTCATTACTATGGGGGTGTGTGTGTGTGTGTGTGTGTGTGTGTGTAGCAAACTGCCCTGTGATCCTCAGATGAAGGGCAGTATAGAAATTTTAATAACAACAACAACCCTGCCCAAGGTCCACACTGAGAACCCAGCTTATAAAAAGCTTGAGCCAAAATGCAGAAGGCCATTTAGGGAACAATGGGAATGCAATTATTTTTGACCTTCATACATAACTGATTTACCTGTTCTCTGTGGCTCTCTCACACTCTTCCTTAGCAGAGGACATGTCAGCTTCTAGCCTCTGAATGACCAGTTCAATCTCCTTGTCCCTCTCCTTCCTCACTTCTTCCCTCAGCTCTCGCTCCCGAGTGAGCAGCCAGGCCTCCTGAAGACAATACAAGAGAGCCCAGGTAAAGTTTAATCTGGGCAACCAAGGTAAAGCGAGAGGGCAGCTTAAAAGGGGAACTACAACATTACCTCCTTCTTTAGGTAGTTGGCCTCCCAGGCCTGCTTCTCCATCTCCAGCTGCACCTTCAAGGCCTGCACCTCTGCCTTGAGGAAGGAGGAAAGAGCACAGTGAGGCGGGGATCAGGGACAAAGGAGAGAGAGGGGCTGACCCCTCAATCTCTTCCCCTTCCAATCTCCATTAATCCTGGTCCAAGATTTCCAAATCAAAAGAGCATGTGTGTTTACCAAATGGATGCTCAAAGAGGATTGAAATTATTATTTTCATCTACACCACTCCAAAGATTGAAAGGATGGAGCACTACACCAGGCTTTCTGCTTTGCAAGAGTGCTCCACACCCGGTGCAACCACATCGGTTGCGTTCCCCCAGAGCCGCCTCTGGCCACAGGAAAACGAAGGTGGCAGGACAGAGGCTGTTTTCAAAACTACTGTCTGTCTCCAACCTCAGCCTTCGGTTTTATACGTCCACATTCTTCACAGAGACATAGAGGCCATGGCCAGGCTTACTACTAGCTTGCCAGGCTCTTTGCCTGTCTGTGTATGTGGTCTCACCTTCCAAACTGCACCCCACTCATCAAACAGAAAGAGAACTGGGAGCAGATTGGGATTCCATTCTAGTCCTGCAATGAAACAGGTCAAAAAACTGAGGTCACTGACACAATTTGTCTGCCAACCCTCAACCACACCATCAAAATCCAAGTGGCAAGTGCTGAATAATGGGAAATAAGGGTTTTCTGGTGGCCCATTCTAGACAAACTTATGCACTTCCCTGATAAGCTAGCTCACTCCAGCCCTGTATAGCAGGGGAGGGAAGATTTCAGGCTTGTTTGATCTGCCGTGGTTTTTGTTTTGTTTTTTTACTAGAACTCCAAGATCAATCAATCAGAGCCATATTCAAAAGACACAGGGGTATATCTAAAGACGAGGGTGGCTTTGAGCACTTTCTGAGCCCAGAAACTGAGCTCAAAGTCCTTTCCCACAACGGTTAGCTGCTTTCATTTCAGTACCCTAATTTAGGGTCATTTTGCTGTTGCTGCTCTTGAACCATTCTTTGTTAAAACTATCTGGAGTCAGAAACTCTTACTGATGCGCAACAAATGTACCAGATCTGCCTTCTGCCCACTCCTGTCCTGTATTGTGCCATGCCTCCCTGTAGAGAGCTGCCCCAGTCCAACAGGGGAAGTGCAGGTAAGTCCATGGGACAGAGCTGATCTACGTAACAGGATACATGTTTAGGGATGGGGAGGGCCAACAGGAAATCAAGATGCAGTTAAAACTACATTTTCAACTCCAGAAACCAGTCGAATCATATAAAGCAAAAAATGTCATCTACCGATAAACGAGAGGGTATATGGCCCAGCAGTTCAGAAATCCCCAGGGTTGTATACACAGACCTGATGGCGTCGCTCCTGCTCCTCCTTCCCTTTCTTATATTCCTCCTTCAAAGCTTTGGTAACAACAGAGCTGTTCTCTTCCAGCTGCCGCCGCAGGTCCTCCAACTCAGTCCTCTGCCTGGGGAGCACAGATCAATACCATGGAACTGACAGCTTACCCGGCTTGGCGAGACAATCCGGGGACAAGCTGGACCTCACCTCTCTGGAGAAATGGGGGAAACTGGAGCCTCAGTCTGTTCTTAGTCACTCTCCCAGCAAAGGCAATTTAGAGAACTGACCCAGGGTGGCATGGGGAGAGCACGTACCACAGTGTTTCAAGCATCTTGCAATACACAGCAAGAGAGGAAGCCGCAAATCTTCCTGAGAGCTAAAATTTCCCCCTGGAAGTGGAACAAGCTGCTCCAATCTCACCTGGTAACTTAGTATGAGATGTCTATGATAAAAACAATACACTCTGGGACTTGGTGTTTGTTACCTTGCGGAATTCCAGTACTTGGTGGGTTCTTTCTATGCACTCTGCACTGTACAGACAAACCTGCTCTACATATCCAGCAGCTTTGAAGCCAGTACCTACCGTATTTTTTGCACCATAACACTCACTTTTTTCCTCCTAGAAAGTAAGGGGAAATGTCTGTGCGTGTTATGGAGGGAATGCCTATGGGTGGCATGCCTACGGAATTTCCTCCTCTAAAAACTACGTGCGTGTTATGGTCGGGTGCGTGTTGTAGAGCGAAAAATACGGTACTTCTCTCACCTGGCCGCCTGCTGGTTGAGCCTTTCTTTCTCCTCGGCCACCTCATTGTACAGTCGGCGCCTCTGTTGCTGCAGAGCCTGTTCCTCCTGCTCCAGTTGTTTCTCATACCTGTGTGGAGGGACTCTTTCAGAGAGGGTCTTACCAAGGGTGCTGTATCCTTGGTTTGGCCTGAAGTTTAGGGGGAAGCAGCGGGAGCAATGATTTCCTATGCTGGGAGAAAATGTAAGATGACACATAGTCCCTTTTGGGCATACTTAAGAGTTATCAAAAAACACAGCCATCACAGAAGAGAGGGGCCAAATTTCTACTTGGGAACAGAGAAGTTGGAAGAGGAGAAACCCGGCAGCTTGGAGGAAAGGCTCAGTAAGAATGTTATCAAGGTCACAGCAAGCATGCAAGTAACTCTTCAGAGGATGCTACCCAGCTCTGTTTATCTGCTACCTCCTTCCTATAGAACAACAACAGGCACCTGTCTTGGCTCTCTGAAGTTAAGACTAACAGCCAGGATAGCACCACAAAGCTGGACAAGGAAATACAATAACAGCTTTATGATAAGTGCCAATGTGCTTGCTCTCCCTCACCTCTACGTACTGTATCAATGGTATTGTATTGCCTTTCTCGCACTGATCTGGCCACAGTGATCCATATGACGGTCACCTCCAGGCTTGATTACTGTAACTCGCTCTATGCGGGGCTGCCCTTGAAGCTAACCCAGAAACTCCAGCGGCTGCAGAATGCCGCGGCGAGGCTCCTTACGGGGTCCTTGTCACGGAATTACCTTCATCCAGTGCTTTACCAACTGCACTGGCTCCCGGTGGAGTACAGGGTCAGGTTTAAAGTGCTGGTTTTGACCTTTAAAGCCCTATGTGGCCTAGGACCCATCTACCTACAGAACCGCCTCTCCTGGTATGCCCCGTGGAGGACCTTAAGGTCCACAAATGACAACATTTTGGAGGTCCCAGGTCACAATGTGGTTAGATTGGTCTCAACTAGGGCCAGGGCCTTTTCAGTACTGACCTCGACTTGGTGGAACACTCTGTCTTATTATTATAGTGGGAGAAACAGCTAAACTAGCAGTATAACTAATCTACACCCAATTTTTTCCAGCTGTTACCTTCCGCTGAGTAAGTTGTTCACACAGTGTTCAGGGGTGTTGCCTTCTCCAACTGTTAAGCAGAAATACTATACCCGAGCAGCTTGTTTCCTGCTGCCACCTTTCTGCCCCAACACTCTCTCTCTCTCTCTCTCTCCCCACAGGCCACCTTCCCTTCCCTGAACAGCTGCCATGCCAGTCCCCACTTCTTCTGTGTGCCACCACACTGGGTTGCCTCGCCAGCTCCTCCCTCTCTTTGCACAGTTACAATGTAGTCCTCTTCCACCGCCCCTCTGTATAAGTAAGTTGTGCAAGCTCTGCGCCATAAGCCCTACATACCGTTGCCTTGCCAGCTCTCTCTCTCGTTGCCCCTGCTCTTCTTTCTCATGCTCCAGCATCTCCCTCAGCTCCTCCGTCTGGCGTACGTAACGCTGGGCTGCCCGCTCATCGGATTGTAGCAGCTCTGCTTCATGCAGCGTTTTCAGCTTTTTGATCTCTAGCTTGTGCTTAGCAATAAGCTTCTGAATCTCAGGCTCCAGACCTGAATGGAGAACAAATGGGGAGGACTATTAGCAAGATATGGGTGGTGGCGGCAAGAGGGGCCGTCACTAAAGAAAGGTCCCACTTGCCAAAGTAGGCGAACTTTGCTGAAAAGCAAAAACTACAATTGGAATACTTTACATTAAAACATTCCATGCACACATGCAACCTTTATATACAGCACATAGCTCTCTGGGCATGGCAAGTGCTGGTTGACCTAGTGAATGATGGAGGCTTACTGTGCATGATTCAGTAAGAAGAAGCCTTGCAACCCTGACAGTCATCTGACTGGGTCACCCTGATCTCAGTTCCAAACAAAAACTCTAGTAACAGAGCTGAGCCATGGTAAGGGAACAGAAAAAACAAAAACAAAACAAAATGACCTCTGATCCTAGTAGGTAGGGCAAAGAATACACAATGCTTACTAAGTAATTCTCAACAAGGAGAGACTACGTCAAATCCTATAGATTGTGCTTTTTAAAAAGTCACTCCCTAGTACTTTTGTTAAAGAAGCTTATTTTTTGCACAAAAAGATGGAACAATCTCCCCTCCATCACCTCCCTAAAGTCGCACATAATGATGACTCACGTTTTAGAAGCAGGGATGCAACAGTGCTAACTGTACTGAACACCCCACCCCAATTGCATTTTAATACAGAGGTTTTTGCATTGTTAGTGTCATTACTTTTAAACTTATATATACATATATAAAATGCATTAGCTATGTGTGTTTCATTTGTATTAGTTTTCATTTTAGTGAGCCGCCTTGAGCCCCTGGCAAAAGGCAGGATATAGTGTAATAACTGTAATTATTATTACTCTTGCTATTATTATTACTACTACTATTACTATCACTATTATTATTATAAAAGGAGTCAGTTCTGCAGCCCCACTAACTCTACATTGAATAAGCCACTCCTTGTGCATAATGGTAGCAAGAAGATGACTCAGTCACAGCTATCCACAAGTACCTTTAACAGTGATCTCTTTGATCTTCTTGGTTTTCTCATCAATCCATTTCTCCCGGCGGATCTTTTCTGTGGCACTCATGAGTTCCTTCAGCTTCTTTATTTCCTGCAGGGGAAGAAAAGGGGAGGGGGGAATGCAAGACACAAATCAGACATTTCTTCATTAAATACTGAAAACATGCTGCCATGAACCTGCCCAGGCAGTCATGAAGTGTCTCCTCTATACACTGAGAAAGCAGTAGGTGCACACCCTGCCTCCCTGCAACTCTGGCTGGATTCCCAGGAATGCAACCTTGCAAAGAAAACCTGTAATGAGTTTTCCTTCCCAGCTATCAACAATATATCCAAAGATAGAGAAACAGCAACAGAACCTACCAAAAGCATATACCTAAGTAAATTCGGGTTTGTGCACTACCCTCACACAGATTGAGTATATAAGCAGGACTGTGCACATTTATGTGGCAAAGCAAGAAAAAAAGCAAGATGAGGGATATCACTTCTGAGGATCCCAAATTTTAAGAAGCAGATTTCTAGCCACAGGCACAGAGAAAGGTGCTCTGGTGATTTCTGCTGAAGGTGTACTGTTGGCTGACTTGCTAGTAGCTAAGACAGGGTTCACCCTTCCTTCTACATCCCCTGCCCCAGGAAAAGCAATTCAAGGTTCCCTCTCCCCCACCTTCTAGCTCTCCACTACATTGGCCTTTGCCAACAGAATCAGGAAACCTGAACACTTCAGTCATAAAATGGAGGAGGGAGGGCACACAGGAACATGAAAGAAGTGCCTTAAACTGAGTCGGATCATTGCTCCATCTAGTTTAGTATTACCTGCAGCATTTATTCTGAATGCAATAGAGTAACCCTAACTCTGCCCAGGATTGTTCGGAGTGGCAGAGGTACTGCTGCACCTGAAGCCCTGATGGTTCCTGCTGACCAGTGCAGAATATGGAGGTGGGGGTAGCTTCCTATTTTTCTGCACTAGCTATAGGCTGTTGGACAGTGTTCTCGAAGCTCCAAACATGAGCCTGACCAAACTGCGGGAGGCAGTAGAAGACAGGAGTGTCTGGCGTGCTCTGGTCCATGGGGTCACAAAGAGTCGGACACGACTAAACAACAAGCTATAGGCTGGCACAACAGCCCATTGGCCCCTTTCTACCAAATGGGCCAGCTTAATAAGCTGCGGGTCCCTGGCCAGCTCTGCTCTGCTCCTGAAATGTTCCATTCCAGAGTCTTGCACCAGCTATTGCCAGCAGGAATGTTGGTAGCTGTAGCTCCAAAACAGCCCATGCCTTTGGCAGGAGCAGGAAGGGTTCCTATGGCAGTGGAGCTCTTCTACCCTGCCAGCAGAGCCTAGCAAAGGGACATCTTCATTGAATGCATCCCCTCTAAGTGCAGATCAAGGCGAGGATTGCAGTCTATTTCTATTTTCCCCTTGTCAGTATTCCACTTTGCAATCTCGTTAGCATACTAGAATTAATCATCGGTGCTCATTGGCTTCTTAGACCCAGAGAAATGATGGTATTGGTTGAAGGACAATGCCACTGCCTTTTCTTGAGAGACGTTTTGCTTATGATGGTGCACACGTGTTTATTTTGTCCTATTGCTGTCTCTCCTGCCAACCTAGCAGTTCAAAAGCACGTCAAAGTGCAAGTAGATAAATAGGTACCGCTCCGGCGGGAAGGTAAATGGCATTTCCATGCGCTGCTCTGGTTCGCCAGAAGCAGCTTAGTCCTGCTGGCCACATCCCGGAAGCTGTATGCTGGCTCCCTCGGCCAGTAAAGCGAGATGAGCACTGCAACCCCAGAGTCGGTCACGACTGGACCTAATGGTCAGGGGTCCCTTTACCTTTATTGCTGTCTCTGTACAAACACTTTTTCCAAATTATGGGTGGAATTCGACACAGCAGAGCTACTGAAATTAATAGACTTAACTTAGTCAAGTTCATTAATTTCAGTGGATCTACTCTGAGCAGGCCTAGTGTTGAATCCCACCTTTTAAAACAAAATGGAACTTGCAAAATTTATTTGCACAGAAGTTGAAGTGGGGCATGTATACACATCTTGAACAGCAACCCCCCTTTCAAACCATCTTCAATGCTCTGAAAAAAACACCACCCCGTCATCTGTCTTCAGTTTTGTCCAAGTCTAGCCACTGAATTTTATGAATGATATTTGAATGTGGGTCTATCCATTTATCAGTAGGCAGTGAGGAATGCAAAAGTGACTGAGGAATTTGGATTGGTTTTGCTTCACAGGCAACTCCACCAAAAGGCTGTTCAGTAAGGCACTGAGGATAAGAGTTAAAGAGCAGTTCCACTTTTGGCTGGCATCTGACATGACCATGAAAACAGACACCTAGAGCGTGCCACTATCAAGGAAGAGCTCTTTGTCCCAAGCTGCAACAAGTGCCCTAGCCATACCCCCAAAGAAGGGACCTAACACAGGAGGTGGGGAACCTGTGGCCCTCCAGATGTTGCTGGATTACAACTCTCATAAACCATTGACCCCTCTTGCTGGGTGTGACTGATGGGAGCTGAGAATCCAACAACATCGGGGTGGGGAGGAGGCGTCACAGGCTCTCCACCCCTGGATCTAAAGAATTCACGAATAGTTGCACCAACAGGCTCAAGACAGGTGAGAGAGACAAAAGCTGAAGCCAAAGAGCACGCACAGAAAAGGTTTACCTCACAGAGGGGGCCCAGAGTGCGCCAAACCTAGAGAGAAAGAGGAAGAAGTGAGAGATAGAGGGAAATGGAAAGGAGTGTGAAATAAGAGTGTCTTGAGAAACAGGTGCAAAGAGGCAACTGGCAAATGCTAAGATCTGGAGCAGCTGGGCTCCTGCTCAAAGTGTTTGCCAAGGCGAGGCTCATCCAAGCGCCGAGAAAGCTTCCTACTTTTGCAGGGAAGGGTGTGCCAAGAAGCAGAAGCAGCAAAACCAAGCAAAGGAGCCTCCTTGGTGTAGGCAGCTTTGCCAATGCAAATCCTTAACTGTCTTAGCTGAGGTCCAGCGCCGAGGGCCTTCTGGCGGTTCCCTCATTGCGAGAAGCAAAGCTACAGGGAACCAGGCAGAGGGCCTTCTCGGTAGTGGCGCCCGCCCTGTGGAACGCCCTTCCAGCAGATGTCAAAGCGATAAACAACTACCTGACATCCAGAAGACATCTTAAGGCAGCCCTGTTCAGGGAAGTTTTTAACGTGTGATATTTTACTGTATTTTTGGTTTCTATGGAAGCCGCCCAGAGTGGCTGGGGAGGCCCAGCCAGATGGGCGGGGTATAAATAATAAATTATTATTATTATTATTATTATTATTATTATTATTATTATTATCTACAGTTTCCCCTTTAATGATAACAAAGGCAGTCACAACTATCTTGTATTGTTAATGATCCTATAGACCAGGGGTGCTTAGTTAAGTGCTACAAGCTATTAAGACATGAGAGAAGAGCCTGGGTCAGTTCGGCTTATTAATTCCAAAGCTCTGGGTGGCAGGAGCTTCATTTGCCCTTTCCCAGAAATGTTATAGCTACAATCAAATGAAAGCCAGCAGGGCAAGTCTTTCTTTTTAAGAAGGGCCAACTGCAAGATGGGGCTGAATGGCTTCAGCCAATGAAGCATATTCCAAATGGGATGAACAGCAAAGGAAAGGGGAATGATTTCGCAGGAACCTAGGACAATCCTTCTGGCTTAGTAATGGTAACATATCCCATGCTTAGCTACAAATGCCCTTGCAAGCAGCCATGCTGTTGTGAACTTGCTATATCCAGCATAAAAGACATACAGTCTTAACTTGAGTTAGTCTTAGGCACTGCACTCTATAAACTACTATATTTACTCAAGTCTAATGCGCCATCGAATTTAATGCGCACCTCAATTTTCAGAACCTTGAAACCAAAAAAACTGTTTGCTGGTGAATGTCAATGTGCCACCAAATCTATAACACACACCTTAATTTTTGCGACGTAATTTGGCAAATAAAGGTGAGAATCAGATTCGAGTACATACGGTTATTCCTACCCAGTTTCAGTCAGAATTAAGAAACTGTTCGGAAAAATAAGGATGAATTGTCTTTGGGCCCTGGCAGGGGACTTCAATAAGCATTACCTCCAGGCACAGCAAGAACCAGAGATGCAGACTTTGTCATTGCTCCTGCCACCCTAGGATGTCTAGCTCAACCACAAAATTCAAGAGAGACAAGCACTATTGACAGTCATAACCAATTCTCTCTTTTTGTTACAAATGCCCCTCATTTCAACTTAAAACAGATTCTGTTGCACAGCACGAGGTATAAGAAATCCCTCCCCATTTGCAAAGAAGGAGCAGGATGACTCCAAATGCATCACATAAATGTGTCACATAAATACTTCCAATTCAGCAGCTAGAGCCGTATCAAGGCAACCAAGCATAGAACAAAGAAAAAATATTCAGGTAGACTTAGTTGAGAGTCTTCTCACCAAGTACAAGAAAAGGCCTTCTCCACCATATTGTGTACCAAAAAAGGGAGGGAAACTCATACACTGGATATTTTTGTGTGTGAAAAACAAAACTTCTACACTTCAGACAGCCTTTATGCTCCCCTCCACCCCTTAAGCATTCTGTATCTCTCGTCTTTCTCTCGGCTGGTCAGGAAAGAGCTCTTCAGAAGGTCTCAACACTGCTTACGGCTTTTAACCTGGTTCCTGTCTATGAACCAAAGGAGAACTATTCAGATACTTTATCTAGCTGGTGTGCAGCTCTGTCACCCAAGGAACTAAAAGCTACTTCCTCACCAGCTCATGCTGCTCCTGCATCTGGGCAATTTTCTTCGTGTATTTCTGATCCACTTGTTTCAATTCAGTCACCACCGCTTCACATTTCTCGCTCAGAGTCTTCTTATCCTCAATCAGCTGTAGGGGATGGGTGCAAAGGAGGATAAAGTCACAGCACCTCCCCAAAATTACATCTACTATAGTGACAGGCAATTGGGAGAGCAAGCACTTTAAGGCTGCCACCTTACGCAGGTGTCAAAGCGGATGCTAAGCTCCCCCTTCACCAGCCTAGTCAAGGATTACACGTTGAATTAGTATGTTTAGGTGAAGCTGGGAGAGGTAAAAGCATATAGATATGCCAGCAGTGCAAAGGAGTCTAGGAAAGGGGTTGTAAGCAGGGTGGACACAATAATAATATCTTCACCTTCCCATCTTCAAAAAGGAGGGGGGGGGAGGAAGAGGATACCTGGTCAATGAAGGCGAGGTGCCGTTGGATAGCTGCTTCATACTGCTCCCTTTGTAGTGCCAGCTGGCGACTCAGCTCTTTCTCTGTCCCTTTGACATGATGTACAGTCAGCTCCCGTTGCTGTGCCTGCAGGAAACAATAACCCGGGCATATTAAGAATAGGCTGGGCTATGCAGCCAGTCAAATTAAACCCTGCAAAAAAACAGAGAAGGACAAGAAAACACATGTCACATGTATGCTTACTCTCAGACAAGAGGATCTTCCCATCCAAAGGAATGTAGGAAGATGCCTTATCCCAAGTCACACCACTGGTCCATCTATCTCAGTGTCTACCCCAGGAGCGAGGAGACTTTGGCTCCCGGATGTTACTGAGATACAACTCCTATAATCCCTGGCAATTAGCCATACTTGCTGGGACTAATGGGAGCTGTAATTCAGCAACAACTGGAGGGTCAAAGGTTCCCCATCCTTGGCCTACACTGACTTATGGGGGCTTTCCAGGGGTTTCAGGCAGGGGTTTCTCCCAATCCTACCTTGGAAATGCCAAGGACTGAATCCGAGACCTTCTGCATACAAAGTAGAACTTATACCACGGAGCTAATTCCCTTCCCCCATACTGATGGCTTTGTCTGGCTTTACAAACCAGACTGCAGAAGCCTAGGCTGTCAGGTAGGGTAGGCCTCTGCAACTCTGGCTGCTCAGGCTTTAAATCCATGTATCTTCCACACAACATAGCTGAATCCTGGGCTCTGCTGTGCTTTGTGACACAGCCCCCCCTTTCCTAGCACATGCAAACCTGCCAAGGGATTAGGCTCTAGTTACCCACCAGTGCTGTCTGTAGCAATGTGATGGCTCTCTTCTTCTCTTCTACCTCCAGCTTCAGCCGCATGATGGAGCTGGTAACCTCTGTGGCAACTGCTGATGCCTGCTCCAGGTGAGCTAGCTCTTCTTCTGACAAGAGCCCCTGACAGGTGGTAGAAATGCAGGTCTTGGTGTTACTACTAAGAGTTTCTCTTTTAATAGAACATCTAAAGTTACTCAGCTCACGTTTTGCCGATTACAAACCAAGCTATTAATTTCCTGAGGCAGACCTAGTTATCTGCCTCAAGGAAGATGAGACCAGCCGTTTATGCTGAAGGCCAATACAGCAGCAAAATCCCAATATGAATTTTATGAGCTTGCAAACTCAATCCTCTTTTTTGTTGCATCAGGTGAAGACAATTACCCACTTAATTCATTGAAAACGGACGATTCCCATCTTTGCTGAAAGTCAACTTCATGCTTGGGGGCTCACCTCTCGCTGGGAAGCAGAGGCAGCAGACCTAGGTCGCTCCTGCTCGGATTTCTCCATCTCATCCAAGAAACTAATGATGCTCTGAAGTTTGGCTTCCGAGAGCAGCGTGCCTTCCTCAGGGACTCCCGGAGAATAGTTCAGTTTCCCAAACTTCTCCAGGTTGTCAGCAGTGAGAGAATTTGAGTCGGCCTCCTGTATTTAGGGAGAAAAGGCCAGCTATCTATGCTAGACGTAGACAGGAATGGCAGAACAGATATACTTCAACCATGAGTTGTGGATAAGAATAGAATCAGAGAATTGTAAAATTGTTGTGGACATGCACTTATTGATGGACCATGTTTTCCAGGAAAGTCATCTTCTAGGCCACTTTAACTAAAAACCAGGTGCTAGTGTGAGTTAAATGAAAGGACTTTCTGACTCAAGAGGGGATGATTTCCTCAACTCTCTTTAGGATAACCAAACATGCAAGTAATACTATCAAAGGTATTTGGAGTTGGTGGAAATAGTTGTGGGTCACAATAGATCAGCAGCAAATTATTGTGCACAACATGAGACAGTAGCAATGGGATGCCCTTTACTTCCTGGCCCATGGAAAACAAAAAACCAGAACCTCAAATGAGGTTGTTGATTCAGGGTAACAGCTTCAGAATAAATCATGAAAAAGGAACAGACAAAGACAGATAGATTTCTATATCTATTCCACTTACCCCATCTACCCAAGCATATTTATCTTCTTTGCAGGCCTTGGGTTGTGGTGGCAACTCTGGCTCCTCCTCCAACAACTTTAAGGTATCCAGTAGCTCATTAAGGGTGACTTTGGACTGTGCTCTGCTGGCTGCAGTGATAATAGTCTCCAAGTCTTCACTGCCCATCTTTCCAGAGCTGACATCCTTAAAAACAGAGAAAATCCATGCACGGTGAGATTGCAAGAAGGGCGCATTCCTGGTGTTTCATTTGAATGGAGTGAGTAGATCCATCTCCTCACAGTACAGTGCGCAAGCTGAACAGAATATTTCATAGCAAAGCACTTGAAAACTGTGCAAACTGCAAAGTCACCGGAGTAAAAAAAGAAAACAGCAACTAAGCTTTTGGGAGCATGAGAAAATAGAAAGGGGCACCTGTGGCTGATCTTCAGGTAGTTTGTTTTGTCCTGGGACAGACAGACAAGCCCCAGCAGAATGTTCTTCTGTATCTGCAGCTGCCAAGTGGAAGTTGGCATCTGTAAATAACAACAAAAAGGATTTGCTATGATAGGAATCCAGTGCCCAGAAACATAATCAGGTGTGGTGGGTTTGTGTGAGAGTTTTTGCTTTTTTAACAGATGGGCAAAGGACTATATCTTGAGCAATGAAGATTTTGGCTGAAAAAACCTCTTCTATTACATGCATGGTGAACGGAGGCTGTTTTTCAGTCCGAGGTGGAGATCTCCTTGTGGGGAACTTTTGGCTATTTGACGGTGGTAGATGTCGACAAGGCAAAAGTAGGCAGAGCAAGTGGTATGACTTTTACCTTTCTATAGTAGGCTATGTTCCAGCGACACAAACCTCAGAAATTTCTAAACACATATACAGACCATCTCTCCAGCCTCCACCACAGAAGCAGGAGGCATTATTGCAAGTCCAAGGACACATTCGAACAAGCCAAAAGCACTTGAGGAGGGTGCCGAGCAGGGCTGATGAATGGCACGGTCTGGATAGGGGTATGGCCTGAGGAAGAGTCCTGAGGGCCAAACAGACCTGGAGAACCACATCTGGCACCAGGTCTGAAACTCCCCACCCTTGGTGTGCAGCTTGTCTGATGAAGGTTTCTAGTTACACTACAATGGGAGGAAGTGGGTGAGCATCACAATGGACTCTTCTTTGACTTGCTCAGATCAAGCACCAATTGCATTTGGATGAGCTTCAAAGTGAAGCTGTGTGTTACTGGAACGAAATGGAACTGTAACACACACAGTTTGCAGACACAGCAATGTACAATTTAGCAACAGTATTTCCATTCCGCCCTTCCCTTTTGATTTCCTCAGGACTTCCCAGCAACCACAGAGCTGCAGCAATCAGTTGCACACATCTTCTCCTGAACACTTCTTACTTGAGCATCTAGACTTCTCTGAACTTATTCCTTCAACATCTCCGACATGGTACTTTGTGCTTGGTTCTCCCTAATGCAATCTGTGGTCTCAATGATCATATACTGTTTTGCAACTTATCTGGTAAAATGATAGGACAGTTGTAGGCCTACCAGATCCAGTGTAACTGCACAGACGTTGCACTGAAGTTGTGAAGAACCTGGGACTTCAACCCCTATCAGCCAAGCATGGACAGTGGACAGGTATGTTGGGAATTGTAGCTGAACAATATCTGGAGGGTCACAGGTTTCCTACTTCCTGGACTAGAGGAATGTTCAGGAGACATCTTTACCTACAGTTTCACAATCTACCAGTGCTTTTCACCTGCATTGTTGGCTTTGATGATGCTGTTGGCAGGGCTAGTGTTCTTCACAGAGCCAGCCTTCTCAGGTTTTCTTCTTCTGGTTTTCTTGCTCTCTTTCATTGCTGCCAGCTCCTCCTCAACCAAGCGTTGCGTATCCAAGACTTTCTGGGCTCTTTTTTGCTGCAGCTCCTAGCAGGAAAAAAAATGGTGTTAGTGTTCTGTTATGGTCCACTTGCTCCTCCATTTGCAGCACTGGCAAATTAACACGTTCCAAGCTCTGAACAAACCAAAGCAATGAACTCCTCTCTTAATGTCCAAGGCAGGCAATGCTGGTATCAAGCCCCTACCTGGATGGCTGCTCGTCTGGCAAGACGTGCCTTCTCCTCTCGAATCTTTTTCCTCTCCTCGTCTCGCCTCCGCTGCAAATCCAACATGTTGCCCTCCTCTGTGAGTTGCTGCTGCCTTTCCTTAAAAGGAGTTGAGGCAGAAAGGATTTTCAGGTGTTGTTATCAGTTTCCTATTCTGGTACAAATGACAGCTGGGTTCCCCCGCTCCCCACAAGAGAAACTAACATGCGAAGATGTTTTTATTAAGGTATCAAGAAGCTCAAGAAATAAAAAGAAATTCAGACATTCCTGTACATTTCAGATGTGGGACAATTAACTGATTTAGGGCTCTGCTACTATCGGACAGGATGAGGAAGGCCTTACTAATAGCTTTTTGCACAGCTGTAGCCACACTGCTGTGGAAAAGAAGTAGTTTCAGCTTTTGATAGAAAAGATGAACAATAAGGACTGGCGTAGAGTTTGGATTATTTCAGAGCAGCAGCATCAAATTTGGGTTAAAGAAAGGAGCTGTTCTGAAAATGAACTAATGAATAAATCTCTCTAAAAAAACCAGTTTTTTTTCTGTTTTCTTTTTAAGCTACCAATCTAGGAAGAAGAGAAGAGGCCTGCTGGATCAGACCAAAGGCCCCTCTAGTCCAGTACAGTGGTACCTCTAGATATGAATGGGATCCGTTCCAGAGCCCCGTTTGCAGGTAAACGTAACTAGCGGCGGAACGTCTGCACATGCGCGTGTCGCTTTTTGCTGCTTTTGCGCATGCGCCTGACGTCATTTTGAGCGTCTGCGCATGAGCAAGCGGCGAAACCCGGAAGTAACGCGCTCCATTACTTCCGGGTTGCCGAGGAGCACAACTCGAACGCGCTCAACTTGAAGCATATTTAACCCGAGGTATGACTGTATCCTGTTCTCACAGTGCCAACAAATGCTATAAAGAAACATACTGCCTCTGACAGTGGAAGCAGAACAAAGCCGTTATAGCTAGTCAGCGGGGGGCGGAGATCTGGAGAAGCATATGGACAGCATCTGATGAGATTTCAGAAAAGGAATGAACAGAACTTCCTGAAAGTGGGAGAAGGCAGGTTTCAGTGTCCTTCATAATCCCCACTCACTTTTTTCAGGTCTTTGCCAAACTATGCTCTTTGAAAAAATGGCTCATAGAACTGTAAAAAATGACCAAATGAATGGATATCAGTAAATCAACACAACTTACTTCGCTGAGTGGCAAAGAACTGGAAAAGTGCATCCGACATTAACCGCTCTGCCCTGAGTATTCTGATTAACAACCAGAACCTTTTGTTTCATCTGAGAACGGTTCCTCCAATAAGAAGCTACTCCTTAGGAGCAAATGTCAGAAGAGGAGATATCACTTCTGACACAGCACCATATAACCCCAAATGAACAAAACTATTTGGGGAACAAAGAAACGTTTTCCTTAATTCTCAGGAAACGTGAAAGTCCGCTTTATACAATGCATGTATGCTATACATACCTCTCTTTTGGAAGCTAGTAAGCGCCTGAGCTGGGCTGCACCTTCCTTGTGCCTCTGAGAGTGTCGTCTGTACCAGCGCTGTATCATCACAGCGGCCAGGTTGACCTGGTTAATGAACCTGAATGGGTAGAAAGAAGTTAACAAAAAGTGAAATGGCTTTCCAACCACAAATGGAAACCCTGCCATGAAGCAGGAAGAGACACACACAGAGAGAGATGCCATGCTGAAGGTGTGGCTCTTGCCTATATGGCTCCTGTTTAGAAAGAGCCCCCTCACTTTTTTTCTTCTTCTTAGAAAACAATATAAAGTCCAACGCTCGGTTCAGAGGGATATATTTTAGACAAACGTGAAAGGAAATCAGGCCCCAGCACTATTTTATTAGAACCGATAAAATGTGAAAGGACTGACCTATCAGCTGGAAATCATCAAACGCAGCTATTAAAGCTGCTAAGCAGCAACATATTATGTACCCTTCTCTGAACTACCATGAGGCTTCCTCTCATTCTTCTGCATACCTTCCCAACATCTCCTCTGGTTATCTCCTTTGTTGCCAGCGAATTCACGCTTACCGCTCAGCCTCCTCCTCCGATACTTCCTGCCTCCTGAGGGGGTTACTGCTACTGCTGTTATTATTGTTCCGAGCCAGGATATTGCTGCTGGAAAAGTTTTTCTGGGACTTCATGTAGCTGCTACTCTCTGTGTCTTCATTGGAAGTGGCTTTGATAATGTTACTAAGAAAACAAGACAAGAACACTTCAGTCAGAAGCATCTTCTGTATTGCTCAACGGGTTGTTAGCATGCCATACTACCCAGTGATGGACACGTGTCTATTTTCCAGAGTGTATTGATACTGTGTTTTACTGTCCTTGGTAGACTGCCTTGGGAAAGAAAATGCTCCTCACCCACTAACATAATACATTATTCACCCCTCTTTAATGACATTTTGCAAGTGTCAAGTAAGTCCTGCTAAATCACTCCTGCATTTTCATCTATGATAACACTTGAACTGGTCAAGGGATGAGCACCAAACATGCAGTTGGAAGGGGAACGGTTGTAAAGGAAGAAAAACCTTAGAATTTGGAATAGAATGAGGGAAGCTCCTTTTGCTCATATACAGCCCAGTTGTGCGGATTATGAGACTCTGGACTAACATGAATATGAGGGCTCTTAGAAACAACTGCAGTCTAATTTTTCCTAGCAAGGAAGCTTAAAAATAAAAGATTCAGGAGCAAGTATGCTTTCATTCCCACAGCTGTGCATGTGTATCTATCTATGCCTCCCTTGTTGAAAACCACTACTCCCCCGATGGCTTGCTCATACTTGAGGTGTTGGGCAGGCTGCCACAGTTAGGCCTTCCCTGGCCCCTTCCAACCAACCTACGGTGCCCACTGGAAGGATGGCTGTGAAAGGACTTACTTGAGGGAGGTTGTGGCCTGGTTGGAGCTCTTGGGCGCAGCTGCCTTGTCCGCAGTGGAGTAGTTATTATGCACCATGGTGGTTACACAGTTGCCCATTGCACCTTTGTTACTCCTCGTAGGAAAGAAGGGCAATATGTTAGCATATTGAAGGCTGTGGGCCAACATGTGCAGACTTCAATCACAAACCTTTAGGACAAGGGTGGCTAACCCACCACCCTCTAGATATTGTTATCGATTCCAACTTCCATTAGAGTCAGCCAACGTGACCAATGGTCAGGGATAGTGTAAGCTGTTCTCCAACAACATCTCAGGGGCCACAGGAAAACCATTAACTGCTTAGACAGGGTTCAAAAGGTAACAGGGGGAAAATCATAATGGGGGCGGGAATCTGAAATAGGCTTCCTAGGTCTTCACCTGGAAAAAAGCGTCAAGGCACCAGGCTACAGTGCTGTCACTGTGCTTGTTGTCCTGTGGCTCCACTGGTACTTTGTAAATTCTCTCTCCTGTCCTCTTGGGAGCAAAATATTGCTACCCACAACAGGTGGAAGAGGAGACTGAATGAAAGAATCAGTGGAGTGGACACGTGGTGACTGCACCCTCTCAGTGAGTTTTCAAAGGGAAAGGCACCATGACCAGGCGAAGACCTGGCAACCCTAATTTGGAATGTGAGAGCACCAAGTGCAGGCTAAAGGAATGAGACCACATGAAAGCACACTGAAGTGCCGTAGTGCTGTTCAACAATGAAAGCAAAAACGAAGTGGAAAGAATTGTTTTGGCTCAACCCTATTTTAGATTACAACCTGTAGCTAAAAAGAGACTGCTGTTCCTTTTCACATGGTTGTCTCCAGACCCTACTCCAATAACACCCATGGACCAGAAATAATACAGCACCCATCTTCAGCAAAAATAGCGCTAGCACAAATCCCACCAGTCAAATTTCAGCAATTTACCTATAACTTCAGAAGCTAGACCTGGTTGCCTTTCTTACCTGTTATTTGCAGTGAAGTTGGCTGCAAGTGGCACATAGATTTCTTTCTTTCTCATGCCTGCAGGGGCCTCTTGAGTACTGGATGGGACAGGAAATGTTCTGGGCTGCTCATCCTGTACAACATAACCAGAAATAAGCATGAAGGGAAATCACCGTCATTGTATGCGGCAGGTCCTCTCCTGATACTTTTATTCTAACTCATGCAGAGAATCCATCTCAGTCCCACCATAATTCTCACTGATACCAAAGCCTGCTGGGAGATAAACTCTAGTGGTGGTAAGTTTGTGCTGTGCTGAATGTCCCAGGATGGGACTAATAAACTTCCAAACCGGGAGTGAGAGTCAGGGGCACTGATTCTGCATGCCCAGTGTTAAAAAGCTACACAAGAGCTGTCAACCCCTCAGCTAATGACTGCTAATCCAAATTCCATACCAGGAGCCAAAGTCATTAGCACAGATTACACAATACAAAAGTATGGTAGTAGTGCCATATCCCCCTACTTATTTATTTATTTGTCTTATTTATTGGCTGCCCCATAACCTGAATCCTCCAGTAACACTTCCTTTGAACACCTTTTGCCCCTACTTCCTAGTTCCAAGTATAGCACTGTAGTGCTAGATAGAAGCTGCTGCTTGATTACAACAGAAGGGCATCCCTTTCTCCAGATCTTACACTTAATGCTACACTAGCATTTAGTGTCGGTGGGGAGATAGCCTGTCCTCTTGTCATGACCGGGGATGGCTGTAGCCTTGTGGCAGGGGGCAGCCTTTCCACTGCTTGTTTTTTAAGGAGAGAGCTATATCCCTGTGCTGGAGAGCACAGCACTCCCCAACAGCTGCCTATGCAAGCATATTCTACGCTGTACTCACCCCAGCAACAAGAACGACAGCTGAATGGGGGAAAGTTTCTCCCCTGACAATGACAGCACACTGACATTTGAAAGGTGGGAAAATGTCCCCCGCCGCCTAAGCAAAAGGCTTAGATCCTTTGTGACAAAATATTTAACTGGAAAGGCTCTAGATGCCTTTGCATCTGGAATGCTTTCTGGAATTGTCTGTGTTAGCAAAAGAAGGCAAACGGAACAAATCTTAGGATTCCATTGATCTGAAGCTCCTCTGGCACTTGAACTTCCTGTTATGACCTTGCCCTTACCAGGATGTTCCATGTTGTTTTCTTTTCCGGGGAGACTTTGCTCAGACTTGCTAGTTTCTTTCTTCCACCTGAGCTGCTTTCAAACAAAGTCAGGAAGTCTCCGTGCTGCTCTACACTGCTGAGAAGCAAAACCACAGGATTACTCAGAAATCTTGGGAGTTTGGTCCATTTCCAGAAGCTGTCCACTCAGGCTGCTGAGCAAAAAGAGAACTCATTCTCCCCCATAAATTACTACCAAGTGTCCAGGAGTAATTACAGATTGGTTTCAGTACCTTCAAGTAAATGAAATCTATAGAAAGGACAAAGAAAGAGGATTTGCAGAAGGGGGATCCGAATTCAAAAAAATTCTATTGGGAAGCAACAACAAAAATTATATCCAATATATCCAAAATCTTATTAGAATGGGAAACTAAAGATGGGTTAGTAAAGGCCGCAATGATACACGGGGGGGGGGGGGGGGTCAGATATCGGATATAATATTGAGTTATCAGCATGGGAAAAATTATGGAATAGGGCAATAAATTTCTTGGCATGGGAAGTATTCCAAGACAGAAGGGTCTCTGATGCATATGTGGTGGCACTGTAAATATGCAAAAAAATTCTGAGAGATGGTATATGAGGAACTGAAAAAAATATTTAAGCTCACTTTTCCGAAGAAACCAGAAGACTTCTTGCTAGCAATAATAGGTGCAGAGATACTAAAGAAAGTAAAAAAATGTATTTCTGTATGCAACAGCGGCCACAAGATTAGTGTATGTAAAATATTGGAAAGAAAAGATATCTCCAACAAAAGAACAATGGTTGCATAAATTAATAGAATATTTGAAGAAAGATGGGATTAAGGTAAACTTTCAAGCGGGGGTAAATTTATGATCAGCAGTAGAAAGGATAAGCGAACTGAAGCAGTGAAAATAGGATGGAATAATCAAAGGACATGTAGCAAACCAAAGAAAATGTACGGTGTCAAGGAAGGTTAGGTTGGGAAGTAGAAAAAAAAACTTTGATGAGATGACATATGTATGCAAATATGCACTGGAAAATGCATCAATAAAAAATAATTTTAAAAACAAACCCTCCTAGTCATTCTGGGGTAAACTCTCAAGAAGAAAAACAAACCAACTTCCCCAAAGAGTTCTGAAAGACATGCATGAGTGAATTAGTTTCTGCAAAATATTGCATTTCAGTAAGAAATTTATTTAGGGCTCACCTAAAGGCACCGTTCACACGCTGGTTAACCTGAGTCGTGCTATTGGACCTTCGTAAATTGTTCATAGCTCTGGAGCTGCCAAGCCCTGCATCTTCCTGGGAGAAAAAGACACACACATCAACAATGCTGAATACTTAGGGGTTGGCTACCATTTGGATGGCTTTGAAACAAAAGCTTCCTCTTACATAGATAGAGTGCCCCATCTGCAGCCGTCCCAAGATAAAGAAGGTAAGCCCTACAGGTGATACATTAACAATGCCCCTGGAAGGCAGCTTGAAGGATGCATTCAGGGCTGCTGCCTTGTTACTGGATGTTCCAGTGTGTGTTTCTGGTTTTTTAATATATATTCATAATAAAAATTAAACCAGTACTTACAAGAAAAAAGGATAAGCACATTTTTATATACCGTCAAAAATTCCATCTCATGTTTCGATTATTTTTTCCTATTACAATTGTAACAATATTCAGTCTCAAGAAGTGGATACAGTCTAATTGTAAAATTAAAGTTATTTTGTAAAGTACAGGATGAACTGAGTCTTTACAGTTGCCTTGCCCTTATGATATATAAGGGGTGGGGGTGGGGATTGATGGAAAACAACCAGTCCATGTAAAGTGCTTTAAAAAATAATAATAATTGAACAGAATTTTCTGTGCATTTAATGGTGTTGTGTGATTGCTCTGTAAACATATCCCATATGCATGATTCTGTACGCAACAATCAAGAGGTCTGTGAAATTACAATTGAGCAATGCAGCCGGGGGTTAAGTTATTGCGTAATTCATGAGACTCAGTGGAAGTTACCTTTAGTGATAACTGTAGGCCACTTTGTCATTTAGAACCAGGAACTGTTGTCATCTTAGACCCAATGATAATGCAAACTGATTAGATGGGCAGATGAATGTACTGATCCTTGATCTTTCCATACTCTCTAAAAGTTGCTAGTTATCATAATGCAATCTTATTGAAAAAACAACTCCTCCAAATCCTCAATATTGTGACTGTTTCTGTCCAAATGATATGCTTCCTTTTGTTTACTACAAAATCTGTGCTTTCTATGCTCAATTTAATTTTTTTCTACTTTTAAATGGCAAAATCTTACATGCATTTTGTATTGTTAAAGCAGTAATGTTAAGTTTAGGTTTGATAAGAAAGTATTGCATATATTTCACTTTTTCCTTTAAAAAAGCAAAGCAGGTTCTCCCCCCCCCCCCAAATGGCATCAGAATTTCTGAAATTTTTTACAGCTCTAGGGTGGTTTTTGTAACTTCGGGCTAGAACCCCCTTGCGTTACACAAATACAACAATCTTACATGGGCTGCTCTTGTTGTGGACTCTACTAAACACAGAATAAAAGAATGCACAGCATAACCAGTTAAGCTTTGTGATTAAATGAAATATGTTTACCCGGAACATACTTAGAAGACAGAATAAACTTCCAAGGAGAGCAAGTTTATTACCCCCATCCCCCAATACTCACTAGGATATTCCTCTTGGGCTTGTTTTCAGTAATGACGGAGATGGAGCGAGCAATGTGCTTGCCTGGAGAGGCACTGCTTGGGCGCTGAAGCACTTGCATGGGCAGCCCTGTAAGACTGAGATCCACACCATTGGCACTGGCACCCTGGAAGGAAGAGCTGCTACCACGGGCACTCTTCATTGTGATATGGGAGCGGAGGCCTGGAAGCAAAGGAAAACACAAAGGTGAAGATGTTATGTTGGCTAGAGGAATTGCTTTCCACATTTCCTATTTTGACCTAAAGCATGGACGAAGGAATAGGGAAAACTCTTGTGAGTATGTTCATAGAACATCTGTCACTGGTCACCTGCAATATCACAGGGCCAGCAAATGTCTGTGATGTTCATGTAACCATTATACACAGACCTCTCAATCTCAACAGAGGCATTTACCTTGGCGGGGGGTGGGGATTACTCATCATTTCCAAGCAGCCTGATTTGGAAGCCATGTGCTTCAAAACTGAAATTACCCAGTAACAGACACACTTGCTGAGTTGAACATCATCTGGTTTGCATGCAACAATTTAGTATGACCCGGAAGCTGTACACCGGCTCCCTTGGCCAATAAAGCGAGATGAGCGCCACAACCCCATAGTCGGCCACGACTGGACCTAATGGTCAGGGGTCCCTTTACCTTTACCTTTTTATACATTCCTGATGCAAAAGCCATATCAGGCAATGCTGGTCCCTAACGGCCAAACTAGAAGATATGCAGAGTTCAGTGGATATGTTTTGTTTTTAAACCACTGAAAAGCAACATCAGATTAGCAGAACATCTCAATGTTTTCCCTCCCTGCCATTTTCTGCTTTCCTAACCATAGGATGAAAAATATAGGGTCCTTGTAACTTTTTCCCTGCACGAAGAACAACAGCTTGGGGAGGGTAATTTTGACTGACATGGGGCATGAGGGAGAAATGTTATCTAAGTACTCCCTCTGCTGAAATTTGCAGCTTCCTGCCTCTACTTTTCAGTAAACAAACACACAAAACAATACAAAACATTAATGTTTGAACATGGTGTGTGCGCGCGCCACAGACTGCCCAGTTCTGCCCTGACATTACATCCTCCCATGCTGAACTGCCATTCTTGTTTTACAATAATATCTCCTTAGCAGCTCAACCTCTTGTAAGAAGTGGTGCAAAACAGAGAAAAGTCATTACTTCATCACTTTCCCCCCTCACCCTTCCCAGTTGACAACATGTGATAAATGAACAGTTCCTGGCAATGCCAGACACATAAGAGTGTATGGGCTTTCAGAAAAGGATAAGGTACAAGTGACTATGAGGCCAAGCTTAAGGATATGCATATGCATTATTTCACACTGGCCATATTTTATTCATAAGAGCATTTATATGCCTGAACTTTGGCCCAAAGTGAGTCCCACCAAACTAGTGCATAGAGGGGTACATAATTCTACCAGTTATAGCTTCCCATCCTCCAATCCTCTCCTAATAAATTAATCTATTCTGATAAATGTTCTCATTTTCTAATACACACACACACACACACACACACCCCATCATATTAAGTTAGCCATACTTGATTTGTCTCTTAACAAAGAAACTGCCCATCCACACACCTATTTCCCTACAAGTGCTTTCAATTGCAAATACGTTGGCCCAGGAAAGATAAACACTAGCCTCTCTATGGAAACCATAGACACACACCCCATTGATATGGGTGAAGCCAGCAACTAGGCATCTCATAGCTATTTCATTAGAGAAACTGTGTTAAGATTCAAGGCAGCAAACACGACAGGATGAAACTTCTAAAGTGTGGTCAGCCTTTGCATAGGTTCAATATCATTCAAGGCGAATGAAAAGCTTCATACAATCTGTTTAGTTACACAGTTTCATTGTTTACTTTTCGCTTTCATTTACCGGTGTCTTGAAAGTTCAATACTCCTGTCATCTGTACGACAAATTTGGCACTAAAGTACCTGAATGAGGCAATTTCAATGACGCTCCTTATAGTGGTCAACTGGATTTCAGGTATCACCCTATTTACCCAGTAACATAGAACTTATAGTGTTCCAGTGATGCATTCTTTTAACCTGGAAGCATTTCTTATGCTTACTAGAGTAAACATAGCAAATGCGGCAAAGAAAGGATTTAGAAGGGGTTGGGGCTTGAAACCTGGGCACCTAAAATGTAATTTTTCCCCAAGCCTGAGGCTATTTACATTAGATATACCTGAATTACTGTGGGTATTTGCATAAGGCTGGTGCCTCTTCAAGAAGGCCGCTGTTTCCTAACAACAGAAGCCTATGTGAATCATGCACCCTGGAGTACACAAACATCTTGCGGAACGATGCATAGTGCTTAACACCAGATCTCATGCTGAAAAATCCAAAGGAGAGAAACTTCAGAGCAGCAGACTAGTCCCTAAAAGGGATGCTGGAGAGACAGGATCGGAAGCAACATTCACCTTTCTGGTGCCTTCCCAAAATACTAGAAACGGGTGGGGAAGAGTTGCTTGTTTCTCCAAAGAGGAAGGGAAAGGCATCCAAAACAAGTTCTAGCTCCTCCTCCTTGTCACAGTGCTTTTTTAACAGTTGCAAAGAAGCACCATCCCAAGATGCAAGCTTACAGGGCCAGGGGCTCTGCAAAAGCCTGGGGTTTGAAGCCAGCTCAGGCAGGACTCTGCAAAACAATGCAAACGTGCAGCAGCCTGCAGAGTGGCGGGGTTGGAGGCGGGGTAGAAAGAGGATGGCCACTGTCTGGCCCCCCTCTATATCACAAATGGCTCTCTCACACACACTTACCTCACGCAGGTACCCAAAAAACGAACCTCCTCCTTCTCGCTGGTGGTTCAGGTGATGATGGCGAGAGCCGCCCCCCCCCCCGCCGGCCCCGCTTCCACACAGGCTCTGTTGGGCTGAGAGGAAGGCCTAGCCTTAAACCGAGGGGGGTTTTCTATCTACACCTCTCCCCCCCCAAAAAATGGCCCCCGGAGGCGGCTGCTCCCCCCACTTTTATGATGTAGGGGCCTAGTCCTGCGCTGGGGTCATTCTCAGACGCAATGCCCGCTCATCCCCCGGGCCGCCCGCCTAGAGCATTATGGGAAATTCCCGCCCCCTGATGCTGAGGCTGCGACTCCAGTCCACGGCCCGGCAAAGAGAGCGAGGGAGACCAGCGGAAGACGTAGCGGCAGCCGCCGCCGTGAGATGCACACGCGAACTTAGTGCGAAGGGGAGGCCCGCCTCCGCTTTGCCACGGCATTGGCCAGAGTTTGGAGAGGCCCGGCTCCTTACCGGCTGCCCGACTTGTCCTTCTGCCGGCGCCGGGGCTAGGTTGAGGGCGCAAGAAAGGCGGCGGGCGGGAGACCCGCGAGGAGAGAGAGACGTTTGCGGGCTGTGGGGGGAGAAGCGTGTAGAGGAGGAGGAGGGGCTTGCACCACAAAGGCGACGACCCCCGACTTAGTCCTGCGACCAGATCAGGCACTTCCTCCCTCTGGGTCTGTTGGGTATTCCCCCCCCCTTCGCTCTTTCCAACGGGGGTCTCCCTCTGAACCCCGGTTGCAACTTCCAGGGCTCCCCCCGTTGCCGTCTCTTGCCTGATCTTTTATTTCCCTTTTCTTCCCTCCCACTTCTCTTTTATGAAGACTATCCACTCTGGGATCCCACAGCTAATTCTCCCCTGGCCTCCTCGCTGGCCCAAGTAGGACCACTTCAGCCAGCTAGCCCTGGGGATTATCTAATGCTTATTTCCCCTAAATTGATTTCTGAATTTTGAATTTTATTGTTATTCATGCTTTTATACTGTATTTTATGCTGCTTTTACAATTAAGTGTTCTAAATTTGTTGTGAGCTGCCCTGAGCCCGGTTTTTGAAGCGGGAAGGGTGGGGTATAAATAAAAATTTATTATTATTATTATTATTATTGTGAGATCCAAGCCCCAGGCAGGCTCCTTTTTCTTGCCTTAAAGCGACTGCTGCTTCTGCAGCCACTGCCATGCGTGTTGCTAGTCAACATCGTGGCAGCAATAATACTTTTAACCAGCGCTGGGAAGAGGAAGCCCGTTCCCACAACCGACAGCAGTATTTTTATTTATTTTTTCAGTACAGGCTGCTCATGCATACGAGGTTTGGGACCAAAACACCAGTGATTGCTGGCTTGCAATGCAATCCGCATCCCTTCCCTCCCAGGGATCGTGTGGTATGGGGGTTGGTCAACGTAACCACGTGGCTGAATCCATTTGAACGAATGAACGCATTCATGTAAATGAATTAGGAAACTTAATTAAGTTGATCGTATCTGTCCTTTTTTTTTTTGTCTCTGTAGCTGTTTTATATTTCATGGTGGACTGTTCTTGAAACGTATGGAGCTGATCAAATAATTACCCAATCTCTTTTTCAAAGGTGATGGCAATGCATGCCCATTTAAGGCAGCATCATATGCTCAGCCAGCTTCTTGGTCCCCAAGTAATCTCAACACTATTGCAGCCATGCCTAAGAGACGAGGTGTGAAGGATGCTTTTGGTAGCCTTGTTAGGCAGTGAGTAAGCCTGACTTCTAACTGCCAGTAAGGAATCAGCTGAAGGTAGGACCAGAATATCCACAAATGCTATGCTAATGCTCACAACGTGAAGTATTAAATGAGAAAGGATATTCAATGGCAGTATTGTGGGTGGATAAAAAGGTACAAAACCAGCCCAGCAAAGGAGACCATGATAGGATGCATGAACAGACATAATTTAACTGCTCTGAGTCATCCCTGAAATTAGCATCACTTCAGTTTAGTTCTCACTGTGGCAGCAACCCTTGGCTTGGGCTGCACCACTACAAGCTAGGGCTCACTCGACTGAATGCTTTTCCATTAAAACAAACCCACCCTGCATTTAGAAAAGTAGCAAGTTGGGGAGTGGGAGGTAGGGAAATTTTAGTTACAGTTCTTCAGAATATCAATTCTAGGCATCTGTTTTACAAATTGTAAAATTTACGCATCTTGCCCCTGCAAGCCTTTGGACTGGAATCAGGTCCTTGGTGATGGGAACTCTCTGAATTCAATTACATATGTTGTCTCACGTTCAGATCAAAACTATATAACAGAATGATCACACTGTTTAAATAAACTTCCCTTACCCTGTATACTTCCAGTACCCCTGCTGCAACATCTACCAGTGCCTGTTCTAACAGCTATTTACACTTATTCCAGAGCCACACATTACATAATAATCTACATGCCTTTTATGCAAGGTGCATTTTGATGTTTGGAACAGCACATGAGTTTTTGTATTGTCATTTTTGCCTGCCAACAGGCATAGCTCATGCATTATTCTTAACCCTGCTGGGTTAAAACAGCAGCAATCCTGTAAGAGTTCTCAAAATAACAGGGGAAATAAGAGAGACGGGGAATACTTAATCCACCCCATTTTGGGACAGGGCAGAACACTTTTCATACACACTCAACAGAAGCCAAACATAGTGCTGATCATAAATCTAGTGTGTGCTCTCAGCTGCAATCTGCATTCCATTGCTTGTGTTACCATGTTTTATAAAATTTCAACCCAATCCTATGCAAGGTTAGTTTTGCTTAAGCCTATTGGTTTCAGTGGATTTAGGAACACCAAACGGCATAAGTGTGGTTCTTCTCATAATGCAACGTTTATTACCTCCCTCTCCTGTGAGCATCCCTATGTGCACCAACTGAAGGAACAGCTGTGACAAATAGGGATAGTTAGAGTATTAAGAGCAAACGAGGGAAAACAGGAGATAAGCATCAAAGCGGGATTATATTACACAGCTAGTGGGGACACTGAAAAAAGACTGGATGCAGGTGGGATGAAATGGTCCAGACCTTTGGAGTCAATGCTAGATCAAGTTGTATAGAGGGAATATTAAAGCTGCCATCTGATACACATTTATTTGGGGGAAAGCCCACGCAAATGCAGCGAGATTTACTTCTGAGTAAACATGGATAGGATCAGATTGCAGCTTGCCTGTTTCTGGCTTGCCTCAAGGCAGGGTGACCAATAGATTTGAGGGTCCTGATTAAACCAAGAAATAATATGGATCAGTTACACATTGGTTGCCCAGCAAAATGAACAAATACAGCATAGCACAATTAATAACAGGCCAGCACCTTGAGTGCCAGACAGATTCCACTTAAGCAGTTCAACCTTAGGCTTGATGAGAAGAGGGTGTACTTTCTATAAAGGACTTTGTGTACACACACACACACACACAAACTCCCCCCCCCTAAATCCCTTTCAGAGTGGTTGATAGCACACAAAGTCAGGACAGGTGTGCTCTCAGAGGGAAAAGTAGTATGCTTTTTAAGAAATGGCAGCTGCGCCATCAATGCTAATGAGAACTGAATCTTCATCAAGTTAAATGCCGCAGAACAAAGAGGCCTTTACATTCTTTTCACATGGATTCAGAGTTGCCTGACCTGCTCAAGGGGTCACATTTCCCTAAAGCAATATCGTTTCTGGCTGGAAATAACCAGACTCTCCTTATCAATAAAGAGGAACCTCACTAAAACAATTCTAGTTCTACAAAAGACCCAGAATGCAAGACTAAATCATTGGTCCATCCATTCAGCATTTTGACTGTAATAGTAGAGCTTTTAGTTATTTTGTGCGTAGCCAGTAAACAACAGTAAAGCAAGCCCTCTTCTCACCCATGCCAGCCCGTTTGCAAGGGATATAAATATATATATATGCCTATTTGAAAAAGGGCAACGGAGTACAAAGTAAAAGGGAAGGCAGACAGCTAGTGGTAGATAAAGTTAGGCAAGGGGGCTAAACATGGCAAGAACAGAAGCCGGGCTGCCTTGTTAAGGTACTGGGCCAATTACAGACCAAAAGGAAACAGAAAGCCCTGCCATATAATAATGAAGATCTCGGCAGTATTTTTCTGGTTTTAGATTATTTCTCCTTTGCCGCAAATTTTGAGCCTGTCCTTGACCAGTAGCTCACAGAGGGAGATGTTTAAAAACATCTTGTACTGTAAAATGATCCTCGGTTACTAATGGAAACTGCAGATCTGGAGAATGTGTTTTGTTTCGTGTACATTTTAAAGAACCTGACTAAGGTTAATCCTGGTCTCTAGAGTTTCACCTTTTTTCTTTTTTGTAAGGGGGAAGTGTAAGGTATGCCATTCTTCAATAAGCCAATTCTAGACAGGGCGGACTGCAAACATCAGTAACCCACTGACATGGTGAAACCCCAGCTAGAACCCCTGTTATCAGCAAGCCACTGTTTCTCAAAGGGAGTTGCTGGAAAAGTAATTGTTAACTTGGCAGGAAGATACATTGCAAGCTTTTTTCCTGTGAGAAAGGTGGTTGCATTAATGTTGTGGGCACCTGCTGGAAGATGCCTGTGACATCACCAGCCGCTATGGGTTGCATCCAACAAAACTGTCCTGTTCATGCAAGGACTTCTGCTTGCACTATACAACTGCACCTCCCTCTCCCTGACCCCATGCTATCCAAACCTGTCCTGTGATTCCCCCAATGCTCTGGAGCAGATGGGAGTGCATACAAGAGAAGATGGGGAGGTTCTATTTAACTTTGGAGAAAACACCTAAAACCATATTATCATATCTCCCCCCCCCATTCAATTTTTAAGTGTCTGTAAATAGTTTGCCCAGGGCTCCTTAAAAATAACACCAAAGTCATTCTGAGTGTAGATGAAGACTTGAGAAACATATCTACTAATAGCTGCATGCGCCTGTTGTATGAATTCATCTCAACAGTATTGCTTACCATTAATACTGGTGGTAGGAAATCCAAAGGCAGGGCTTAATTTGTACCAGGGACCAGTTCTGGCATATATGAAAGTGCGGAGTATACTCCCCTCCCATGGCCTAACCACAGAACCGTCACCACTTGGAAGCAGATCTGGTTACGGCACAGCTGTGGTGAAGTGCCTGATGTAGTGTATAGTATTTCCTGGACCAAGTACCCGTGAAGCAGGTAAAAGGGTGCAGAGAGGAACTGAATACAGCACTCTAGGAATAGACACCTCCATTGATTTACATTGGGGCATTATGTTGTTTTCTACTTGTTTATTAATAAATAATCCCAACAGAAAGTTTCTCTGTTCTGATTGAAGCATTGCAGGAGGCTCAGTGCTACAAGATTTAATGAATGGAGTGTGCTGGTAAGCAATGGCAGCTGTACCACTTCTAATATCCTGGTGGTTTGTATGTTCAAAGCCCCACTCACGTACAGAGCTTGACAGCAACTCTGCTACAATCTGCCTGCCTGGACCCATAAGAAAGAGTGGGGAGAAAGAGTAGATTTTGCTATAAGGGTTAGCTCAATTTCAAGCGTCAGCAGAACCAGGCAGTACAGAAAGCCCCCAGTCCACAGTAGGACTGGAGACTGCTGTAGAGTAAGCCTGGACTGAGGTTTAAGGATAGCTGGAGTTGTTGACTATGAAAATGACCTCACCATTAGCTCTCCTTCAATTATTGGCACGACAGAATCAGAAGCACCTTAGTGTTTGCCAGTGTTCTTTAAGGCTGCCTCATTTCTTATGGTCAGAATACCAAGGTAACAAGCAGAGGACGTAGGAAAACAACAACATAAAAGTGGAAATGGATTTTAAATTGAAAAGGGAAGAGTAAAGGGGGTATTTCGGTCACTTCTGCAGCCATCAGGTATATGAAAACAGACTATATTGTGGATGTTGGATTGTGCTTTTGTTGTTCAATAAGAAACATGGAAAACAATAAAATTAAAAAGGCAGTGTTGAACATTCATGTCTTCCTTCATGCTTGCAATGACCCAGCAGAAATAAGAGGTGTAGCGAGGGATGTTGCCTCTTCCCCTCTTTCGGTAATGAAGAACAGCAACATAAGAGAAAAGCATCCTCTGGCTATAGGCAGGTGTGTAACAGTTCAGAGAGAGCTAGAAAAACGCATCCATTTGGTGCTATCTCAAGCTGTCCCATAGCCCAAAGGGAACTGCTATGCATTGAGGAAGGAGAAAGCAGACGGTCCCTGGTTATCCTCAGTGGCTCTGGTGCTCCCAGTGCAAGGTGCTGTCCAGGAAGCTAGAGGTATACATTCCTGCTCCAGAGCATCTGCTAATACCATGCCTGAGGGTGCGACCAGCTCCATGCCGGCAAACAAGGAAACTGTGCCATCTGGATCACCTCTTGGAGGCCTGTCCTCTTGGGATTCAGGGTTTGGGAGTCTGCATTCTGGCCCTCGCTGGCCAAGCTCAGGTGGTTGGCTAATTCCAAGTTGGCCAGAGGACCCAGCTTCCAGCATCTGCTCTTCTGATGGATGCACAGCCCTGGTGAGGACTTCAGGTGCTTGGGAGGGCTGTGGCGCGAGACTCAGGGGTTTGAGGATAGCCTCTTCTGCAAATGGCATTGTATCCGCCAGTAAGTCATCAGGATGCTTGGATGTGGTCCTGGCAGGGGCACAGTGGCCGGGAACCGGAGAAGAGATCTTGGAAGTGGGATGGCTCCTGCTGAGTGCTTCAAATTGACGCAAGATCTGTTGAAAGTGGGGCAGAAGAGAAAGAGGGAGTGTGCCAAGTATGAGAAGAATAGCAGCAGAAGCAGGGAAAGGAGGAATCTACCCACCGCAAGAAAAAGAGAGAGCAAGAGAGCCTAACAACAGGCAGAGGACCAACAGCAACTCCATCCTAGGCTAGTGAAAACACTTCCACCCCTCCTTGCTGCATTCACTTTTACTGTGCTCAAGGGTCTGCTTTCTTGAGTTTCTGTTTGTATAGCTTGCTCTTCCTTGCAAAGCTCAGAGTGACTAATGCAGGGCATTGGGGACCTTTTCCAGGCCAAGGGCTGCATTGCCACATGGGCAGGGCAGCCTTCCAGGGGCCACAAACCAATGGTGGGGATGGCCAGAGGCGAAAGGTTGGTGGAGCAATTGATGCAATTCTCGCCTTTGTACAATGAAAGTACTCAGAGGTTGTGACACACCAGCCACCACATCTACCTTCCTCCATCCAAGCAAGCAAAAGGTTATCATCCCAGTTCAAGGGCACAATTCAGCCAGGCAACAGCATTCCAGGAGACCATGGAGCAGGGCTAGTGAAGGGTATGGCTGGGTTTCGGTACAGAGGTTTGGGTACAGAGGCTTGGAGGGCTGTGTCTGGAACCTGGGCCTGAGGTTCACCACCACTGGATTACTGTGAGGGGCCTAGTGCTTCCCTCCAGGCAGAGATCAGGTCTTAGTTTCAACAACGCTATCAACTTTGGGCAGAAACTACTGGGTTCTCCCACTGACTCTTCGATGCCTTTTTCTCAGGCAATCTTGAAGAACTACTATAGCAAGGACATTTATCTAAACTATTTTAAGTCTCCTTTCAGGGCACACAGACCTCCCCAGGCACCTCATAAGGATCCAAAGCATGTGGGGGAAAAACCCAAACCCAAAAGAAAGCCAGTGAAATATTTTTTTCAAGTACAGTGCCAATTCAGCCAAATGCAGACCTGAAGAAATGTGTTTTAGAGTGTTTTCTTAAAAAAAAGAGCGAGATCAGCAGCAATGACATCATATGTTCTAAAAGTATGGGGCTACCACAGAGGAAGTCTAACCTCCCGGACCCACCAGCCTAACAGCTCTCAACAGCAGAGTCTCAGACACTGATCTCAATGCTTAGGCAAGCTCATGCCGCTGTAGGTAAACTTTCAGCTAGCATTGTCTCAAACTATTTAGGGCTACTTTTTAAAGGGCAAAACCAGCACCAAATGTTAGCACCTGAAATGAATAGATATGTAACCAATGGAAGAAGATAAGCAGCAACATGTCAAGGTTGAAGGTTCATTCCCCATATGGGACAGCTGCATATTCCTGCCTTGCAGGGAGTTGGACTACAACTCAGGGTCCCTTGCAACTCTACAATTCTTTGATTCTGTGATCCAGCACCCAACTGCCTCAGATGTTCTAGCAGCCATGCTCTGCAGTAGTTGTAGTTTCCAAACTACCCTAAAGGGCAGCCCCGCATACAGCACAGCACAGTATCTAATAGGGATGTAACCAAGGCATGCACAACAGTGGCTAGGTCAGATTTCTCTAGGCAGATGATTGTATCATCTCCATTAAAGCCACAATGCACAAGCTGTAGAACCTAAATTAGGTTACGTGCACTGCCAAAAAGCAGGCAAAAGTCTCCCAGAGTGCACCAGAGGCAGTACGAAGGGAGATATTCCAGTCTTGGTCTACTGAAACAAGTGAAATGGAGCAGTAAATAAGCTACATACAGAACCAGCCACTTTATGTCCACCCACACAATCATGCCCTGTGTGCAGAAGGAACAAGCCCAGCAAAACAACGAAGAGCCTGGGGAGGTTGTAGCCAGGGCTGCTGCAACAAACAGGTGTGCAAGCCTTTGGGAGGCAGACACAAGAGGGCATCAGAGGCGAGAGGGACAGAGGCCATTGTTGCCCGTGGTACCAAGGACTATCATTCAAGACACCCCAGGGTGTCACGGCACACTGGTAGAAAACCATTGGCCTACAGTTATCCCTCGCCAGGGTGGGACTGATGGGGCGCCCCTTGAGGATTTCAATACACAAAAGGTGGAAACATAAGCAGGAGTTACCTTTGTTGCTTTGTTGGCTACAGGCCCAGGGCTCTCTTGACTGAGCTCTTGCAAGTGCTGCTGAGTAATGGCCAATATCTGATCATGGGAGAGCAAGTCGGAGCACATGAGGGAATAGATGGCACACATGGCTCTCTGTGGGGGGAAAGGAAAGCAGCAGGGTTAAGAAGACCCTGGGCTTGCACACTGGGTCCAGCTTGAACATCAGCACTCATTCGGGCCTCTCATAATATGCTGCTTCACTGGAAAGAAACAAACAGAAGCTGCTCTTGCTCCACAGCCCACCCTTATGTGGCAAGAAAAAAAATATTAGTCCTAGGCTCCAACCCTCAATGAGATTGCAGCCAGCCCCCCCCCCCATGTGGCCAAAGAGTTCCATTTCCCAACAGCTATTTCAGCTCTGAGTTGGAAGTAATCCAGACTGTTTTTCCCTCCACAATTGCTTTTCCAGGAGACTCACCATGCAAACACACTCACTGGGGTCCTTCAGGGTTCGGTTGAGGATAGCCAAGACCACCTCGCAGTTCAGCAGCCCACACCTATGGAGAGGGACAGTGCTGAGCCCAACAGCCAAACCAAAAAAAAAAAGGAGAAGAGCAGGGAGAAGTTTTGCAAGGCAAGGGGAAAAAAAAGAGTGGCCTGGTCTCTCCTGGACCTTCCTTGCTCTCCTAATCCAAGAGGAGCAAGGAGCGTCAAAGCACCTTTTTTACATGGCTAATGGACAGTTCTTCACAAATGAGGCAGGTGGGGGGGGGGGGAGTAAGAAAAACATTAAGGAGTGGCAAGCTGCCAGCTGTTCCTATTGCTAATGAATGTTGCAACAGGCACCATTTGGATTTTTTGTCTCGAGTGCACAAGTGCTTGGGCCCAGATACAAAATGGATGCATAGCCATGCAAGGACTGGGGCTGGGCTATGGGTGGAATTCAACATCGCATTCTTTCTATTGTTCCATCTGCACAAAGCATTGAGGTTGGCAGGTGGAACAGTCCTTCCCACCCCCTTCACCTGTGCACTGGTTTCTCCTGCTACCTCCCGCCCCCAAATCCAATTTCAGAGGGGCATGGGAGCAGGAAAGAATCTTGTTGCTCCAGCAAAAGTCCTTGCACAGGGCTTCTGCTGAGAATGCTACCCGATGTGTTTGGGTACTTCTACAGTAATGCAGAAGAGGTGGAAGCGAGGAGGAGAAGGGTCAAGAGACGGCTTGGTTAGAAAGGGTGTTCATACTCCTTGATAAAATGCTGGGTCTCCTCGCGTGTCAGGAACACCTTGGAGCCTCTGGTGAGTTTGCTGACAAGGCTCACTTCCTGCAGGCAGTCCCCAAGGTTCTCAGCATCTGTCCTGTGAATGGTGGGGAGAAGGAAGCTGACAAGCCTGTTCTTTCTCCCCCATGCCCCACAAGAGATTCTCACATTACGGGTGCATCTTGAAGGTGCAAGCAGTTGGCCCAGGCCCGTTCCCAGCCCCTTGCCCTGCCCAGCTCGCTCACCTTTCAGCAATGCTCCCTGGCTCCAGAGCACCGGAGTGGTTGTCGCTGCCCGACTTACTGTAGGAATCCGATGTCCTACTCAGCTCACTGTTCTCCTGCAAGGAATTCTGGGAGCTTTGCCCACTGTCCAACTCCTCCCAGCCACCTCCTGCTTGCCCTGGCTGATGGGTCGCTGCAAAAGAATTTCAGAGGAGCAGCCATGGAGGAAGAACTGAAGCCCATTGCATCTCAGAAACTAAGTTCAGGGAAGGCCTCTGCACACCACTCCCACCGTATCTCAACGCCATAAAACTACAATCCACAACCTGAGATTCGTCAACTTCCCTCCTATCCCCACAACAAGATCTGGGATAATAATTTGTTATTAACAGTACCAGTACGAGCAACGTGAAAAAGGATTTTGCTTGAATTATTACTGTGCGCCAGCTACTAGACAGTTGTACCCTAGAAGTGGCTTCTTTTATTCCATCTCACTAATGCAGGGAAGCTCTAAGTGCCTAAAATTTGCTCCTCTTTCTATAAAGTTTCTATACAAGTTTTGAAAACAGGATATACCGTGCTTTATAAGAGCACAAGAAAAGCCTGCTGAATGGGCCAGTGGCCCTTCTAGCCCAACTTCCTGTTTTCACAGTGGCCAACAGGATGCTCACAGGAAGTCCAAAAGCAAGACCTGAGCACAAACAGCAGCACTCTACCCACCTGCGATTCCCAGCAGCTGTCATTCAGAGGCACTTACCTCGCTTCTTCTGGACAATGACAGAAGGTGGCTTTGTAGGCAAGATGGAGCTTTTGCCTGGAAAAGGTGCTGTCACTGGCTCATAGGCATCATCCTTCAGCTCCCTACCATGGGGACAAGGGAGCTCCTGATCAGGGAGCATGGCATTGGCAACCACCTCCGCTGCCTTTTGGATGGTGGCCAGCAGAACTTTGCCAGTGGATGCTGCAACAGTAACAAAGGCAGGCAGGCTGCTTAGCAGGTCAGGGCATAGTGGTTTGTCAGCCTATACCACAAGCAGCCAACATGGTGCCCTCCAGATGTTGTTGGACTCCCAACTCTCATTGGCCCCGGCCAACATAGCCAGTGGTCAGAAATGATGGGGGCTGCAGTCAAGCAACATCTGAAAGTTGTTGGCCACCCTGGGTCTATACACTATAGACACTGAGAAAACCCCAGGGCACAGGAAGAAGCCTTCCAAAGGACATCAAACCATAGCCATTAATTCTGGAAAGAGAGCCCAAGAATGGAAGACGAGTCCAAGACTACTGAAAGAGGCTTCCTCCACTTATACCAGCCTTGGATCTTCAAGATACTAGGGTGTGTTTGGTTGCTGATGTTCCTCTTTCTAGAGCAGGAGAACAATGCTGCCCTAAGATGGCACCACTGGCTGTTTCCATCCAGTAGATGAAAGCTTCATGCAGGAAAAGACTTGGGTCCTTCCCTTCAGTACCTTCATTTCAGGGCCTCAATTGCCCTTGCCTGAACCATGTTGGCCTTCTTTACAGTGCAAATTCTCAAAGTGGCTTAGAAACCAAGAAGAAAGCTATTGGTAGGTATCACGTAGCATTGGAGCAGGGGCTGAGATCCAGCATGCAGGCAGCATGGTGACCTTGTCCCAAGAACTGGGGGTGCTCCTCAAGGACAGTAGTAGTAACACTCAAGACTTCCAAACCCAATGCTTACCGGAGCCACTTCTTTCAAAACCAAAGCCTTGGAGTGAGCCATGGGGGCTGGGCCTGGAGCCCATTCCTGGGAAGAGAGGCAATAAAACAGGCATAAATGAAAAGCAAGACCAGTATGGTGGTGGAATGCTTATTTCCTACCAGCATGCATATGATATCACGTCAAGGTGAGATGGGAAGTCAGCATGAACAGCCTATTGACTTGGGAAGTCTTAAGTTGTTTTGAGTACGGCTTTCCTTTCGCACCAACAGAACATGCAAGGGTTGGTTGGGTGTGGTGTGCCCTTATGACAGACAATCATAGCTTACAAGGTCCCTTTTTAAATAGTTGCACATGAAAACCAGATTCCATACTGAAGTTTTTATCTCAACCACCTCATAAAAGCATCAGTGCTATTCCCCCCCCCCCTTAAAATCTTGCTCACAGGCAAGCACTAGCTGAGCCTTCTGGACTTTAAAAAAAAATGGTTTCAGGTCAAACAGTATGAACAGGGGAAGGTTCCAAGGCCCCTTTTGCATCTCCCCCTGCTTCAGCATTCTCACTTGGCCATAAAACGAGATCTGTGGTTCACTCTGTTCTCCTGGAATGTTTGAGAGAGACAGTGCAGGTTGTTCTTGTCCTCCTGGGCAGGAAGAGCTGGACAGAGTGTCCTTTTTGAGGCCAACAATCTGCCACGCTCCCTCTGTCAATACAAGCTAGTATGGGGGCAAAACAGGAAGAAGCAGTGCTGGTTGAATCCCCACTGAAAAGCCTGTACAGACAGGACAAAAAGTGAAACGCTCTGTTGAATACGGAAGTGAACTGTTGTTTTGAAAAAGTGCAAAAGGATTCGAAACCTGCAGGGCAGGACCAGAGATTTAGAGAAGATTGGAAGAAATATACGAACTATTTGAAGAGCAAATGTAATCAACAAATTACGCTAGTAGGACTATAAGAAGTTTTGTAAGGAGAAATATATATGAAATATTGCAAAGTAGAAAAAGAATAGAGATATTAGTTATGAGATTTAAATGTAATAGTGAAAGTAAGAAATGTAAATTAAGTGAATAGATTTGAAAATTTTCAGATGTGATTGATGGAAGTCAAAAAATTGTATAAGATATAAAAGTATGTTTAATTATTGTTGAAAATGATATGTTAAAAAACTAATAAATTTTTTTATATATAAGTGCAAAAGGATCCAAGACTTTTCAGGAGGAGTCTGGATCCTGAATAGATTTCTGTTCCCCTGGGGATAAGCGGTTTACCTGCTGAAGGCAGCTCTTTAGGTGGAATAGCAGCAGGCTGGGGTAGCAACACATCTGAAAACAAAGCGCTTGCCAGGTCCTGCAAAGGAAAGAAGTACGCTAGCGGCAACCAGGTGAAGAAGCCAGGCCGAAAGCCTACCATGTGAAAGGACTTTAAGAGCCTACCCTGATCTCTTGTGACCAGGACTTTTTACTCACCTGTGCAGTCACCCGCACCTTCTGATACAAGCTGTTGCCGTGGAGAGGATCAGGAGGCCCTGCAAACACTGCAAGGCAGAGGAGCAGGTGTGAAAGAGGGGCTCATCCCTGGGTGCCCTAAACAAGTCAGGTTTCCTGGGGCCCACTCCCTTGCACAGTCCCAAGACCAACCGTTGCGTTGATTAATTTCACTGTCTCTCAGCAACTAAAACCGCCTATGCAGTACTTTACGTTGCTAATATTCCCAACATTGAGGATTGGGCCAAACAGAAAAAAGACATGTTTATCCACAGTATCTTGCATTATATTACGTGGCAAAACAAAATATATGAAGGACAGATATTGCAGTACAATTGCGGTGCATGCCCATAAAATGCAGAAGGAAAATGCCCCAGAAATTCCAGTAATGCAAGAAAACTCCTTGAGAAGGGAGCTGTTGGAGGACCAGTTACCTCTCAATGAGTTTTCTTGCATAACATGAGTTTCTAGGGCACTTTCTTTCTGCATTTTTATGGGCACTTTTATTTCGGTATTTGTTGAAATGTGGAAAGTGTTGCATAGGTCCATTTCATCATTTGCTTTAGTTATCAGTAATAATAATAATAATAATAATTTATACCCTGCCCATCTGGCTGGGCTTCCCCAGCCACTCTGGGCGGCTCCCAACAAAATATTAAAATACAGTAATCCATCAAACATTAAAAGCTTCCCTAAACAGTAAAATGCAATAGTAAATAAGAACTCTATATTCAGTGGAATGTGGGGAGAAATCATCAGTTGTGATATTCTAGGTCAGGCCCCATACTCTGGCCATTGGATTTCAGAATAAACCCTGCACTTAAGAGCACAGATATGGAGCTAATATAGATTACGTTTGGCCCTTAAAGTGTTATATGAATATTAGGAAGATACTCTTCCTTGTTTATCAATATAGCCAACCCTGTGTCTTGCTTACCTGTGGCCTCCTGGATGAAGGAAGCATTCCGCTTCAGCTGCAGAAGGAAATATGAGGAGCCATGACTGCACATGTGGAGCAGGATCTTGAGCACCTGAGGATGCAGAGGGGAGGCTTAGCTGGGATTAGGAGTACTGGGCTGGAAATCCACAAAGCAAAGGGGAGTTGTCTCAAGAACTAAGGGCATCTCTGTTCACCCCTTTCCTCTACCCTCTTTCAATTACCTTCAACTTGACGTTACACGAGTTGCTCTGAAGGCGATTGAGGAGGTACTCAAGGAGACAGTGACTGCTTCCTGCTGAGTCATGTGAGATCTCTGGAAGTTTGTGATGTTAAGGAGCCAGGAAAGTAAAGGGACTGATGGTGAAGGATCACCTGGAAGGTCGTGCCAGGCCCTGCCCAAGTTGCCATGTTTCAGCTGCTGTTTATGCCACACTATGATTTGACTTGTACTCTCCTTCAGCAGAGTAAGAAATGCTATTTGTTTTTGGCATATAGCAACAGTGGAATTTTCTTTTTAAAAAAAAGTTTATATGCAGATCTGAAACAATTAAACTTGCTGGAGATATACTTTGGGTTTAAAGTGTGGGTGAAGTATTGGGAAGGGATAGGAAAGCATGTGCATGTATCTGGAGTGGGGCTGGCTCCTTATCTACCCCACTCTCTGCAGTCCACATTTGATAGGTGGGCAGGGCTGTCCACTTCTCAATCCTCCAATATCTCCATGCCATCAGGTCACTCATTTTTGCCTCCATGGACGATCAGCTGATTGTTGAGCACATCACTTTGCAAGCCCCGACAATCAGATGATAGTTGGGGCTTGCAAAGTGCTGTGCACAGGTCTTTGCAGGTGCTAACAATCACCTGACTGGCTATGTCTGAAAATTCCCTTTGGCCCACACTATATATGACACAGTGTATATGACATCAAAGGTAGCTTGGTCAAAATGGCCTCATGGACCAAATAGGGAGGTCTGACGAGCCTAATTGCTATAGGTTACCCCATACCATCCCAGTTCTAGGAATCCGAGTAGCTTAGTAAACACTGCTGTTTTCTACGTTTCTTATTTTTCATACCAGAATAATCAGCTATCACAGGTGTCACCCAAAAGGCAAAGAAGCAATTTGTATTGAGCTAACTTCTGCTTGAATTAGCTCCCACGTCATTAGATAGATTGGGCCTCTGTTCTAATCACTAGCCTCTGCTCTTCCTAGGAAAAGCAAGCATCACAGTAACCAAAGGAACCCCCAGTTGAGACTGAAGAGCCAACTCTTTCAGAGAGCAAAGGATACTGGCCATCTCTTCAAACAGGTACCCCGGGCATGGGACTTCATCATCTGAGGTACCTTTGATTAGAATGGGTAGCTGGAACAGGACGGGGGGTGGGGGGAGAGAAAGAAACACACAAGAAGAAAAGTCACCGAGACAAATAACGCGGCGCCTTCTCAAAAGGCAAGAATTGCATTTTTTGTCCCTGCATGCTACTCCTGACTCGATCCATGAAGCTGCAGCTAAGAAGTAGTATTTCCCCCCCCCCCAAACCCACAGCTCCACTTGACAACAGTCACAGATTGTAGTAAAGAAAAGGTCTGCTTAATCTCTATTGGCAGAGTATTTCATAGTGCTGAACTGAGGATGCCAAAGACACTATTTTGTGTCTTTAGGCAAGGTAACCTGGATATAAGTTGTTCAGAGCCCTGTAAATGAACACAAGGTTCATTAATTTCAACTGGTTGACTGAATAGAACGTAGTTGGATACAACCAATTATGTATGGATTTTATAATTGATTTCATAGTTGTAAACTGCTTAGAAGCCATTTTGGCATATGTGGTATATAAAGTAATACTAATACTACTAATGATGTATCTGCTCCAGATACAATTTTCTGGTGCAGCAACTGGTCAATTTAATCAGACTTTGTATTGTTACTGAGGTAAACATTCATCCATAAAGCTTTCTTTTTCCCATAACACCTGAACTACAGGATTTACAAGAGCTCCCACCCCAATTTCAAGCTGTGTGACCATATTACAGCATGGGGGCCCTGACGACTCAGCAGCTTAGAAACAACCAGCACAAGTCACGGTTACGAGGATGGAACCAGACCAACTCATGCACTAATCCTTCTTGGGGATGATGACAATTACATTATTATACATCTCCACCCCCATTAATCACTTCATCTGCTGCAGTTGTGAAGTTCTCAGAACCATCAAATCTAGTCTTACTATCAAAGCAAAGACACCTACATGAGGCAAACATATACTGCAAACCTGGAACATGTGTATTTTTCAGTGCTGAATTAAACCCTGTGCAGGCCCCTAGGCAGTTGAAATCTCGCCCCTCTCCTGGCTCTACCAGGATGACATTGAACTGAGAAAGCTTGATTGTAATTTTCTTTCAAGATCAAACCAATATCATTTTGATCCGTAGTCATGGGGCCCCTAGGCCTGTGCCTACTCTGCCTATTTGGTAATCTGGCCCTGGGAGTTTTGGCTCTCTACCTCAAAGGAAGATGCTTTTGTATAAAGATTTCATCGCTATAACTCTCAACCATTGTCCTTAAGCCCCAGCAGTAACTGCAATAGAATAATCTGGTGAAGCTCTTCGCAAAGATCGCATCAGTTCGGTGTGCAAGTGGTGTATGAGTGGGTGCTCCCTCTTTTTCCTTTTCCAAAAGAAAAAGAAACTCCTTTCACTAATGGTGTGAGGGGAAAAGGGTTCCCTGCCGAGCCTTTCTCCGGCAAGGTGTATTACCAAACCCAGAGATTTTAAATGGAGCAACACTGACAAACTACCACACCAGCAACAGGCACCCCAGGCGCTCTTCCCCACGGCACCCCCGCCCCCAAACTCCCACTCAGCAGCGCGTTCTCCCTTCTATACCCGGCTCAAGAAGCTCAGCCGATCCCGCAGAGGTACCGCCGCCATGGCAATTTCCGAGCCCGAACATGTGGAAGCTTCACCTCCTCGCCTTCCGGAACTTGACGCGCTCCAATCGGACGGCGAGTCTGCGCGGGCCCAGCCAATCCAATCCTCCGGCGAGCGGGAAGTAGCTGTCACAGCCGGACGCCACCACCAGAGGTAAGGGCAAGAAACGTTCTACGCCGTCGGACGTAGCGGCGGCCCAATCAGGACGAGGCATAATGGGGCTGCGGTTCACTCCGGAGACCTTTTGCGAGTTCGGCCCCGCGGGGGCCAATCAGCGGGCGGCGGAGCTCCGCTGGGCCAATGGGAGCTGCGCCGCGGAAGGCGCCGCCCTGGTGATGTCTGCGGCCGCCCAGTAGCGGCCGGAGGGTTGCTGGCCGGCGCCATGTCTAGCCGAGGAGTCTGGGGTCGCGTCCGGCAGAGGCTGCAGCGCTTCCCCGAGTTGCTGGCGGGTTGTGGGGAGCAGGTACGGGGCTGGCCCGCCCCCTTGTCATGGCAACGACACCCTTCTCCCTCCCTCTCTCTTCCACGGCCAGGGGACACTTTTCATTGGGAGAGCTGAGCAATGCACGTGTGTGTTTGTGTGTGTTTAAAGTAATCCTTAAAACAAAAGATTAAATCAGATGTAATTTAGTGTCGATCTGTTAAAAATATGGGTGTGGGTGTGTGTGCGATATTTATTGATTTTCCAGATTTTTAACATACCCACGCCAAATTACATCTGATTTAATCTTTTGTTGTAAGGATTACTTTATTATTTGGCCAAAATAAAAAAGTAAATAAAGTAATCCTTACAAGTAGATCAGTATCAGCAACCCCACCATGGGCGTAGCCAGGATTTTTGTTAGGTAAAGGCAGGGTTTTTGTTAGTGAGGAGGCAGAACTGACGTGATTTGGTCAGTTAGTTAAGTATTTCTAGTGTTTTACTTGATCTAGAGGGGCAGCTGACCCTCCCGATCCCCCTTGGCTGCGCCCCATAGCTGTCAACTTTTCCCTTTCCTTGCGAGGAATCCTATTCGGAATAAGGGAATTTCTCTTTAAAAAGGGGAAACATTGACAGCTATGCTACGACCATGAACCCCACAAGTGCCACACGAAAGATCTCAGGGGAAAAGGCTGCCCGGGGTGGTGGGAAAAGGTCCCTCCCCGCTGTATGTGAAAGGGAGAGCTTTGAAGGCACTGACCGGCAGGCTGACAGATCAACCAATCCATGCTTCTTAAGTGCTTGCCCACCTTCCTGCAAGCTTTTTGCACGCACCACACGCCCGTTGCATTCCCTCCCTGCAGAGTCCCCGCCCTAAAAATCTGAAAAAGAATGGCTAGGTGTTCTGGGCTTAGCCCTCAAGAAACCAGCAAGGTTGAACCAAGTATCTATGTGCTTGTATATTTAGATATAGCATCTGACTGGGATTGATCTTTGCAGGCCTCCGTGTACGGCAAGTGCGTTGCCTCCAAGACGACAGGCCACGGGGACCTGAAGAAGGATGCTTGTGCCAAGGAATTTGAGATGCTGATGGACTGCTTCATGAAGAGCGTGAGTCACTTGCATCTCCTTAACTTTTGAGAGTGAGGCCAGCATCTTTATTTAGTGCTGCCCTTAGGCTGTGGACTACTACAGAATAGGAGAGCTAGGTCTCCCTTCTTTTTTTATGTTCCTGGAGCTCTAGAGCTGGGACAAGTAACCCTTTTTCAGCTCAAGAGCTGCATTCCCTTCTGGGCAGCCTTCAGAGGATTGCATGGCAGTGGTGTGCAGAGCCAGAGTAAGTATGTATATGAGGAGTAATTAATGTAAATTTTACCTTTGTACCTAGGCTAGGTTCTATGCCCCCCTCCCCACCATTCTCTGTGTCTTTCATCCAGGCAAGCAAGAAGCATTTTCAGAATTCAGTGACAGATTCCAGCCAGGCCAGAACACGAGTAGAGTACAAGGCAGGGTCAGTGAGGGGCATGGCCTGGGGAGCATTCCAAGGGCCAGATAAGAGAGGTTTGGAGGGCCACATTTAGCCCCAGGGCCTAAGGTTCACCACCCCTGCTCTAGGGGGTCTTATTGAGTAACAACCTAAGTAATTGCTATTCACCAGCCTGGGAAGCTTCCTTAAGCCACAGTTCATCCCATAAAAGTAACATGCTGCGGTGAAATACCTTTCTGCAAGGATGAGAACAAAACAAAAATTTTGCACACTCACATTAACGGGAAGTAGTTCTTTGCTGCTATTCTCACAGCCACCAAATAGGATACTGGGTGAGTTCAGGGACTGGAACCTGTGGCCGTCCATGTCTTGTTAGTTGCAACTTCCATCAGGCCAAACCAGTGGTCAGGGATTATGGGAGTTGTACAACACTGGAGTGCCATAGGTTCCCCTTTTCCTAACCTTGGTGTGCTTCTGGCCTGTTCTGCAAGTATCTTAACACTTCGGAGGCTTGCCTCCACACTTGTGGCAGAAGAGGAATACCGTGGCACTTCTGTAGCATTTTCACAGCCCTGTAGCATTTTTTTATTATAAAGAAACACCAATTCAGAGTTGAAATCTGAGAGTCCATGTAGCTTATCTCTGAAAGCATTAATGTTTCTCATTTGGTATAAAATAAACCATATCTTCTATTTAGCACAACTGCTGCCAGAAATGGCTCCGCATGTATCTACTATAGAGTCTGAATTCACTACTAGCCTCTATGGTCAAAGGGCCTGCTATCAGAAACATTCATTTCATGTTTTGCAGGATGGGGAGTTTTGACCAAAGCAGCTGCTAAAAAGCAGTTTGTGGTCTTTAAGAGAAACTATTTGCATTAGCCTATGCCAAGCTGTTTTCCTCCCGATGTTTTGGACTACAACTCCCATTAGGCTGTGCTGTTGTGCTGATGGGAGTTGTAGTCCAAAATATCTGGAGCTCAAATGCATAATTGCAAGGATCTTTGCATGGTAATTACAGGTATCCTGCTTTAAACTGGAGTTTAGCATATTGGAGTCGCCCATCAGAAGAGGAAAGGGTTGGCGTACTCCTTTTTTTAAGATCACGTTTTATGGTGCAGCATATATATCAACAGATACTTACATAATCCTTAATTAGTGATATGAATCCTAGTGACAATGACTCATCAGAATGTATCATCATTTACAGGCAAAAAGGAATGTAAAGTGAAGTACTGAAGACACACAACTGACTGCAAACCTGGATTTATAGTTGTTGTTTTTGTGCTTGATCCACCCATATTGTACCAAGGAGAGAGATTTATTTTTTTTAAAAAAAATAAAGTTTGCAATATATGCAGATCTATGGCTGTTCAAATTACACACGTAAACAAGCTTTGTTCAGAACTATTTTTTCTAAGACCCAGTGCATCTGGGTTTTTGATTTAAATATGGTGTAAACATGTCTGATACACAGTTTGGGGTGGGGGCAGGGAGCAAGCAAAATACTACATCATGGACTGGAAGGCATGGAAAGACTATTCAATCAACCTTTTGCACTACAAGAGGATCCCTGTTCTAGTCAATCTGATTATGGAAGTGCTGCAAGCAAGAAGGGCATGATAAAATTGCACTTTTACCAGAGGTGCCTGATTGACGAAATATGGAATTAGTAAATAAGCAGCCCTCCTTCTTTTCTCCTCAGTGTAAATGCCTGTGGGATAGTTAAATTAGCTGTTAGTATCAATGTTGCCCCGAGGATTTACTCGTTCCCTCCCTACTTACAGGAACAAAATGCAAAGTAGAGCACTACAGCTAGAGCTTTGCTCAAGATAGTTGGTTTTTGTTAATTCCAGTTCTTGAAGATTTGGGGCAAGGAAATATGAAGGCCCAGGGTGTCAGGACTCCATAATAGCCTTTGTTAATTTGTGGCGGGAAAACATATTAAAAAATAATAATACCCTGAACCCTGCCGTGTTGAGGAATCTGTAACTGCATGCCTGATTTCCCTTCTGAACATGCATTTCCTAATTGAGGCTTTGAAAAAAAAATCTAATCAGTGAAACTGCCTAAGGAGAAAAAGGCTTTATAGGCCAAGGTTACTGAACAGCTTAGTAATCCGCCCACTAGAAGTGCAAAGATTGGTGCAGCGTTGTGGCTCCTACTTACCAAAGAAAGCCAGTGAGTCCTTCATCATTGTAGGCATCCAAGGCCAAAGAGCTATGAAGGTTCTTAGGACAATTTTAGACAAGTGTTCAAATCTGGAGTCAAGTCTCCATTTAGATAGGTCTTTTGAGTGGGCCCTGTATCAAAGAACGCTGGATTCATGACTTCTTTTTTTAGTGTTGTTGGATGTAAGTAAAAATATTTAAAACTGTCATTCAACCGAATACCTCTAAATCTATTTTACAAGTGTGCCTCGCAAACTGATTTACTCACAGTATATGTAAAGCATTGGCAGCAAAATGGCTGGAAACAAGCAATGGCCCCCTGGTACTTAGTAAGAACTGAACTCCCGATTCCCCAGATTTATGCTAAACACTCTCAAGTTGATGGCTCTTTGGGTGGCATTTGAGTTCAAGAGAATGTAAGAGACTTGAAACCAAGCCAGGATCAACAGGAGAGGAAGGGTCACTTCCTTACTGGTGCATATTGGTTGTAGATTAGGAATCACATTCTGTGAAATACGAACAAATGTTAATTGCATCAAGAACAACAAAAGGCTCCAGGTGAAAATGCTAGGATTGACTTTATTTGTTTGTGCAGCCTGTCCATAATCCACCAGGTGCAGTCCACAGCCTCCTTCCCCAGATTTCACTCTCCACAATTGTAGGGAGATGGCTTGTTTAAAATTCAGTTGCTCTATTGAGCATTGTCACAAGTATCTTTGGTCCTTTAGTTACAGAACAGGCACAGCACATGATCACATCGCTCTTGATCAGAAAAAGCCTGACAAGGACATACAGGGACATCTCCATAACCCTTTAATATTAAAGCAACTTTCCTGGTATTTACAAATAGAACACATGTAGAAAGATCATAGAAACATTTAACCCCTTTTTACTTAACAAACGAAACTAAACTGAAGTAACAGCAGTCTCAGCTGTGGCTGAACTGTGCTTTGAGCAGCATTACTACTTGAGGTGGTTGCATGTAATGCTAAACCATGGGTATGAGAACAAACTGCAGTAAGCCTCTGGTGCAAAAAAGATGCAAGGCTGTGATCAGAAGCTTACACTTCTGGTTTAATGTGGGGTAGCCCACATGATAGCTTCGATGTTGATAGATTGTAACTCCCAGCATCTTTGACCATGCTGAGTGGAGCTGATGGGAGTTGCAGTCCAAAATATATGGAAGACACCACATTAGCCACACACCTTAATGTTGCATCTGAATCCCACTCTATGATCAACCTTAACTATATAGTTTGTTTAAGCAAGCCAGTTTCTTACCTGAAGTTGGCTGTTCTAGCAAATCATAGTTAAGATTAAACACAGTTTGTTGTGTTCAGGTGATGTTAAAAGTTTTGTTTTTTTTAAAGCTCACATCACAGGAGGGAAATATATACACTCAAGGCTTGCTTAGGTTTGTTCTCGTAACACTAAAGTATGGTTTAGTGATATGTCCAGATTGGCCCAGTGAGTCTTCTGAAGATTAAGGCTATAATGACAATCGTGCTTATGACAAGGCAAAATGTCCCTCAAAGTAGGTTAAGTGGAACCAGCCACATTTCTCCGTCTCCTTTAATGGAGACACATCAAGCACACTTCACAGGCAAGATACGGCAAAGGCAGGATCTAGCTCTGCCTCACTTGTCAAGACTGTTATGGCATTGCTATTGTCCTAATAGCAATGACATCACAGGTATTTCTGCACCCTAAACCCATAACTGTTCCAGATAAACAGACTGATAGGAGAAAGAGGCCAATTTACAGACTCAAGGACCTTGCTTGTTTATAACAAAACATTCCCACAGTGCCAAATTCTATTATTTCTGCAGCATGGAGAATCTTAGATTAGATGGGAAGATACCATCAGCTGTTAGGGGCATCCAAGAGTCAAAAGCTTTCCATTTTCGCCGCATCGTTTGTCAACAGCAAATGCCACAAACCCTACCAGGAGGCCTGAAACCAAGCGGCGCTCTGCTCAAGTGCACGAGCACCTTTCACAAACGCTTGGACTGCTGGACCAGGTAAGGGTAGCTTTAAACAGCGCTGCCTGCACTTGCCAAATGGAGGAAAGAGGTAGACGCAGGCTGGCCCACTGGAATAACGCCGACTTGGAATCTCTTCGTCTTGCTTCCTTTAAATTGCTTCCTCTTGCAGCAGGTGGCTGGCAGAGTTTTCATGCACAGTATGGTTCCATAGTGCACTTGGGATAGGAATGTATTAAAAGCATAAACCTAATATTTGATAGTCAAGCAAGAGGAGGAAATGATGGGCAACCTCTTTATTGCTAACGTGGACCCCTGATGCATCAGAACAGCCGCTTATGAGCTTGTTTAAGGATGCCTCTGACACTAACTAGCTTTGCGTTTCTGGACCCATTAAACTGATGGAATGTCTTCTCACTTGAGACACTCATGAAACTTCTCCCCCCCCCCCTTCTTCCCAAAGGCATATCAACCCATTCCCCAAATAACAGAAGAATCCAAAATTAATTTAAAGGCAGGCGGGGGGAACCTGTGGCCCTCGAGGTGGTGCTGGAATACAACCCCCACTATCCCTTTCCACTGCCCGCGATGGGAACTGGAGTCCAACAACATCTGGAGGGTCCCAGGTTCCCCCTCCCCACTGTAAGGGATGCGAGCGGAGAGGCAGATTTGATCGAGATCAAACGGCAAGCATGAAAACGAGTTCCAGTTCCAAACACACAGAAGTTAAAGGAAATAGTTAAAAGGCAACTGAGCGAGAATAAAATGCAAATGCTTCTTTGGAAAGGTGGCAAGCACAAAGCACTCCAAAACTGAGACGCTCTGCAGGTTAGCCACCAGCAGAAATGAGAAGAAGGGACAAGCTGTTGCAGTACTGAAGTATGAAAGTGGCTGGGCAGCGATGCAGTTTCTTCTTCCCTCAAGACTGCGCCAGTCAAATTTGTCCGGTTCAGATAGAGCTAGCTGATTTAGGCTGCCAACAGCTGCATCTCCAACTGCAGGCAGCTCAGTAACAAGGCATCCCAAAATGGCCCGACGTTTGGTCTCAGTCGTGTAAAGCCTTCCTCTCTCACCCCTCCTCCTCCTCTGCCACAGTTATCTGTTTAATCTGCCGACTATGAAGTGCTTGCTGGGCACCTTCTGCTGCCTGGTTCAAGTGAGTCTCCAGCGCACTGCGGAGGTCATTGACTTTCACATCTGGGAGGGGGTTTAGTCCAATTATCACATCCCCCGTCTCGCTCTCTTCTTCCTCAAGGTCCCGCCTCCTACGGCGCAGGTCTAGGTCAGCCTGCAACTTGAGGTCTCTGTTGGGTTTGGCATTTTCATGCTCCCTGGGGGCAAGCCTAGCCTTCTCTGGCTTCACAGCAGGGTCGTGTTCGGACTCCTGTAACTTCTCTGGTTCTTTTCGCTCGCTCTCCAAATCCGGCCCTGGCTCATTGGCACGATGGGGCTGTGGGCTGTGGCCTCCGGCTGCCACCCCCTCTTTACTACCGCCCCCCTGGCCTTGCAGTTTAACAATGTGGTCCAAAGGTAACGCTTGCTTCTCTCCAACTTTCTCGACCTTCATGACTCCTGGGACCTCCAGGTTCTCGTGCATGTTCTCAGAGACTTTTGGTTTATGCGCAGGATCTGCTTGCTGTTCTTGATGACGGGGCGCCTCTTTGTTCGTCTCCCTGGCAAGCGGCTCTCTCTCGGAGACTCTTGGAGCAATCTTCTCAGCCGCCACATGAACTTTGGCTGCATCAGGCATCTCTCTTTGGCCTACAGCTCTTTGCGCAACCTCAACCATTTTCTGGACATTCTTGATCTTTTCCAGGGCATTTTGGGCCATTTGAATATCCTGGCCTTCTTTCAACCCCACAATCTTTAGTTGCTTTTCCTGGTGATGCCCACCAGCCCTGGCTACCTGTGAGTCGCTTCTGACCGGCTCCACTAACTTCCCAGCTTGATTTTTCCCAGCTTGGTGCAGTGAAATCTTCTCAGCCTCATTTGGATGAGCTGCAGGGATTTTAGGTGGAGCTCCAGTAAATTTGCTGTCTGCTTGCTGCTCTCCTGCGGCCTGTTGCCTTCCCTGGCCATTAGAATCTTGGGGGTGGTTGTCAAGCCCATGCAGAGGACGATCCAGTCCATTATTTGGTATAACCTTTCCAACATCTTCAAATTTATCTTCAAGACCATCCTCTCTCTCCTTACTTTTGAGGATAGGCAGGTCAGGTTCTTGGTGTATTTCTGCTGCAGAGAAAAGCAAACAGCTCTTAGTTATTGCATGTTCTAACAAAGGGGAAATCTCCCTACTGACAACAACCGGGGAGTTCACACAACAGCCTCATAAGGAGGTCACACCATTCCCCACCCCAAATTCTCCCTACCGCCGTTCACGCCTGACTGCCATGGCGACCAGGTTAATTTTGAAACTCATAAACAAGGGCAGCAATGTAGTAAAGCAGAGAGGCTCCTCCTAAGCTTCAGGCTTCCTGCAGCTCCGAACAGCTTCCGAGAAATGTGGATGTCTCCCCAAACCCCAATGTCGCCTTTCCTCCACTTCCATCTATCCTCCTGTGGTTTCCAATTACACACAAGCGAGAATTTTCACGCCAGGAAACAGCTTCTGCTATGCTGGCTTCCAGAATGGCTTTGTATTGCTAGATGAAGAGGAGGGAAGTGGAGAAGAAGCATTCCTAGGGCAAAGCTGAAGAAATGGGCTCCGTTCATGGTCCACTGATACCACCCTTCTCAGAGTGGCTCCCTAACCCCTATTAATTCATTTATTATTATTATTATTATTATTATTATTATTATTATTATTATTATTTACCTTGCTTTGGCTTTTCCTCTCCTTCCTCCTCTTGCCTCTGCTGGTGGATCTCCTTGTGCTGCTCCTCAATCACGGCTAGCAACTTTGCTTGCTGATCCAAGAGCTGCTTCTGCTGAACCTGCTGTTCCTTAATCACTTCTAACAAGGCGGCATGGTCCAGTCCCTTCTCCTTCCCAGCTTCTAGAAAGAGAGAGGGGAGGGGGGGAAATGGGGCTGGAATGAATGCACCCCAATGGTCTACCATACACAGGAATTCGGAAAGAGTAGTAGTGGGCATGCTACTGTCTCCACAAAACACTTGCATAGCCTTGCACTTATCAGATCTTGAGGTCATAGCTCACTTTGGTACCTATGGCCACGAGAAACCCGATTCCCCAAGCACCTCCTGGAAATAAATTATCATTCTGGGGTCGTTTTCTCTTGCCATGTCTTCTTTTGCCTGTACACTGAACACCGACATTGCATTTCAAAGTAGGGAGGGGCGGCTCTTTCCAAAGGGAAGTCGAGTTTGGATCAAAGCAAAATGGAAAACCAAGGCAGGCAGAGGGAACAAACTGCATGACATTCAAAAGGAAGGGGTACTTCAAGTGAGGGAGTTTCAGGCGCGTTGAGATTAAATGGTTTGGGAGCTGTGAAGGAACCGATGAAATCTCAAGAGAGATTCCAGGACGAGGTGCCCGGTCAAAAGCAAGCCACGGACAGTGTGAAGACTCGAGTACTTGCAAGAAGGTCAAGCTTAAAAACGCACAGTGCTTTTTCACAAGCGCCTTCAACGTACACTCTATGTATAAATTCAAATCCTGGAGGTTTAGGGTTAAAAGTTGCAATTTATTTTGATCCATACCTGCAACTAGCTTTTTAATCTTGGCTGTTTCAGTCCCATTGTGAAGCAGAAGGGAAAAAGACATTATGAAACTATGGCTTTTTTTTTTGTAGAACAAAGAAAGAAAACAAGTAATCAAATGTATAGACATGTACTGCAAGGAGATTTTTATGGAATATACAGGTCTTTTTATTTCAGGATGATCTTAACTCAAGCCAGCTTTCAGACAGAGGACTAGGAGACACCCTATAGTGGGTCACATGGTGACTCAGGCAGCCTATTCTCCGCAGTGTAAGCAGACAAGCCATTCTCAGGTAGTCGGTCTGTTTTCTCCTACCCCAACCTTAAATATTGGCTGCCTGAGCAGACACAGCCAGCAGGTAAGATATTGAGATCATTTCCCTTCTTCTTTTTTTGTCCTTTCTCTGATCAATAATTTTATTTATTTGTGTTTCTGATATAATTCCATGTCAACAAAATGTAGACAAAAATACAGTCATACCTTGGATCCGAAACGTCCTGAAACTCAGAGGTTTTGGCTCTCGAGCGCCGCAAACCCGGAAGTGATTGTTCCGGTTTGGAAATGTTCTTTTGGAACCTGAACGTCTGACTGGGCTTCTGATTGGCTGCAGGAGTTGCCTGCAGCCAATCAGAAGCTGTGATTTGGTTTCCGAGCATTTTGGAAGTTGAACGGACTTGCGGAACGGATTCTGTTCGACTTCCAAGGCACGACTCTAATACAATAAGAAAAGAATCTCTAAAATAAAAAAAGACGTTGCAATTTAAGATTATCAGGAATAGACCAAAAAAACCCCAAACCCATAAAACATTACCATATTTTTCGCCCTATAGGACGCACTTTTTCCCCTCCAAAAATGAAGGGGAAATGTGTGTGCGTCCTATGGGGCGAATGCAGGCTTTCGCTGAAGCCTGGAGAGCGAGAGGGGTCAGTGCGCACCGACCCCTCTCGCTCTCCAGGCTTCAGGAGAGCCCCACCGCCAGCCCCGCAAGCTCGGGGGACAGCAGGGAGGTGCAGTGTGCCATCCCACTGTCTCCCGACGTGGTTTGGAGGCTGGCGGTAGGGAGAAGCAGCTTTGGCATCGCTCTGGGACCCGTTCTGGGGGCTGGGGTCGGGGGAAGCTCAGGCTTCCCCCTCCCCCAGCCTCGCATGCTCCCAGAGCGGGCTTCGCGCAGCTCTCCGCAAGCTGTGGGAGCCCGGCACGACTTCGCGCTGGCCTCCAACGGCTTGCGGAGAGCTGCCTGTTCTGCGGGCTGGGGTGGGGGAAGCTCGGACTTCCCCCGCCCCAGCCCCGTGCCTGGGGGGGAAAAATAATTCCCCCCCCTTTATCTCCCCCCCCCAAATCTAGGTGCGTCCTATGGGCCGGTGCATCCTATAGGGTGAAAAATACGGTACTTAACCAACTTCCTATCCATGGTTCCTTTCACCTCCTCTTCTTCCCGCGTTTCCTTGGTTCACTCCATTTATCATAACTACTTTTATAAACTTTAGTTATTTCTTTGTTATTTATAAGTTATTTCTTATTATCTTACCATCCTGCTAGGTAGATTGTTTGTTTAGAATACTTTTTCATATATTCAATAAACAATATTCCGTCCTCCTTATATCTTTTGTCCTTTTGATTTCTTATTCTAGTGGTCATTCTTGCAAGCTCTGCCTATTCTAACAGTTTAATGTGCCATTCTTCGTTTGTTGGTACCTTGTCTGTTTTCCATTTTTGGGCTAGTAACACATGGGTGGCTGTTTTCACATACAGGAACATATTTCTCTCTTTTTTTTGTGACTTCTGTTGTTATTAACCCCAGCAACAATGCTTCTGGGTTTTCAGAAAAGGATTTAAAAAACTTTTTTTTTTAGTTCATTATAGATCATTTCCCAGTACCTTTTAATTATGCTACACAACCACCACATGTGATAGAAGGTTCCCTCTTCTGTCTTACATTTCCAACAATTACCCTTTATTGATTTTGACATTTTTGCTAGTCTATTTCGTGTCAAATACCACCTATGCTGCAACTTCATAAAATTCTCTCTTAATGTGTAGCATGCTGTAAACCTTACATTTACTTTCCACAGTAATATTTACTTATATTTATATTTACTTTTGAGAGGGGGAAAGTGGGTTGCTTTTTGAGAAGACGAATGACACTGGGGGAAGGTGATCTGCACGCAACCAGAAGTGAGCGTCCCCAACTTTTCAAAAGCACTTGACAAAACTGGTGTTTGGAAATACGTGCATTTGCTCCCCTCCATATGCACAGATTCATGAAAGTATGCCGTGGTTTAAAATTCAAAACGAGCGCTGCCGGGAGGTTCCACTTTGTCAGGAAATCACAGCCATGCTCAATTCCTTGTGCCCATGGGTATGTAGAGAATATTTGGCGCTCCTCTTTGAGAAGGCACTCTACACATGTTTAAATGCAATCTTTTTTTATGTGCTGTACAAAGTCTAACATGGGGAGGGAGTTTAAAAACTGTGACACCCTCATCTCAAAAGCACACCGGCCTTGCCTAGGAATCTCTCTTATTCAGGCTCAGCGATTACGAAAGATACTTCTAAGTTTCTACATAGCGTGATCACTATTGTCACGTAGGAATTCATGTAAGAGAACACGCCTTTTTACTGTTAACTCCCTATAGCTTTTACCCATCTTTCCCGTTACATATTTGCTAATGAGACACCTGCTAGCTTACCTTTCCCTACATGGAGGTCACACTGACCATATGGCCCCTTGTATTACCTTATTTAGAACACTCAGTTCGTAGCTTACTCTCAGGGCTCTTGCTACTTCCTAATTAAGGTTGCTAGCTATGCTGTTTGAGCAGGAATGCCACCGATTCTAGAAGAGCGCTCCGTGGCTCACCACCAATGTTCCCTTTGCTGAGAACAGTCCCAGTTCCCACATCACAGGCCCAAAACGTCTCCACTGTGAAAGCAAACCTATCCCTGTGCACCACTAATCCACAGACCTGCCAGCAGTGTATGGAAGTCTAGAACATGACATGGAACATAGGAAGCAACCTTACACTGAGCCGGACTGCTGGTTCATCTAGTTCACTGCTGCCCACACTGACGGGCAACAGTTGTGCAGGGTTTCGGCAGGGATCTCTCTAAGTTCTACCTGCAGATGCTGGGAACCGAACCCGGGGTTTTCTGCATGCAAAACAGATGCTTTGCCACTGAGCTGCGGTCCTGCAAGATGGGACTGGGTGCAAAGCTAATTGCCCCAGAGAGTTACACTGAAATGGGAGAGTCAAGTGCTTTGGACTGATAAAGGGACACTATCTTTTCCATGCGATTGCCGGGAGCTGCTCTGCCCAGAATCTCCTTATTTGTCAGAGGCATCCGTACACGAGAGGACTGGCAGAGAGCACATCTAATTCTAGGAAGCCCCCATTTTTCTGTCGTATCAGATTTCTACAGTAACAGCTTAAAAGCTCGGACCGGAGGACTTCCGGCAAGGACCTGCTCTGAGGTTATGCTTCACTCACCAGATCAGCAGAGCCCGAGGCTGTGTGTTTTGACTAAGAAAGAGCTCCTGTGTCCAAGAGCAATCTCTGTGTCAGTGGCCTTTAAAAGCATTGCGAGGGAAAGGGAAGGGAGAAACCAGCAGAAAGGAGAAAATCTCCTGTATCCAAGGAATATCTTCCCCCTTGCTTACAGAGAAACAAAAGAGTGAAAGAAAGTCCACTTGTTTCAGGCCATCAGAAGACTGCCAACTACCAGCAAAGGAAGACCTGGCTCCATCATGGGCTGAGTAAGGTCCAGCAGCTCAGCCTCGCTTGCTCTAGGGATCCCCATTGGTTCTGCTGCCTGGTGATAACCAGGGAAGAGCAAGAATGAAGGTGGCAAATAGTGCCTGAATAAACCTGGGCACCATGTGACTATTATATACAAACTTTCTTGGGACTGGACTGTGCAAATCTTTCGTGAGCTGCTCTGGGAGTCTCTCGGGGCTATAAAGCAGGATAACAGCATGATAAATCAATCCAGGTGCAGACTGCTTGGAGCAGGGGAACGGACTTTTTTTTCCAGGGGAGCTGTTCCCCTTTCAGAGCAACCTTGAATAGAGAGAGGAGTGTGCTCTCCATTACAAGCAGGGGCGGCTATTTTCTCCTGGAAGCGCTATCGCTTTCACAGTTGGCTTATGGCACCGATGGGATTGTGGTGCCCAGGTGGCTGCAGCCTCAGATTACAAACTCCCAAGATTACGCCAAGGCAAGATGACCTGGCCTTGCAAACCTAGCCTTGATTGGGTTGTTCCTTTCTTTCACGGAAACTACGAGCTGAGCGCGCACACACACACACACACACACACACACACACCCAGGGCTGCCGGGGAGGCAGATGGGAGCCCCAGAGTGTGCATCTGGGGGGCAGAGCAAGGACAGCGCTTACCCTCCAGCTTGCTGTCTGCATTCTCCTCCGCATTACGAATCTCCCTCTGCTCCGCTTGGGCTGGCTCCGGCCTCTCTGGAGCAGGCAGCTCCCTTTTTTCACCTGCATACCAGGGACAGACAGACAGACACTCCTTGATGGGGAAAGGAAAGCGACAGATGTTCTCTGCCTCTCCACCCCCGCCTCCCCTCCCCATTCTGCACACCGCTTTTATCCAACTTGATGACTGCAGAAAAAGTCATAAAAATATTTAACAGCGCTAGAGCCTGCTGGCAGCAAAACCAGGGCTAACTGCCCGAGCCCATTGAAATGCAAACCCTAACCCTACAGAGCTTCGCAGTGGGCACTTAGCAATGTGGCACCTGTCGAGCTCTTCTAGCCCTGGGTCCCTGGTGAGCAGCACAGCACAGCACCTGATGCTTTTGCAAGTGAGCAAGCTACTGCGAAGTAGATAATGCAGGATCTGACAGTGCCAGGCAATTCGTTGCACGCACCCCAGCAATGACTAAAAGAGGCGAACCAATCCAGCCACACTTACAATGCAGGCAGTGGCTGAGCAGGGGGCCTGAGAACTCTTCATTGGAAAATTCCCTTATATAAAGACTCATTAAAAGCGAGGTACAGTGGACACTTGGGTTGCAAACATGATCCGTGCGGGATTCATGTTCGCAACCCACAGCGGCGTGTCTGCACACGCGCAGGTTGCGATTCGGTGCTTCTGCGCATGCGCAAAGCGTGATTTAGCGCTTCTGCACATGCGTGACTGCCGAAACCCGGAGGTAACCCATTCCGGTACTTCCAGGTTTCGGCAGTCCATAATCCAAAAAAATGCAACCTGAAGCGTCTGTAACCCGAGGTATGACTATACAAAGGAAGCAAACCCTTTTTACTTCACTCGAGATGGCAGAAACTGTGTTGTCTTGCTGTAGGATGTGGATCTTTATCTTTTCCTTTTTTTGGCATGGGCAGGAGGAAAATGCCAGTGCAAATTTGGCTCTGGGGATGGGCAGGCAGAGGTCATGTGGCGAGAGGGGTTAGCTATGGATAAGCACCGGGAAAGGGAAAGCAAGTGATTTATTGAGCCTTTGGAAGCTCCGGCTGTGTGCAACTCAGGTGCCCCTGCAGCCAGCGGTGCCCTCTTCCAGAATTCTGCGACAACAGCCAAGCGCTGCACTGATTTGCGGTTTAACTGCAGAAATGCAAAATATCTCAGGGTCCCAAGGGATAAAAACGAACTCCCTGGGAAGATGCAGGGGGAAGGAACCTACCTGTCTCAATCTCCTTCTCAGGTTGCATCTTTTCCTTCAAGTGTTCAGCTTGCTGCAGGCGGGAGCCATCCCTCTCGCCATGCTGGTCCAGCTGGATGTCTTTGTAAGGGGGGCGTTCATCCTCATGTGCAGGAGGCTTGGGTTCTTTCCCTGGGTGGTCCTCCACCTTTTTCTGGCCACCTTCTCCCTTTGCCTGTTCAGGAACGGGCTTCAGCTGTGCCTCTTCCTGCTCCTTCCCCAACACAGCATTCCCCTCCGCCAGGTCGTTCTTCTTGGCTGGCGGCTGCTTGTCTTCAGGCTCCTCGTGGTCCTGGCCCTCATCCACCAAGACCTGGTCATGTGGCACCGGGGGCTCGTGGCGGTGGGCTTCTCCTACAGGCTGTGCAATGCCTGTGGGGAGAGAAGGAAGGTGGGTCAGCCAGCAAAGAGCAGAGGATGCACTGCAAAGGAAGGTGTCACTCCCTGCTATCTCATCTACCTGGCTGAAGATGAAATTAAACTAGAATTAGGAACTACAGGAAGAGCTGTGGAATTGGCGAAGTTCACAGGCAGTCTCTCACTTTCCCCAGCTCCAATTCTAAATTACCTTGGTCAGGCCGGTCCAGCTGCACCTCCTCTTTCGGCTTCTCCTTCTCGCCTCTCTTCGGCACATCCATGGGATCCAAGATCTGTGCCTTTTCCAGCTCTTCATTCCCATTCTGCAATTTGGGTTTGTCGCGGCCATCGGCTGCTTCTTCAATGGCTGGTTTCTGGTCTGAAAAGGGCGGAGATGGTTAAGCGAGCAAGGAAGGCCAAGATTCTTGCACTGCTGAGCTGGCTTAGGCCAAACTGCGCATTGCACAGGAGATCTGCAACTGGATCCCCTCTTGCTTTCTGCTCTTAGTTAAATGCAGCTGTGCAGGAGAGGTATTGACAATTTGATTGGAGCAGCAATGCGGTTTGACCCTTTTCTCTTGCACCCCTGATCTAAATTCCACTCTACTGCTATTTGACCTAGGGTAGGTGGGGGAGGACTACACGTCAAACAGAAACTAGAGGAAGCAAATTTGGGGGAATTGCATTGGAGCTCCCCACACTTCCCTTGTGCCTTTTCAGTTGTTTAACAGCTCCCCCACCCACCCACATGCTGCATTTCATTGAACAAGTAAACATTGGGCGATCTGGTCATGGATTTCCTCCATTCACCTAAGTCCCCCCCCCCTGTGCTGCACTTAAAGGTAAAGGTAAAGGGACCCCTGACCATTAGGTCCAGTCGTGGCCGATTCTGGGGCTGCGGCGCTCATCTCGCTTTATTGGCCGAGGGAGCCGGCGTACAGCTTCCGGGTCATGTGGCCAGCATGACTAAGCCGCTTCTGGCGAATCAGAGCAGCGCACGGAAACACCGTTTACCTTCCCGCCGGAGCGGTACCTATTTATCTACTTGCACTTTGACATGCTTTCGAACTGATAGGTGTGCAGGAGCAGGGACTGAGAAATGGGAGCTCACCCAGTTATGGGGATTCGAACCGCCAACCTTCTGATCGGCAAGCCCTAGGCTCTGTGGTTTAACCCACAGCGCTGCACTTACTAAGAACAAATGAGATGCTGCTGCTGGAGCCACTAGATGGCAGCATTGCTCTTGCTCATTTGCATTCTGTGCATGTCAAGCAGCAGGACAGGCACAGTGAAGAAGCCAGGCATGGCCAAGGGAACTCACCTGCTGGGGTTAGCAACCAGGAGGAAACATAACAGGGGATTGGCTTACACGGCCTCCACAATAAAAAGGGCAGAGGAAGAAAACAGTCACAGCAGGCGAGGAAGATATAACAAGCACACACAAAAAAAGGAATCCCCAGATGGGAGAGGACCAAGAAAGCTTGAAAAGCTGCCAGAAAGAAACACAAGCGGCAGTTTGGGGGCCTGTTAATTCACTGCATCCTCCTGTAGGAATCGCCAGCAGATCCCTCTCTGCTTGCAAAGATCATTGCACAAAACAAACAGCATGGCTAGAAAGTGGGGAACAGGGGGAGCACACAGCAGGCTCCAGTCTTTCCCAATAATACCTCGGTTTAAAGCCTGCAATTACCCTAGATTACCACTCTGCAGGGAGGCAGCCTGCAGCAAACAAGAGAGAGAGAGACTCCTGCCCTGGTTTAAAAAAAGCCAAACCTCTGCAGGCCGAACCCTTGGCTCCCTACCTCAAGAGATGCACATGAGGGGGGCATACCCATCTCGCTCACGGCTGCTTTTCGGTCAAATGGTAAGTACCACCAACCACCACCCCTTGCCAGGAAAGCAACAAACCAGCCTTTCCCAGCCTGCTGCCTTCCAGCTGTGCTTGCCGGGCCTCGTGGAATCAGTCTAAAACATCTGGAGGGCACCAGGTCGGGGAAGTTGCCATAAGACGTTGCATTTTCCTACCCAGTCACCAGGGGCCCAGAGGATGCAGTTCTGCAAGCAGAGCAGAGCATGCCCTGACTGTTCCCTCGCTCCTGGCAGCAGCTGAAATCGCGCCAAGCATTTCCTGCACGGTTAAGTCTGAAATAGACATTTTCACACTTACACTCCACCCTGTGCCATTTTCACTCTCGCCTCCTCCTGGGAATTAAAACTCTGCTTACACCTACGCTTCCAAGCGGGGGCAGAGGACTTCCAGCAGGTATACAGAGGTAGTTTTGAGAGGCTGGGAGCAGCGAGCGTCCAATTTGCTCCGGGTGAAGTCTCCAGAGGGGCGCCATTGAGACTCCCAGCCTGTGTATGCGTGCAAATGACTGTGGGGTGTGTGCCGAACTAGGTTTTGGACCCAGGTGAACTAAAACCTAGCTTTGCCCTGTGCAACGTAAGTAACCAATAAGAGCTCTGCCAGATCAGCTGAAATGCCCATCTAATTCCATGTCCTGTTCTGGTCTAACCAGAAGCTTCTGAGATGCCCCCAAACAGGATCTGAGTGCAACAGCACTCCCTGCACCTAATATTCCCGGTGAACAGTATTTGGAGGCTTACTGCCTCCTGCAGCATTATCCTCCATGAAAGGAGGTCCTCTGTGGGTCCTCCTCTCTGAGTGGGCTCACCTCTTTGCTTCTGCCCAATAAAATCACACCGCTGCCCAAAGGGAGAATGCAAGGCAAGCAGAGGATGCTGATGCTCCTTCTTGTGTCACTACTTGCACGCTCAGAGGTAGCAGGTGAGCAGGAAGTGAGAACAAGGAGCAGCTGGGTCAGGAGGTTCTGGGGGTCGCTGTGGGCTGCAGCAGTGTGCAGCCTTGGCAGATGCCCAACAATGGCAACCTAGCACTAGCCCTGCTTTCCAGGGGAAATCTTTCTCCCCTCACCCAGCAAGGAAATAGAGAAGATGCATGTGTGCATAGTTGAATAAGTGTGTTTATTTCTGTGGTGTGAGCATGCAGGGAGTTAGGGCTATGTACACGCTGCATTAAAAATAAAGACCCTTATAAAAACACGAAGTAAATCAACGTGCATACATTTGTTTATTTTGCATGATTTATTCTGCTTGTGCTATTCAGGAGCGGAAATACAGATTTAAACAAGGCAACGAAGTCTCACCACCCCCTGGAAATACTGCTTAGCCGTCTCCCCTCAGCATTTGCAATTTCACCCAGACACAATGATCCTAACTTTTCTTCACAGTCTAGTCTCCACAATCCTAGCAACTAGAAACCTGTAATATAGGAGAAATGGAAAAGCTAAGAATAGCACGGATGCTGAATTCTTTAGGTAAAGGTAAAGGGATCCCTGACAGTTAAGTCCAGTGACGGACGACTCTGGGGTTGCTGTGCTCATCTTGCTTTATTGGCCGAGGGAGCCGACGTTTGTCTGCAGACAGCTTCCGGGTCATATGGCCAGCATGACTAAGTCGCTTCTGGTGAAACCAGAGCAGCGCATGGAAACGCCGTTTACCTTCCTGCCGGAGTGGTACCTATTTATCTACTTGCACTTTGACATGCTTTTGAACTGCTAGGTTGGCAGGAGCAGGGACCGAGCAACGGGAGCTCACCCCATCGTGGGGATTTGAACCGCCGACCTTCTGATCGGCAAGCTCTAGGCTCTGTTGTTTAGACCACAGCGCCACCCAATACCAAATTCTGCACAAAGATAGTGGGATATCCGAACACACATAGTTCATCACATCTAGGCCAAATTCTTACCCTGTGTCTGGATGTGCCACTTCAAATTGCAGGTGGGGATTTACAGAAACTTTAAGCATCTGCCCACATAGCTAGCATGACAAGGATGAGGGGTTTGGCCTAGCGTTCTCCCAGAAATGTTGCTCTTTTATGTGTAGGAGTCTTCTTTCTCAAGGGGAACCATTTCACTATTTGAGCTCCCACCTGCCATCTGAAGTGGTACGGCTCAGTTTTACCACCTCTGTGAGAAGGAGGGCTCTAGGCAACAGAATGCAACGGCTGAAAACCGCTGCAAGCCAGGTAAGAAGGGGCAAAAACTGGCACAAAACACCCACAGAGAGCTTGGGGAAAAGCCCCCAAGGTGCACACGAAAGCAAGTCGGGGAATAATTTTGCAAAGAAGCACAGTCACGTGAAACCAACTGCTGCTTGGCTCAGAGGGTCAGGCTACTGGTATTGCTTCCTCCTCTGCTCCGCAGTCTGGAATTGTGTCCCAGAGGCAACGTGTCCCAGAGGCAAATGTCTCTGAGAAAGAAGAGAGCAGGGCCCCTGGCACAGTGAGAACGTTCAAAGTGAAGAGAAACTGTTGGGGGTGGAACTACACAACCAATACCGGCATTGGAACACAGGAAGGAACCTTATACCAGGCATAGGCAGACTCGGCCCTCCAGATGTTTTGGGACTACAACTCCCATCATCCCTAGCTAACAGGACCAGTGGTCAGGGATGATGGGAATTGTAGTCCCAAAACATCTGGAGGGCGAGTTTGCCTATGCCTGCCTTATACCAAGTCAGACCATTGGGTCCATCTCGCTCAATTCTGTCTACACTGACTGGCAGTGGCTTCTCCAGGATTCAAAGCAGGGATCTCTCCAAGCCATACCTGGAGATTGAACCTGGATCTTCTGATTGGAAGGCAGATGTTCCACCATTGAGCTAGAGCCCTTTCCAGCAGCACAGGATGACCAAACTCTTACTTCAAAGCTTTGCTGCCCTGGCCCCTTTGAGGGGTCAGAGGAACCTGGCAGGTTGGGAAGTTTGATAAAGCCTTGTAGAAGCTGCCAGATACGACAAGGCAGCATTGGGTGGTCTACAGGAACCTAGGCAGAATATGGGCAGCACAGATTTCTCAATTCCCCAGTACTTGTATCCCAACAGGTGGTGGACTCTCCTTCCTTGGAGGTTTTTAAACGGAGGTTGGGTGACCATCTGTTATGGAAGCTTTAGCTGAGATTCCTGCATTGCAGGGGTTTGGACTAGATTACCCTTGGGATCCCTGCCAACTCTTAAGTTTCTATTGTTTCCCTGTGGTCTTGTGTTTACAGCCGGAAATGGAGCTCACATCATTTTGCGCAGAAATGAAGGCAGAGGACCTGCAAGACTCCACTCAGCACCCGTGCTGCTGAAAGCCAACACTTAGCAATCAGAATAAGTTATGCAAATTTCTAACAAGTCGCTGTATTTTCATATTTTCTCTCTGTTGAACAGTCTATCGGCTTTTGCCCACATAACTTGGATATTTGGGGGTTGGAGGTGTTAAGGAACAGAGGCCTAAAAGGAGGAGCAAATGCAGTATGGATTTAAAAGGAGATGAACGGCCAAGAGGACTGGCACCAGGAGCCATCAAGGAGCATGCAGGATACCTAAGTTCTCTGATCTTCGGAAGCCCGATCCTCTAGTGCTGAGGCCCACTAGCCACATGAAACGTCTCCTTTTGTTATCTACATGCGTTTGGAAGCTTGCTGCATTGCTGCTTCCTAACATATGTAAAACAGGGCATGTAATCTTCCCAACACAATGGCGTATGCTCCACCACCCGAAAGGCCCACACAGGAAAAATACTGTGCGTGGACCAGTCCTAAGTCATGGAGACACACTGCCCAATAGGCATTCTTTTGCCATATAGTGGAATTTGCTTTAAACAAAAATTAATGCATTTCATTTTACATAAAGCTAAGCAAACTCCCTGCCTTGTCTGCAGTCCCACAGACTGCAAGGACCTTCTTCTCCCCAGCCCTTAAAAGGGGACGATGATGACTGTGATTATGAATAACTTTGGAGAAACCTTGCTGTGCAGCTGCAAGGCCAGAGGTTTGGACAGAAGTTTGCTAGTTACATTCCGCACCAGTAAACACACCCAAAACATTAATAAAGTAACACCACTGAGACTCCCACCTTATCAGAGGGGGAATAGAAAACTAAGAAGAAACAGAGAATGTTCTCTATATTTCCTGCATTTCACGGGAGTTTAGGAGGGCAACCTGTACAAAATAAAGCTTGCGGCCGCCCAGCATTCCAGAGCAGGTGAAAAGACCAAGGTCTTGGTGATAAAATTAAATTCCTTGCAGAAGCTTCTGCAGTTTGTAGCAATGGCCGATCCAAGGATAGCCACCGAGTTACAAATCTAACAGGAAGACAGACAGACAGACAGACAGACAGACAGACACACACACACACACACACACACACACACTTTGTCTCTCTCTCTCTCTCTCTACATACACACACACAGCGCAAAACAAAAGGAGAGAGATAAAATTCTCCACTCTGTAATAAGACAAAGTTGCCTCTAAGCCGTCATTTTCTCAGCAGGAAGCAAAATTAAGTTCATCATCAGGGCGTGAATTAATGGCCTCTCACGCTGCTTGGAAATCTATAAGGGGCTATATGTGGTTTGCAGAGAACCATTTTGCCCAGGATGTGTAATAATCGCTGAAACTGTAGAGTCGCCCTTGTGGTCCCTTTGGATAATGTTACAGTAATGCTGTGCCTCTTAATGTTTTATGAGGGGTGCTGGGCTTAACAGGAAAAGGCGAAGAGGCTGTAAAAGCTTCTTGGCTTACAAAAACAACAGAATATATATATCTCAGGGCTAAAGAGTTGGGCGGGCAAAGCGTGGAGGGGGGGAGGAAGGAAAAACCCCAAATGTTGGGAGCAAGCCCAAGTGCTGAAGACTGAATGATGGTGCACACAGAGCCAGCCCAAGCTAAATCATTCTACTCTGTCTGCATTGCAACATGGGTGAGGATGGGGACGTTTCTCACGGGCTTTCGAAGTGTCCCCATTTATTTTAATGGTTCACGAATCAGTCTCTCGGGGACGTAATAAAATCTCATCATGAGCAACCCTAAAAGCTTTTCCTTTTCCCTCTCCAAGAAATCAGACTAGGATAGCAGCAATGTTCCCAGGAAGGTGTGGCTCGCGCCAGATTCCTGCCCACAGCTCCTGCTGCATTACAGTCGATTCAGGCATCTAAGATGGCGTAACCTGATCAAACCGGTTTGTGTTAGTGGACAACTTGGGAGAGCATTAATGGGACATAGAGCTGGAAAACATTTCAACCAATGTTTTCTAAAAAACAAACAAACCCAGAATAACTCCTTGCTGCTCAGAAATTATCTTTCCTCATAAAACAGAAAAGGAACAGTTTAGCTGGGCAGTCTGAGAAGCAATTTACTATATGTGGTGGAAGAAATGTTAGGGACTAGGAAAGAAGGCTGATCACCAAAGAATTGATGCTTTTGAATAATGGTGCTGGAGGAGGCTCTTGAGAGTCCCATGGACTGCAAGAAGATCAAACCTCTCCATTCTGAAGGAAATCAGCCCTAAGTGCTCACTGGAAGGGCAGATCCTGAAGCTGAGGCTCCAATACTTTGGCCACCTCATGAGAAGAGAAGACTCCCTGGAAAAGACCCTGATGTTGGGAAAGATGGAGGGCACAAGGAGAAGGGGACGACAGAGGACGAGATGGTTGGACAGTATTCTCGAAGCTACCAACATGAGTTTGACTAAACCGTGGGAGGCAGTGGAAGACAGGAGTGCCTGGTGTGTTCTGGTCCATGGGGTCACGAAGAGTCAGACACGACTAAACAACAACAAAAGACTGAGGAAAGTGTACAAAGGAAAGTGCATAAACATCTACTCATTTCACAGGCAGCAAAACTGCAGTTTAAGGTGAGCATCCTACAGTATCATTTGACATAGCCTCTCCTCCCACTGACCTTTAACTGGGCCCTGGGATCCTGAGAAAGGAGAGGAATGTGTCAAGAAGCCAAACTTTTCTTCTGTTCAGAAGTTGGGCTACCCATGTCACGGAAAGTGGAGAAAGTGAGCAACAGAGGGTGGGATGGGGAACTACCAATTGGGCAGAAAACGTTGGCATTTTCTATCTATTATAAGGAGATGACAGCTACAAAAGGGTTCCATTTTGAATGTCTGCTTCCATTGATCTCTCTCCTAGGAATAGGTCAGCCTGTTCAAAACTCGGTTTCTGAAGAGGTCAGCCTGTTCAAAACTCAGTTTCTGAAGAGGAGATCAATGAAGTTTAATCCTTGTTGTATATAAAAGAGAAATCCACTCCAAATATTAACAGCATCGCCTCTCTAGGATCACTGATGTTCAGGTTGTTGTTTTTTTCAATATTTGGCTGCTAGATTCTAAGCATGCATGACTCAATTCAGATTTTGGATAAAGAAACAGGTTGCTAACCAACTTACATGCTTCTTTGGCTCTAAAGATCCATGAAGGTAAGACAGACCAGCCTCTGGGACATGAGGTTAGATCCTCTGCAATCAATATGTCCCTAACAAAATAACTCACAGAACAGAGAAATATAACACTTGGCATCCAGCTAAACTGAAATACAAGCAAACAATTAAAATGTCCTACAGGCAGAGGGCACAAGAAACTAAAAAAGTGTCCCATAACAACACAGGTATGTGCAGAATGAAGCTTTAGGAAACTAAACACAAAGTACTCAAGCAAGCAAACCACACCATATACTGCAGATGTTCCCAAGGCGCCCATCAATTTTGGGAAAGGGATGGGGACAGAAGCAGGAGAAGAAATGCTGTTCTCGATCTCTTGGACTAGGCTCACAAGAGAAAGCTTCTATTAATGGAAACACAGAACAACACAAATTCTGCCCAGTGCTTATTGTTCCAAATCGCCTTGTTTCTCGCCAATGGTTCAAAGGACTGTGAAAGGGGAGAAAAATCATCTGGAGCTAAGATGTTATTTATACAGGGCAGGTATAATGCCCACTGGCAGCACCTTTTCTCATGTGCAAATCTGAAACTGTCAACACTTTGGGGAGGGCGACTATGAAAGTTAAAGTTCAATAACCTGCACAATTCTGAATGGCACAACATGGAGTACCGACAGCACAAGTTGCTAAACACACGAGATACTTCTGAGACAGAGAGAGGTGAAGACAGCGGACAGTGGCAATTATTTAGGCAGGGAGGAAAAAAGAGAACGGTTTGTTTATTGCACAACTTCAGATGCCTTCAAAGTTAATTCATCTGAAAGTAGGGGGTAATTCCTTCCATTTGATAAATCAGGCCTTTGGCGAAAATGTACCCCACAGTATTTAAGAGAACAACGGGACTTTAATCAATCAGCAGGACAAGTCTTTTCCCCAGTGAGATGTTTTCCAAGCTGGGAATAACTCAGGTGCATTACAGAGTACTTCACTGGCTACCTCTGGCTTTCTTGGGATACGAAGGAGGAGGAATAGGTATGGTGAAAGGATCAGCTTGGGTTGCCCAGTTCTGATCCCTAGCCTGCAAGGTGACAGTCATGCGCCATGCATTTTAAAACAGGGACCAGGGGGTGGGGTGGTGGGAACCTCCAGCGAAACGTCTTTCCAAAGTCCTTCTTAGGATGCTCAGTGTATCATGCTGCAGTGTTAGCCCAGATCCTGACTTGTGTGTGAGTCTCTAGCATGGGCGACATTCCAAGATCGGACTGCATTTTGCAGAGGCCCACCCCCCCCCCCGGCCGCCAAAAATGGGGCTGCAGATGATTCTGCAAGCACATGCCTGGCAAGAACGAGGAGAGGGACTTCCCCCAAGAAGTACAGACCGTAGCTGCTAGCTTTCGCAAGGTTACTGAATGGCATCGGGGAAACTAGTTCACCATTTTCTCCTGACACACAGACTGTAAAACTGAACAAAAAATGACAGCAGGGCAATAGCTCCTTTTTCTGTGTCGCAGGAGCTATTAAAAGATTGCTCTTCCCAAAGCACAAGGGAGTGCTCCAGCGAGCCAAGCTGTTCCAGCAGCTATTAGAAGCCGAGGGGGGAAACGGTGCATAATCCACGTTTCGCACAGAACCCGGGATTCTCGTCTGAAGAATAACCACAAGCAATCTGGTGGTGGGGAGGAAGACAGGGATGACAAGGCAGGTGTATCCAAAAATGCCTGCCACAGGTGCAAGTTTAGAAGCTTGTGTTGCATTCCCCGCCCCCCCCATCCTTCCCTATATTCCCTCTGGCCTGCATGCAACGCAGATGTCAGGACTGCAAGCTCTCACCGATAACTGCACATGACGACCATAAATTAAACAGACCAGCAGCGCACACAAGACACCAAGCTAGAGCCATGTCTCATCAGATGCAAAAAAAGGGGGAGGGGAATCCGAGTGGATAGATAAAATATAACAAAACGCTGCGGCCAATTTGGGCTGCTTAAATGACTGTCTGAAACTGTCAGGGAAAGAGCACAGAAAGAACGTGAATCAAGTCTTTGATATAGAAAATCACAGAGAGATGAGGAAAGAGGGAGAGGGGGTGGAATCTAAGCAATGATGTTCATGTAAGGAGCTGAAAAATATTACAAAATCTTAATCCGCCCAGGGAGACCCTCTGGGGGAGGGGAAGGTATCTTTCAAAAGCAGAAAGAAATTGCCTAATTAGATTTTTTCTTTTTCTTTTTTTTTTTAAAAGTGGGTAATTGCCTTCATGTGCTTTCAAAGGCAGCTTAGCAACCTTTTAACGTACGTATGCACTGTGTGTAATAGCAGAGCCTCTCTGAAAGGGGTTTTATACCTTCCCAAAGAGCGTCTGACAGTAAACCCCCAGCAATACAGATGGGGGCGTAATGGGCACTTGGGTGTCGTTAGTGAAAACACTATTCGAAGTTCGCTGGTCAATACGTGTTCACATAAAAGGGCAGCGTTCTAATATTCATAATCCCCAGGCCCATGGGGCAGGGTTTTAATGAAAGTCTGTACAGTTCTGGGCTCTGCAACATCAAAGGCGGCAATAAAAAACAATAACACGCACGCACACGCACGAAAAAAGCCCCACACTTGACAGGCAAGGGGCGCATGGCAAAGGCAGGGTAAGAAAAGGCACAGGGTGGCTGTAGGGATTGCCTCAACACACCAACCCATCAATTAAAGTGGGGCGGGGGGAAGACAGGAGGGGCCCAAAGTCAGGGACAGGATAAAAACAAACTGTATGCTGCCTGACGAGAAAAGCCATGTGTTTCCGCGAGAGGCTCGTGCAAGAAATAAGAAACAGATGTGGGCCGGAGGAGTGTGCGCCGGGGACAGCCGAGCAACGCTGCAGCCCCATGCATGCTTTGAATGACAGGATGCATCTGCCCGGGGAGCAGAATAAGCAGCGGTTGAGGGAAGGTGGCCGAGGAACAGAGAGCAACTGCTTGAAAGGCAATCTCATGAGGAACAGAAACACGATGAATAAGCAGCGCCACTCCGGTGGAACGGTGCCGCTCCCAGCATGCCTTGGGAGTTGGGTTCATTGTTGTTTGGTTTCCCTCAGGGCCTATTTTTCTGCATTGTTCCCTCTCGCGTGTAGCTGAGGGAGCTTTTGTACACGTGTGGCTTAAACCGACTTGTTCTGGGGTGGCCAGGGGTACATCCTCGCCCATTCTGACTGGAGAGAGAAAATTGTGAGCCTTCCACTCAGAGTGGCCCCAGTGGCTATCGTTCCTCAGTTGCCTCAAGACTAGACTAACCAACTACAGCTCAACAACATGTGGCCACCTTTGACAACAATCCAGAACTTTTTACTGCGGCAGGAATGGAGCTGGCTGGCTGGGGCCACCAGGAGAACGTTAAACCAATGCTCTGTGATTGGAACCGGTTCCCTATTCTCTCCTGGGCACAATTTGAAGTGCTGGTTGTGAGTGGCAAAACCCTAAACAACTGAGCCCCAGTCCCTCCCTCAAGTTCCTTTATAATCTTTGAGGTCTACTAAGGATGCCCTTTAATGATACCATCTCTGCGTCAGGTTCAGTCAGCAAGGGCAAGGAGAAACATACTCTTGGCAGCAGCCCACTGTGAGCTTGGGAAGTCCGGCCCACAGCAGACTTGGCAAAGTGGGGCAGGATTTCATGCAATAATCTTATTTCTGCACTCCTACCCACTTGCACCCCCAAACTCTTACCTGCCCTGAGGTTTGGAGATGGGACTCTACATCTGAACGAACGAACGAACGAACGAACGAACGAACAAATGAATGAATGAATGAAGAATGAAGTAAAATAATGCAAAGCCTACAATGGCTAAAGTGCTCACTTACATTTCTCTATCACATTCCAGTTGGCACAAACAACATTCACACACAAAGTAAGTGGCATGAGAGAGTGGCTCGATCATATTTGTCAGCGTCACAGATGAAAACGGAGGCCTCAAACCAGTCCCGGCAGTCGACTGTGTAAACCCCTCCTTGGTAGGTAACAAATGGATGGAAAGCTGACAAGCTAGATTCCAGTACTAACATGCGTATTAGAATGGGGGTGAGGCAAAGGGAGGGTTACACAGCTGCACCCCCAAAGTGAAAGGTGTGATTCATCTTCCTCCAAGGCTGCAAGCTTGCTTAATTCCAAGAGTGGACAACTACACAGCCCTGAGGGCCACATCATAAATATACTATGAACTGGAGGACTACAGCTAATTTGTATACTTCAGCGGCCTGCAATTAACAATTTGCGCGTGAGTTTTATTAGCCAGGAAGATATTGAGCTGCAGCTAGTGAGCAAGCTATGCTCTATAATAGGCTATTCCTATCCTAAATTTGCCACCTTCAGCATGACATGTTTTATTTAACCCTTTAGCTTTTTTTTTTTTTTTAAGGAAATACAGTGGTACCTCGGGTTAAGTACTTAATTTGTTCCGGAGGTCTGTTCTTAACCTGAAACTGTTCTTAACCTGAAGCACCACTTTAGCTAATGGGGCCTCCTGCTGCCACCGCGTCGCTGGAGCACGATTTCTGTTCTCATCCTGAGGCAAAGTTCTTAACCCGAGGTACTATTTCTGGGTTAGCGGAGTCTGTAACCTGAAGCGTACGTAACCTGAAGCATATGTAACTTGAGGTACCACTGTAGTAAGAACTGCAATACAATGCACCTGAGGGTTCAAAAACAAACAAGCAAACTTTTGGCTGATTTTCAAATGCTGGCAATTTCCGTTCCTAAAATTAAAAAGCTGGAATTCTCAGGCCTTTAAAGAAAATCCCACAGGACACACACACAAACCCCTCTTTGGGATGAAAGTGCAACACACTGCCATGTTTTAACGTCAGCCAGCACCTAGCAAAATCAGAGCGGGTGGCAAGTATCGGGCTGAGTCCAAGATTCAATTAGATGCAGAAGGATCACCTTCCAGTTTCTCGCACACCTCTGAGGTTAACAGAGAAAGAGATGCGAGCGGCAAGAGATCTTCTGCCATTTAAAGAGGCAGTTTGGGGAGCTTCTTGAGCCGCTGATGCTCTGAAACTATCCAAGATTCTGTAATTGAATTCAGCGTCACCCCCCTCCTCTTAGAGAACTGGGCCAAAACAAACAAGATGAATTTTAACAGGGAGAAATGTAAAGTATTGCACTTGGGCAAAAAAAACGAGAGGCACAAATACAAGATGGGTGACACCTGGCTTGAGAGCAGTACATGTGAAAAGGATCTAGGAGTCTTGGTTGACCACAAACTTGACATGAGCCAACAGTGTGACGCGACAGCTAAAAAAGCCAATGCAATTCTGGGCTGCATCAATAGGAGTATAGCATCTAGATCAAGGGAAGTAATAGTGCCACTGTATTCTGCTCTGGTCAGACCTCACCTGCAGTACTGTGTCCAGTTCTGGGCACCACAGTTCAAGAAGGACACTGACAAACTGGAACGTGTCCAGAGGAAGGCAACCAAAATGGTCAAAGGCCTGGAAACGATGCCTTATGAGGAACGGCTAAGGGAGCTGGGCATGTTTAGCCTGGAGAAGAGGAGGTTAAGGGGTGATATGATAGCCATGTTCAAATATATAAAAGGATGTCACATAGAGGAGGGAGGAAGGTTGTTTTCTGCTGCTCCAGAGAAGCGGACACGGAGCAATGGATCCAAACTACAAGAAAGAAGATTCCACCTCAACATTAGGAAGAACTTCCTGACAGTAAGAGCTGTTCGACAGTGGAATTTGCTGCCAAGGAGTGTGGTGGAGTCTCCTTCTTTGGAGGTCTTTAAGCAGAGGCTTGACAACCATATGTCAGGAGTGCTCTGATGGTGTTTCCTGCTTGACAGGGGGTTGGACTCGATGGCCCTTGTGGTCTCTTCCAACTCTATGATTCTATGATTCTATGATTCTTCGAAATGGTATGGGTGCGATAGGAAGGGGAAGGAAGGGTATTGCCTTGCAGCTAAGCAAGGAATGTACAAAAGCCTAGACTTGCTGGGGATGGTGAACCCCAGGAAAGAACTTCTTCGTCAAGGCTCTATCAGAAAAGTTCCAGGCTGCACCAGGAACACAGCAAAGGCCTCAAAGGGAATAGAATAAAGCCTTTCCTCTGACTGCCTCCATTCTTTGTCTTCACAATGATATTTCAAATCACTTGGGAACAAAACAACAACAAAAACCAGTGAACTCAAGAAGAATAGGTGAAGAGGGTGCCGGGGTGTGTATGGGGAGAACAACACACGGCTTGCTTGAGTTAAGGGGCAGTCGAGGGGCAGCAGACACCTGCTTGCGATGGCCTTGTGAGGTGGGACTGCAGCTGTGCCAAGCCATAATTCCATCAGCAACCTTAGTAAACAAATAATAAATAATGCAAGCCAGTAAACAAAGCTGAAGCATAATCGCAGCCTTTGTCAGGACGAAAACTAGCTCCAAATTTATATCCATGCCACGTTTTTGTTTTTTTTAAAGGGGGGGGGGCGAGGAAAGGAAAAAGAAAGGAGGCTCCCATAAATTTACATAACTTTTGAGCATGATGAATGGGCCACTATTGAAACCTTGGGAAATACATCATCAGTAGAGAGGCTTGAAACGGCACAGCTTTGGCTGCTAGTGCCCTTCATACAGGTGGCCTGGACAGTGCTATCTCAAGGCTTCACAGAGAGTCTTTGATAACGGGCGCTTGTGTAGTTCTTAACTTAATTCACCAGGGGGCACCGTAAGCTGTGGCCTCCCCACGTTGCAGATCTCCCCCCAAAAAGGACAATAATATACTAAAAAGCCATCTCAAAACACACACACACACACACACACACACACACACACACACATATATATATATATATATACACACACACACACACACACACACACACACACACAATATCAAGAAAACAACTGAGATGACAACCATTTACCCTTTCTTGAAAACCCATTTTTTAATTGTCTGGAGGGTACAACCACCCTGCAGAGATGCAGACGAGGCAATACAGGAGTATTGAAAAGGATCCATTTGTTCAGCTCTTTTGGAGCTGGGGATGGAACGCAACGTAAGGCTAAGCCTCTTCTTCCGCCAGTAAATGTCCTCCCACTCTTCTCCCCGCCCCCCCCCGGCGCACCCCCTAAATCGGTGCTAGACATTCTCCCAACCCTAGGGTTGTCATATTTCAAAAAGTGAAAATATGGCAATGTGTTGAGCTTTATTTTATTTTTATTTTTTGCAAAATCTCCACCCCACCCCACCCCAAGTTTTTTTAGCTATTTTAGGAAAATCACTTCCAATATGGGCTGCCATGCGCCTGGACGTTTTTTCCGGCAGACGAATCCTGGATATGTCCAGGAAATTCAAGACCTATGGCAGCCCTGCTCAACCCTCCGCAGCAGATTTGATGAGGGCGTGAAGGGGGCAGCGGAGTTCTATTGCTCAAACCCCTGAGATAAGGCGACAGCAGCACACCCAAACACAGCGGCACGTACCTGAGATTTTCACAGAGTCCTGATCCGACACTTTCTTTATTTCAGCTGCGAGCTTGCCTGGTTCCACCGCTTCTATTTTTCCTGGGATGTCTTCAGTTGCTGATAAGGTGGTATACGTGCTAATGACCAATACTCCCAAGCCAATCCACAGTATGATCTGTGCAAGAGATGTTTCAGATCCTTTAATGGCAGGTCCAAATAAAGTGTGCAAGGAGGGGTGGTGTTGGAATAAAGACATCTAACAGAAACTAGAGGCCTGGGGCCAAATATTAGGCTGGTTATTTCAAAACTAACATCTCTCTCTCTCAGCTTTGCAACTCCTGACCACAGGCACCTCTTCCCTCTGTACTCCACCAGTTTTCCTTATCACTCATCTCCCTGCCACAAACTTCTTCTCTTGTAATATTATTCAACACCTTTCCCCCTTCCACACTTCTTTCATAGATCTCTCTCCCAGCTTCCCTTGCCCTGCTGCCTTCTCGGGTCCCTTGCATTTTCCTTTCCTAAGCCCCTGCTGCTGCTTCTTTTAACCCCTTCTGCCTGTCTTTGCCTCCTTCTCAGCGACTCAGCCAATGGAGACCCTTTCTTTCTTCTTTCTGCCCAGGAGTGCTCTCTGTGACATCACGGCAGTTCAACCAACCACAGCAGGGGTTTCAGCAGCACCACTACCACAAACTCCCTTGGAGCACTACAATATAGATTGTGTCTCATTAAAATTGCACTTTACAGTGAACTCACTAACAGTGCAATCTACCAGTGAAAACTATGCATGCGTAAGTCCTTCCGTGTAAGTGCTGTTAAGCTACACAGATTTCCAAATGCTTCCATATGCCTAATTCCTGGATTGCACCCCAACTCGTTAATCATCAGTGTCAGATATAAGAATCACGACTACCACTTTATAGATGAGGACTGAACAACTGATATTTTGCAGCGATTTGTTTCTTGCCACTTCAGATAAAGAAATAATACAGAAACCTGGCTGTTGGAAATTCCTTATAAAGGATCACTTGATCAGGTATAAAGCTTCTATAAATCTGGAGATTGCCATCTGATAGGGTTGCTATATTTCAAAATGTGAAAATCCGGACACAAAAGTTGAGCTTTTGGGGGCAAAGTCCATCCTTCCTTCCTTCCTCCCCCCTCCTTTTTTTTTACCCAAAAGTTGTTTTATTTTTTGTGTGCAAAATCACCCCCAAAATTAAAGTTTTTAGCTATTTTTTAGGAACGTAGACTTCCAGCTATGTCCGGGACCTTCCAGATGTATGGCAGCCCTGTCATCTGAGCAGATATCCTTAGGTGCCGCAAATGAACATGCACAGACCCACAAAAATGTTTTATGAGACTTCAGCACAGTGGGCGTGGGGAAGCTGTGGTGCTCCAGAGGTTGTTCAATTCAAATTCCCATCCTCCCTCATGATTTGCCATGCTAGGTGGGGCTGAGGGGAAGGGAGAGTCCAACAACATCTGAAATGCGCCAGATTTCTCACCCTTCCTTTGGGCCCTGCCTGCATAGGATAAGCCCGCACCCATCTTACAAAGTCTCCACCCTGAACAATGCAGTTTTCTGTGCATCTTGTACATTCCTGTCACAACCGAATTGGGGGGGAAACATCAAACTTGATATTTGAAATTCAGGAGGCGAGGGAGGAGAGAGGAAGAACCTGCACAGGTGTCCTAGGCCTAAGGGTGTACAGCAATTGCTAAACAAGGCAAAGAAGAGAAAGATGGAAGGACAGGACTACAGACATGCATGATCCCATTAACTGTGCTCTGAAGAGCTAAAATGTGCTTGGAGCACCTAACCAATTTGCACAGAATCTATATTAGATGCAAAAACATCCTTGGGGCGGGAATCTTATTCCACTTTAAAATGATGTCCAGCCATCATTGGGAGGGGATGACTTGAAAACAAGGCAACAACATGAGCTCATGATTCAGAATTCAAACCAAACCAAACCAAACCAATATGTACTTTCCCGATTGTCGGAAGAATGACTTCTCCGCTCCTCGTTCCTTCCTTTCTGTATTCTTCCCCACTAAATTAATCTCTATCCTAAGATTTTTTGCGAGTAGATTATGCAAATGCGCGCAATATCGTTTTAATTTTCATGACTGATTGCGGGATTTAGTTGCAAAATTAGAGGAGTCTTGCCTCCTAAGGCAGCAGAATTCTAGACTTTCCTGGTCATTACAGCAGTTTCATTGCTTGTACTGGAATATCCCCACACATATTGCACTTTGATTTAAGCTATCCCTTGAAGTTTCAGTAATTTATGGGCTACTGGATAGGGGTGATCAGCTGAGCAGATACACAATAATAACGGATAAACAATATGGGCATCAGGAGCGTTTGCCTCGCTTGAGCAGCAGAGCTGCCAAACTCCAAATGAAAAAGGGTACTGGCAGAGAGAGAGAGAGACGAGCGGGTGGATTGTTGGCTGACAGTGAAGGAGATTTAATTAAACTCTGATGTATTATTTTTACCTAGTTAATCACTGTAATTGTCACTGCAAGGGCTTTACACGGAACCTGGCCTGCATGTCAACGATGCCACTATTACAGGTGTTGGGAGAACCAAGAAGGCACTGTCAAAAAACCACGCCAGTAATACTGGCCAGAAGGTGGCAAAGAAGTCAACAGGGATGCAGAAAAGGGCTGGTTAAGGTATAGGGAAGCCTCAGGTCACGCACTCTCCCTCCTGAAATGGCTAGCAGATCAAGCGGAATACCTCCAAGTTGGACTAGTCTTCTTTCATACAGTTTTACCTCGGCTCCCAAAAGCCTTGGGAGTCAAATGTTCCACCTCCTGAATGATCGAAAACTGGAAGTGAGTGTTCCAGTTTCCGAATGTTCTTTTGGAAGCTGAACATCCAACGGGGCTTCCGATTGGCTGCGGGAGCTTCCTGCAGCCAATCGGAAGCCGCACTTTGGTTTCCGAATGTTCCATTCGGATTCCGTTTGACTTCCGAGGTAAGACTGTATTTTGAAATGAAAGAGGTATTATTACCTGTGGAAGGTGCTAGTAAGAAGGCACCAAAGCTCACTGTGGAGAAGGGGCAGCCATTGAGACCCTCACACCACTGCCAACTGGGAGGCAGACACCCAAAAAGGTTTCTCTCAAGTGGTTCGGCCCTCTGACTAACCAGGAACAGTGGCCCCTGAAGACTGTACTCTTCTAACAAGGATGTCAAACTTTCATTCACAGAGCAGGACTGAATACTCATACAACCCCAGCCACCCAGCCACACTCTGCGTTCAGAGGCAGCAAGATCTTCAAATAGGCAAATCTACCTGTTTGATTTTGACTGTGCAGGGCTGAACTCATCATCCAATCAGTTGATGAGCTACACACTCAATACCAGTTGGTCTGCAGCTTTAGTACTACAACAGCAGCTCTGTTTAACCTTTGTGAAGCCCCAGTCTAGCTAACGCATGCTAGGAAAAGTGTGTGTATGTGTGTAGTACATACACACATTTTTAAAATATATTCTCCATTTTATAGCCCAGGGATCCTCAGTACAGTCTAATATTACACTGTCCAGTATTCACAGCCAAGCGTTTCCTGTGCTCTTTTTATTTAGGGGAAAACACTATCTTAAATTAAGGATATATGTAACAAGCAGATAGAATGGATCAAAAATGGGGAAGGTTGTAGAGAATGCAAAGGGTAGAGGAGGAGGGGAGAAGTGGCAAAGTTCTTCACAGAGGATGGGCCAGCACAAGGCCAGATGGCAATCAGTTATAGGCATTTCATAGAATTGGCTTCAACAACCAGTTTCTCACAGATTTTATTAGGGAAGAGATTTTTGCAGGGCATCAAATGGAGAGTTCTGCAATTTAAAAATAAATAAATTGTGGGAACAAGTGGTCCATGCCCAAGGAGAAAATGAAAGACACTTTTGAGACAGGGATTGGCAAGATTTGCCCTTGAGAAACGGAACACTGAGACCCAGACAAGCAGGTCGGGGGGATGAAGGGTTTTGATGGAAGAAGACATCTGTGGGGGAAGAGAACAGAGTAAGGACAAAGACATGGATGAACTGAAAATTTGGTCAGGTATTCAGCTATTCTGGAGAATGAAACTTGGGAGATCAAGAGAGCCAAACGTTAGACAAAGTGGAAGGTCTCTTGATAACCCATCCTAACAGACTTGATGCAGTGAAGAGGCCAAATCCTTGGCCAGAGTCATGAAGGAAAAGGCAGCAAAATGGTCAACCATTCCCACAGGAGCGTGACTTCATGGAACGGGTGTGCAGGAAAAGCCAACATCTTGTCAGGCTGCACATTTCTGTACGTTCTGCCCTTAGCACTGCCCTTGACCACTTCCTGAAAGCTAGGCGATCTAAGGCCTCTGCATTGGGAGCATGAGTGAAAACAGGGTTTGTGTCAGCTCTCAGCAAAGGAACGGCATAGAGAAATGCGAATGATTCCTAAAGCAACAAAACACGTTCGAGAACAATGCACTTTCAGACTATTCACTTTCCCCCCTTCTTTTCCTCACTAAATAAGCAGAACGTCTTCATCATTATTGATCAGAACAGGAATATAGGAAGAGCAGGAGGCCAGCTTTTACCATAGGACACAGTGCCCCAAAGAGCCAAAATCATCCAGTACAGTTGGCCTATCAAAGAAAATCCTCACGGTCCATATCAAAATTTGCACTTGTGAGGCTGAAACCTTGTGCAGAGCCATACAAAAACAGGCAAATTCCCTGTTGCAGAAACCCTGTCAGTAAACTTCAGTCCTCTCCTATATTGTGCTCTGAGTCCAGGTTAGCACCTCTAAAAACGAATTCACACAGAACTGCTTTACACGGTTTACTGGCTCACATCCATCCTTCAGATGACCATGCTTCCATGAAAATCCAAAACCGACATAGTGTGTATCACTTGTCTTATTGCACAAGTTTAATTCATGATAGATATGAGTCAGGCAAAGGAAAAAGGGCAGGGAAGGAAGGGGAGACATGCACCTACTTATCCTGAAAGACTGAAAAAATATTTCCTGGTAGGCCTGCATACATGTCCTCAAGCCTGAGTTTGAATCTGTCTCACTTTATCTGCTTTTTACAAAGCAGACTATTAAGCAATTCAGTCCCCCCCCCCCATCTAATACATCTGTCTTGCCTTAAAACTATCAGTTGTTAAAACCAGTATTATAGTATCCCCAAACTGCTGATATTTGAGCAGACAGCTACTGACATTTCTTGTGACCATCAAAGTAAACCTCCCTTTCCCCACCTTAACCTACCTCACAGGGTTGTTGTGAAGATTAAGGGCAGGGGAAAGGTGCACAATTCCCTAGGCTTTTTGGAGAAAAGGCATGGCAGAAGAACAATAGAAAGTGAATCTGCGATATATTTTGGGAAGTTGTTTGTTTGCTGTGCATTTGGACACCTCTTAGGATGTTGTAAACAAATTTTGCATGAAGGTTCCTGAGATAAAAGGGTGAGTTTTCATCTGTGTTTAGATACAAATTGGATGCCATTTTGATTGATTTCAAAACTGCACCGAGTTCTTTGGTGCCTTAGAATCCCTGAGCAATGCCAGGTAAAAAATGAATAAAGAACGTAGGGCATTGTAAGAAGGAAGGCGAGTGGCACAATCTAGTTCTTTATTGTCCTCAAGGACTGCTTAGTTTTCAAGGCTTTCAATCAGGAACGAGCCTTTCCCAACCTGAACTGAGATGTCAAGAACTGAGCTTGGGACAATTTCCATGTGCTCTATCATTGTGCTCTATCACTGAGCGCAAGTTTCCCCAACACCAGAAGCCTCTTTGTACCAGGGTCAGAACAACAGTGCCTCAATCCCCGTGTTGTCTGCTTGGACTGGCAGGGGCTCTCCAAGCTCTCGAGCCAGAGGTCCTTTTGGTGTGACACACTATTGGTTCTTCAGGGACTGAAGTGTGAACAGGAAGGAGGGGTGGCATTCAATAAAGGAGAGAGAAACTCCTGAGGGAGAGGCACTTCCGTTTCTACTTCAAAGTGGCTGCTGGTCTTTCTTTCTTATAACAGTTCTTCCCACCACCATCTACCCGATACTTTTAGCTGGAGATACCAGAGATTGGACCGAGGACCTTCCACATGCAAGCAGGAGCTCTACCATCACTATGGTCCTTCCCCATGGCAGAGGTGGTGGAGAGTGCATGTGTGTGAGATGCCGAAAACAGGACCGAGTTAGGATGCTGAACCACTGAGTTTTCCCCCAGCTTGCAGTTATATCACAGACTTGAAGTCAGGCATTTGGAGTTTCCAAGGCTGGACGTGCTGCCTTCTTCCCAATCGATAAAGATCAAAACACCTGAGAAGCCAAATGAAGCTTATTCTCTTTTGCGGACAGTTCTCCACTTAGAAGTACAAAGCAGTAGAAATAGAAGCAGGGTGCAAACACCGCTGGCTAAGACCCAAAGACGGGCTATGTGCATGCGAGAGAGCAGCTGGAGCTTTATTTTCTCCGCTTTTGATTTGGTTTCTGCAACCCCCAGTGCTGATAAGAGAAGCCACCATTCGCTTTAGAAAGCAGCTTCTCTCTTCAGCCGTGAGCACAGCCGCAGCCAAACAGAAAGCAGAGCTCCGGCTGCGCGTGCTGTTCTCTCCTCTGCAAGCCTGTCCTGTCCTTTGTGGGAAATTAACTTTATTTGGCTTCTCCGGTGTATCAATCTCATTAAGTACAGAGCCAACACACCCAAATGCCTCGCTTCACCTCCCGACATACTCAAAGCTGAAAACTCAACGACCCCATCATTCACTCAAGCATCCCATCATTCACATTTCAGGATCTTTTCTTCAGAAGTAATGTCTCCAGTGTTTGCCTGGCCTTGGTCAGCTGCCTAGCTCATAACATTTAGCGTGACTAAGAGGGCTTCAGCCAAGGTAAAGATAAAGGACCCCCGGATGGTTAAGTCCAGTCGAATTTGACCATGAGGTGTGGTGCTCATCTCCACTTTCAGGCTGAGGGAGCCAGCATTTGTCCACAGATAGTTTTTCTGCGTCATGGGGCCAGCATGACTAAACCGCTTCTGGAAATTGATCTAAATGGATAAATAAGAATATGCAGGAATGGTGGGAAAATGAAAGGAACTGGATAAGGGGAAGAAGGGAAGTCGTTGAATGCTTTAATTAAAATAAATATATTAACGGTGGAAATGTATATTTGAATGTGAATGTGATTTTGGATATGGTAATAATTAAAATTATATAAAAAAATTTAAAAAATAAACCGCTTCTGACACATGAGACACTGTGACGAGTAACAGAGTGCATGGAAGTGCCGTTTACTTTCCCACCGCAGCGGTACCTATTTATCTACTCGCACTGGTATGCTATCAAACTGCTAGGTTGGCAGGCCCCATTGTACGGATTCGAAGTGCCGACTTTACGATTGGCAAGCCCAAGAGACTCGGTGGTTAGACCACAGTGCCACTTGCATCCCTGCTTCAGCCAAATCTGGTATTTCAAACCAATATATAAAGTTCTGCCTTCTGTGCTTCTGCAAGTTCCTGCAGTTTTCCCTCTTCTCCCTTCCACCACCCATTCTCAGCTTCCAGCTCCTCTCAATCTCCTGGCCTTCAATTCGTTCTCTGAACCACTCCCAACTTTCCTTTGATAGGCCCTTGTTCGCTCTGCCCCTCCTTGCCTTCCTTGGGGTCCTTTTGCCTGTCATGCCCCCTCTGTAAGTCTGGAACAGTTCAGCCAATGGCAACTAGGCTCTTAGGATCTGGACAGCTCAGGCCCCGCAGACTGCCCCAACTCTCTGTGACAGCCAAGTGGCTTGGCCAACCTACTGCCAGAGACTTTGTCGCCCTCACCAAACCCTTCCTCACATTACGTATAGATTAACCTGAAAAGGTTGACTGGTGTTGTGACACCCCCGGCTCCTCCCTGCCAAGCTACCCTAGAACCTCATGTTTCTCATCATCACCTCGGGGAAAAGCCTGATTTATTAATTCCCAGAAGAAGACGGGAAAAAGACATATTCCAAGCACAGGCTTTCTGAAAGGGTTAACGTCTTTAAAAGTCCCCTTCCGATTTGCAGGTGACAAGACCGTTAAATATAATGGAGATGACAAGGCATCTGTAGGCAATGAGCAGAAGTGACCTCAATGGAAAAGGGAAGAAAAATGGCCTCTTTTTCTTGAGCTTCCCGTAATGCCAGCAAAGTAATTAACAAGATGGTGGGTGAGAGCACTTAAATAAAAATAAAGGAACTTTGCCTGCTTCTGTGTCACCCGTGGGTGATAGTGGGAGGACAGTCGCGGAATGACAATGAACTGAAGTAGATGCTTGGGAAGGCTGAGGTGCGACATGAGGTCAGGGAACCATTCAGGGGCCACGGCTGAGGAAAGTGGGGGGGTCTTTGGAGCCTTGTGGATATATCAGTAGCAGCAGATGTTGGGTACAAGGAAAGAGCAGGAATGATTTCCAGGTTCAGGGAATGAGAGACCAAGAGGGGAGTTCCCAAAGTAAATTCCAGTGGTGATTTGGCCTAATAGGTACCTTGAGAATCACAAAAGAGCTCATATTCAAACGCCTGTCTTCCTCCACCTGCCCAACCACAATGTTTGGGGGGGGGAGGGAGAGACACCGAATCAAGAGCAAAGGGGAGCCTCCTGAAAGCTTCAGGAATGGAAACACGAGGCCTCATCTGCACTCTACGTTTAAAGCAGTATCATACCAGTATCAAACTCACTCTGCCCATATGGAACCAAGTGTACACAAACCCCTATGGGCACAGGTTTTGTCCCTGGAAATGCAACAGTAGCTGTTGGTGATGGGGGGGCGGGCAATACAGTGGTACCTTGGGTTACATACACTTCAGGTTACATACGCTTCAGCTTACAGACTCCGCCAACCCAGAAATAGTACCTCGGGTTAAGAACTTTGCCTCAGGATGAGAACAGAAATCGTTCTCCAACAGCACGGCAGCAGCAGGAGGCTAAAGTGGTACTTCAGGTTAAGAACAATTTCAGGTTAAGAACAGACCTCCGGAACGAATTAAGCACTTAACCCGAGGTACCACTGTAATCCTGCAACGGCAGCAGTGGGGGAGGGGGTTCCAAAAACAAACCAACCCACAACTGAGCAGGAAGCAACCGCTTTTCTCACATAGTGAAGGTAAATCTGGCTTTAAACAAAAGGCTCCTCCTTCATCCCACAGAGGTGTGATCTTGCTCTTTGGACATGCACTTTCACTGTATGATGGGAATCACTATGCCAGGAGGGAAATCGCATCTGCTGAATCACGAGCATGCATGCGAAAATGCTGTCAGGTGCATAGAAAAAGCAGCTGGCCTAGAACACTTAAGTATTATGCATTTTCTGAACTGCTCTCCAGTTCCAGATTGATCTGTGAAGCATAGAGAATCTGACATGGAGGAGTGCAAAGTATTACTGAAATTCAAAAAAAAGCTGTAGAGATCTACAGGGCCTGGTGCTTCCCCACCCTCTCCTACAGCACTGTCCCCCCAAACCAGGAGGGGATTGAAAAGGGAGGAACAGAGGAAGTTTCCGCACAGGCACAGTCACCAGCTGCGTGCATGCAGCCCGTTTGAGGAAGATACATAAACTGGGGGAGGGTCCCCTGTTGCTGCAACTACTCTATAGATGCTGGATGGGTGTGCATAGCTATCCAGAGCTGAAGAAGCGACTGTAAGTGGTATCTTTGACCATAAATGCTTAACTATCTGCTATGTGCATTCCTTTGGCAGGGAAGCGCGCTTGACGTCCAGCCACATTTGGAATGCTGCAAACAGTTCATGTTGCCCTTTCTCAGAAAAGCTTTATCTCACTGGAAAAGACATAAGGAAGAACAGCCACAGCAGTCAAGGACTTGGGAGCACATACAAAGAAAGCATTTGGGGATTTTTAGCAGGGTCAGGGGGGAGGCGACAAAGGGGGAGATGATAGAAGACTATAGCAGAACTTGGGGGTTGTCCAGTAAAATTGGTAGGCGGTAAGTTCAGAGCAGACAGAAGTTCATACTGTTTCATGCAAAACATAGCTTTGATAATGTCACAGGAAGTGATGGTGGTAACTAGCTCAGGTGGTTGAAAAAACGGTGAGCCAAATTCATGGAAAACAGAGCTCTCAACCATGACAACGAAACAAAACTTGCATGTTCAGAGACAGTATATATTTAATTACAGTGGTACCTCGAGTTACAAACGCTTCAGGTTACAAACTCCGCTAACCTGGAAGAGTTACCTTGAGTTAATTACTTTGCCCCAGGATGAGAATGGAAATCGTGTGCCAGCGGCACAGCGGCAGCAAGAGACCGCATTAGCGAAAGCACGCCTCTAGTTAAGAACAATTTCAGGTTAAGAACGGACCTCTGGAACAAGTTAAGTTCGTAACTAGAGGTACCACTGTATACTAATGTTTTTATATCAAGTTCCAAAACCACATTACTCCTCCACCCACACCATCAGCAGGCTTGGGGGACCCCAGTTTTACAGACACAAGAAACAAAAAGCAAAAACTTTAGGGGAACCTTCCAACACATTCCAATGAGAACTGAACATGCTCAGCAACCACAGAAAGTCAAGGGTTACAGAGTGGACTTCAGCTTGCACGACTGGACTTTTCCTTCCTCTCCTCCCATCTCCCATTCTAGGTCCCTTCCCTCCCAAAGGAACCTAGAACAACAACATATACTAACGGCAATCTCAGATACTGTGTTTTGACACTTTTTCAGCCAAAGAGGGGCTACTGTCAAACAAGTGGGAGACATCTGCATACTCCTGGAAATCCCAAGGCTTGCAAATAATATAAATATAAATATAAATATAAATATAAATATAAATATAAATATAAATATAAATATAAATATAAATATAAATATAAATATAAATATGGGGTGGAAGTAGCCCAGTAAGGACTGAGAATGCTCAGTAGCTGCAGAATGCTGAGTGTCTGTTGCTGTGTGGGTGGGAGTGGGGAATGCAAAACCCAGGTGCAGCGGAATGGACTGAATATTTTCTGAAAGAGGGCCTGGAGAGCTGGCACACTGAACAGAAGCCCTCCAAGCCAAAATGGTTTGTGTCAGATCTCACTTGCACCTCTGAATTCCAGAACATGGATAAATACAGCAGGGAGGAACTTTCACCTTCATGCCACGCTCATGGGCTTCCCAGATGGGTCATCGTTGGAAACGGGACGCTGATGGACCCAGAGCCTGATCCAGGAAGCTTATTCTTAGTTGGTGGCTATTTCGTTACAGATTGTTCAAGGGCCAAACTATGTGACAGAAAGCCACATGTAATGTTAACACGACCTTCTCTACTGCAAAGTGCCCTTGGGAGAAGGCGCTTTGTACTAGAGAAAGAGTGGCGAGCGGGGAGGAAGGGAATGCTTAACCCTTCTCTGCCACTCGCTTTATCCCCACCATTGTTCCAAACCCATGTTTATCTTGCAATTCTGGGCCTCAAACGCACCGAGCTTCGCAACGTAGAAGGGTCTGTTGGGCTAGTATTACACACAGCTGCAATGTGACATGTAGCTTGATCCTCAGACATCATTAGTCTAAAAGAGGTGCTAGCTGTCAAGTGAGCAGTGCAACACAGAGCCTTTTAGCCATGTATGAATCTAGACTTCCAGACTAATGATAATGGTGATTTAAAAAAACAACAACAGCCAGATGCAATTCCTTAAGCATTCCACATTGATCCAGCTGAAAAATAAGCCAGGGTGGGGGAGGAGTGATGGCTGGAAAATTTGCAAATTTAAGAAGTGAATGGAAAATGTGAACACCTATATAGAAGAAGGGCTGAATGGGCCAGGCAGGTGGGAAAGCTCAGCTTAACCATCTTGTTGACTTTGCAAAGGTTTAGCATACACTGCCACAGATGCAAAACTTTTGTGCAAACCTGCAATGGTTAGAAATGTGGTCCTTTTAAGAAGAAAAAAAGAGAGTCTCAGTGTTCTGCATTTGCTGCTACAAGATGGCTACATCTCATGCTACCTGATTGCAAGCGTTTCTAGGCATGTTGGCTTCTGCCTTTTCGTCTGCTAACCAGTGTCAGAGAAGAATCACTACATTTCTCCCCGCCCCAAACATCTATCCTCACAAATTTCCTTCAGTGCTTTAATTTGTAAAGGATCAGGTATTTCATGGAAGGGTTGTACTTTATGAATGTTGTAATCCGCTTTGAGAGCTCTGTTCTAAAAGCGGGGTACAAATCTAATAATACAGTGGTACCTTGGGTTAAGTACTTAATTTGTTCCGGAGGTCCGTTCTTAACCTGAAACTGTTCTTAATCTGAAGCACCACTTTAGCTAATGGGGCCTCCTGCTGCCGCCGCATCGCTGGAGCACAATTTCTGTTCTCATCCTGAAGCAAAGTTCTTAACCTGAAGCACTATTTCTGGGTTAGCGGAGTCTGTAACCTGAAGCGTCTGTAACCTGAAGCATATGTAATCTGAGGTACCACTGTATATATAAAAAAGAATAGCCTATGTATGCAATTCTCTCTTGCCTCTCTCAGTGACTTTGCTCTTGCTTCGGGAAGCCTTTCAAGAGAGAAAGGCGGCTAACATTTCCCCATCATGAGAGCCAGTGAGGTGTAGTGGTTAAGAGCGGTGGACTCGTAATCTGGTGAACTGGGTTCGCTTCCCTGCTCCTCCACATGCAGCTGCTGGGTGACCTTGGGCTAGTCACACTTCTCTGAAGTCTCTCAGCCCCACTCACCTCACAGAGTGTTTGTTGTGGGGGAGGGAGGGAAAGGAAAATGTTAGCCGCTTTGAGACTCCTTAGGGTAATGATAAAGTGGAATATCAAATCCAAACTCCTCTTCTTCATCATCACAAATCAAGCATTTTTGCTTGCAGACCTTCGAGCAACTTTCTCCAACCTTCAGTCTGCCCCTAGGTCTGGCCCGCCATGCTAAGTTAGGATACAGGCCTACAACAGGAATCACAGCAAAAGGTGAGCTTCCCAGGTCATCTGCGCCTCTGCAAGCCTAGCCCAGGGTCTGTACACTTCCCCATGTTGCTCAGTTACTCAATCATATTTCCAGCATCCCGAGCTTTTCAGCTGAGCTACCCGTGCCACTTAATCCAAGCTGCCGTTCTTGGTCTCTGGCTCGCTGCCAGCTGTTGACTGACCAGCTGTCTGTAATAATTAACAACTCCAGTTGGCAGAATTAGACACCCTTTTCCCGGCCAACAAAAACATCTGGGGATGTATTTTTCCCTCCCCCCATAGGAATGGTTCCGAGTTGGAGGGGGGGAGAGCACATGTTTCACTCGCCTCCTCCAGGATCCACCTTGAACTGTGAAACATACACCATCCTTTGGTACAGAGCACCCAGTCTCTGGTATAGTCCCATGACTGGCAAATGGGCCAGTCTTTGTAAATGGAAGTTCATGAGCTGAGAGAGAGAGAGAGAGAGAGAGAGAGAGAGAGACCAACCTCTCAACTGAGGGGGGTTTCATTCACTCATAGGAAGAAGCTCGCTTGTAAAACTAGTTTGTTTTAATGAACTATGTGCTGCCCTTCAATTAAAAAAATGTTCAGGGTGCTTTGCAACACTATCAATACAGCAGGACTATACTACAAACAGCTGATGAGGTAGACTAACTAGAAGGCAAACTGTCGGCACAAATCTGGAATTTTTTTTTCTTGTTCTCCCCCTCTAAAACAAGGTGTGTTCAGTGCATTCAAGGTGCATTCAGTCGCTTTCAGTGAAGGCAACCCAAAGCCTCCGGAGCACGGCGGGAGTTCCCGCTGCGCTCCGGAGGCTTTGGGTTCCTTTCGACCTGCTCTTTGGGGCTGGCGGTGAGGGAAGCCCGGCTTTCCTCCGCCAGCCCCAAAGAGGTCGGGGCTGGCGGGGGAAGCCCAGGTCCCCCCCCCAGCCCCAGGGACCACACATTCACTCCATAAGACGCACAGACATTTCCCCTTAGATTTTAAGAGGGGGAAAGTGTGTCTTATGGAGCGAAAAATACGGTAGTTTCCAGGTCCAATTCAAAGTGCTGGCTTTGACCTATAAAAGCCTTAAACAGCTCAGGACTGCAATACCTCAAGGACCGCCTCTTTCCATATGAACCTACCCAGACCCTGAGATCATCTCCTGAGGCCCTCCTTCATGTGCCTCCTCCTCAGGAGGTCCAGAGGGTGGAAACATGAGAATGGGCCTTCTCTGCAGTGGCTCCCCGTCTGTGAAATGCTCTCCCCAGGGAAGTTTGCCTGGCGCCTTCATTATGCACCTTTAGGCTCCAGGTAAAAACATTCCTTTTTAACCAAGCCTTTGGTTGACCTGATCAATATCCCATACCCTTTTAAAATGTGGCTCTTTTGGGGGGAGCATTACTGGGTTATTGTTTTAATTTTTTATTTTATATACTGTGATCCTTTTATGTGAACCGCCCTGAGACCTTTGGGGATATGGCAGTATAATAATAATAATAATAGTCAGAGAGACGGTAACACAAAAGGAACGGAAAGTAGGTCATGAAAAGGTTAGGCCTGGCCTTGGTGAGTAAGCAACAGGTAGGCCAGTCACTTTCCCCTTTTAAGACAACCCTGAAGAACTCTATTCTGTATGCACATATAATGGAATGGCCCACATTATTGAGAAAGTTCAGGAAATGTGTAGATGGGTCAGGCACCATAGTGTTTCCTTGGTCAAGTTTCCCACTAGTTCCTAATCACAATATCCCTACTGCTGTCTCTCCTCAGACACCTCCCAACCCCCTTCAACAGATCCTGATTACTACCACCACCAGCAAGCCACATATTGCAGTGTGAAAAGTACATTTCCACAAAACCAAACTGGAATCATGGCTCTCTTTTAGCTGTTGACACAGGAGAGATGTCTTTCCTGAAGCTGTGCACAAGCACACAGCCGAAGAATCCCTGGTTGGCTTGCATAACCTGTTGGCCTAGTGTTCTGTGCAGAATGGTAATTTATTTCAAGACAGACATTTCCGCTTTGCTTGCCTTGTCACTGGCCTGCCAGGGTCAAGCAGTCAGCAAGCCCCAAGTTTTTTGACTGGGAAGCAGCTGACACTTGCCTCTGGGCAGCTAATATAACTCTCTCTCTCTCTCTCTCTCTCTGTATTTATTTTGCTGTGTGGAAGTCTTCCACTCAACCTGCATAAAAGAGCACCTTGTGACAGACATGCTCCTTCCCTTCAAAAGCCCAGGCTAGAGTTCAGGCCTCTACCTATAGTTAATGTAGCATTAGATCAGGACCAACGATTGGCCCAAATGGCCTCTCCAACTTGCTTACTCTTTGGCGCTGGCACAAGGTAATGTGGATCACATGGTGGAATGATATGGGGCAACTAAAGATGGAAGGAATGAGCAAGTTCTGTACAGCGATGCAAACCCCCAATGCCTCTCTGCAAAGTCATGTCTCAATAATAGCCTCTGCATCTTCTCCACATTTGAGATGCAAAAGCTGTCGAGATCTCCCGGAGAAGTGGGAAGGTGAAAATTATATTTTGGACACGATACGGTAGTGGAGGAACAGGACATCCCTGGAGCCTGAACATCCTGCTCCTGCACAGCAAGGTCGTTCAAAAAATCCTTCTTGATTAACACAGAATATATGCAAGCAAAAGCATGAAAGGCGTAGGTAGGCACCCTTCCAGTTCTGATCACAGCTCAGGTGAGTAAATTCAATGCCCTATTGCAGCTTTGCATCCATGGCACTGACATGACAAAATATTCTATACTGACTTAAAAAACCTACATATTTAAGGGCCCCCCAAAAAACCCTATTCCACTGCTAAGCACTAGCAGACCTTTAACCTCAGAGCAATGACAGCATGCCTGAGAATATTTAAATTATGGTCAGAGAGAATGACAAGCCCACCTTGATTTCAATTCCATTTTTTAAAAAGTAGTGCAGTAGAGGGGGAAATGAAAAGATGGAAGCCAGTCTTGAAGGAAGAAAAAGTTGAAAGTGGCATGAAAGTACAGTATTTACTTGAATATAACGCACACCTCGATTTTCAAAACCTTGAAACCCAAAAAGGGTTTGCTGGCGAATGTAAATGCTCCACCAAATCTAATGCGCACTCTAATTTTCGCAAGTGTAATTTGGCCAAAAAAGTGCACATTACTTTCAAGTAAATATGGTAATATTCTTTGAATGAACCAGGACTTTAAAGGTGGGCTTTTTATATTAAAAATGCTTAGAACAAAGAGAAATATATTATTCTAACAACACTGCATCTGTATGCATATTTCTTTTCTTATGAATCATTTGTTGTTGTTTTGCTGGAACCCGGAAGTCAACGGTCAGCAACAGGGCACACAATGCTAAGGAGGGGTGCCAAGTTGAAACAGTGGGGCTCTTAAGGTCTTTTAATACTGCATGCAATTTCCATGCTGGAAATGCTAAGGCATGGAGCACACTGGCCCAGAGACTGCAGGCAGCTATTAATGTGCTTCTCAGGCTGCAAGTGATAAAAGCGGGGGCATTCCAAGGTTACCCAGGCTAAAATGTGTGCTTGCTTGCATGCATGCACACAAACACTGCTAGCTGTGTGTTCAAAGTCAGACTGCAATGTCTCCCACCCATGTGGAACAGGAGGCCTGACTGGGTTCCTTGGCTGCAGGGAAATTAACCAAGTTCCCAGGCTCTGTTGCAAGCTGGAAACAGGGTAGGAGTCAATTAGCATCAGCACTGACCTGCGAGCAAAGGGCATTCTTGTGGATCTTCTTGTAAATGAGAGCTGGGCAGATAAAACAGATGAGGCTTCCCATCGTTGCACCTGTTAGGCCCAAGATGGTCTCCACTGGCAAAGAAGAACAAACAAACTGTGAGCAACAGCTCTAGCCAAGACAGAGATTGCGTTCGAGTTAACTGTTCCTTTAAGTCAGTGGTTCAAAGGGAGTCCGGAGGCAAAAGCTGAAGGTCACTTAGCATGACTCAGACACTCCTTGACCACTCATGAGCAGGACGGTGAAGAATGTGCCTTCCCCAACCTTCCCCTGCCCTCCCCCCATATGGCTATGGGTAACACGGGGATTGTAATCCACTTGACAGTGACAGCACAAGATCACGCCATGACGCTCTGCATTCCTTAGCGTGACAAAGTGACGCCCGTAGTGGCATACTCACACTCACTAATGTGGATTAGAATACTCGCTTCACCCTTAAGTACGTGTTGAAGGGCATGGGAAGCACACTTCTAAGCATCCTGATGGTTTGTATGGTCGGATGACAAACGGCACTTAAGGGAAAACTAATTCATGATAAGTGAATTTTGAATATGCACTCTCTGAGTCTGGATTTCTTAAGGTTATCATGAGGTGTAGAACTTCATCCTTCATGCTGGAGCTTTGAATCGAGACAAAACCTTGGGACAACTGGCTGTGGTTACCCATTGCAACTAAAAACCCAGGAAATCCCTTTTCCCTATTCCCTCTACCCCTCCCTTTCTAAAACCCTTGGACTTTTTTTTTATCCTAGCCAGTGAGGCAGGCTAGGGCAAGAGATAATCACTACCTGGGTGAGGTTCATAGCCAAACAGGGATATGAGTTTTGATATCCCATGTCCTAGTCCAATACGCTAACCATTACACTACACTGGCTCCCAGACCTTCTGCAGATCTTGATCCAATTTTCTATCTGGCTAAGTTGCTTACATGAAATCTGATAAACCCCTCTGTAGCTCAGTGCTCCTTCTGCCTCCCCTACAAATATTTATGACCAGATCTTGAAGATGACACTGGGCAGATAGATATTTGATGTCCTCGTTGGTACTATGTATACCAAGATAGCTGTAAGCAACTTAGAGAACAGAATGTTAAGCTAGGCTTAGTCCTATTTAGAACGATGACCATTTCAAAGCAAGATGTCCCAGAACTATATAAATCCTTGGGAATAAGATTGCAAAAAAAAATGGGTGGAAGTAAACATGGAGGGCACAGCCAAACGAAAAAAAATGGTGTGCCGATAATAAGCAAACATTCAGAAGTATAATCACTCCAGTACTGTGCACAGATACACATCTCTGAATGCAGAGGTATAAAGAAACAGCACACAGACACATATTTAAACTTATAATACCATATGCCGCTATGAAACACCCACAATCATCGGCTCAAGAGGTGGTAGCTAGTAGCAGGCTGCTTATCAACACCCACATACTGTAATGCATGATCTAAGGCAGTTACAAATGTTTACAATATCATCATCTAACTGTGCTAAATTGCACTGGGAGTGGGGGGGGGCGGGGCGGGAGTTGCAGCATTTAAATGGCTTGAACTATGCATAAAGACTCGCTCATTCCCTGTACTGTGTCATGACCAGAAATTACTTCCTGACTAGTCTCTACTGAAGCATCAAGCAAAGGCAGTAAATACCTGCAGATAGGCATTTCCTGTGACTGTGCCGATATTGTCTTTTATTTGAATAATGTATATGCCACTTAACTAAAACAGTCTTTAAGCATTTTACAAAGACACAATACAAAATATAAAAAAATCAGCTATTGTAGAATGCCCCTAAGCATCTTCTCCAAGCACTATGAAACTTTTCTATTTGAAGTAGACTTCAGTAGTTATAATTAAACTAATGTGATCATTTCTACGTGCATTTCAGAATAACTGAATATACATTTTATGCGCGTTCAAATCTTCATAGGCACATGGGAGGCTTTTATATGTGTAATTTAGCCTAGAGGCATGCAAACCTGCTACAAACCCTAAAGACTAGAGACGGGGAGAGTGAAAATGCAAGTAATTAAGAACCAGATTTCACTTACCGTTCGGGATCATGATTCCTCCAACCATGGTTCCAAACACAACTGCTAGTGTCAGGGCTTTAAATCGGAGAGGTGGCATATAACCACCTGCAGCAAATGTCCCATCTTTTTGCTAATTAAAAAAGAAAAGGCCAATTAATTATTCAGTTCTTTTAATTTTTTTATTAAGACAAAAAGGGATTTTCCTCTCTGTTTCTGGGAATTTGCCTCTGATGTCTACACACGTGGAACCTTTTGAACTACAGTCTCCTCCCAATATTCCCAACAATTTGATATGATATGGGCATTACCCACTGAAGCCTAAGCCTTATACCTGTAAGTTTCTAAATTAACAATACCAATGTGCCTTAATGACCGCAGCCTGAAATATAATGAAGGCTATGAGATCACCGCTGCTGGTCAGCATAATTTGGATTACTAAATTACAGATTTTCTCATCTTTTGATTTTTTGTTTGTTTGTTTTTTAAAAATAGTTACTGAACTTTTTTGAAGATACAGATTAAGAATGAAACAAGCAAAACAGATACAGAGAATGAGTTATGAACATAGCAGACTTGAAACAGCTCGATTAACTATACATACTGATATCTTAATTCTTTATTTCTCCTTTATATTTTGTTTACAGGATCTTCCCTTTCAGAGTTTTGAGATGAAGAGATAATTCAAAAGGTCCATAGTCTAGAGTATATCAAGGGCAGGGAGCGGGCATTATCCTTTACACTTGCAAAGTCAATAAACGCTTCCCTTATTTTCCCAAATGAGTCTTTTATCTTTTGTCCCTTGGTTACCCTTAGTTCTTGTGCTAATTTCTCTAAAGACACCTTGCCAAACATTTTGAAACTATTGCTCAACATTTACGTTCTGCAGCGTCTTCCAGTTCTGAGCTACACACTGCTTCTGCAGCTGAGAATAAATGAATTAACAGCATTTTATGATCATGATCTAAATTTCTATCCAAAAAACATATTTAACAGAACCAAAGTTGGAGATGAAGATATTCCAAGACCAGCAATCCGACTTATCTCCCAGCATACCAGCTCCCAAAACACGTGTACCTGGGGGCAATCCCACCACATATGGATGTATGTACCTTCCACACCACACACTTTCCACATATAGGAGAAAGATTAGGGTTTATCAGAGATAATTTCAGCACTGTCAAATACCATTTATATGACTGCTCTCTGGCAGTGGCAGATGTTGTTTTATATAGTGGCTTTAACCATGGAGCATTTCCATCATTTATTTCCATCTGTCTATCTAAACTTTATCCCCTAAAGTATGCAACAAGTCATTTGACTCCTTGTCAGTCTCCAAAAGCCACCTACAGATGTTATAAACCTCTTATCACTCCCAAATAACTCGGTGTCTCCTGTTCAAATGCTGTAGGTTGGATTTTGATTTTGTCTTTATATGCCTATCACAGCTCTCATAACCAACTTTAAATGTGTGTAAAAGTTTTTCATGGCCTGGAAGTGAGTTGTTCTCCAAAACAGTGGATCACAGGAGGTGGCTTTTAGACTTCAAACCAATATGCAGATATTTGAACTAGCAGTCATAAAATAGTTCCTGTGGCCAAGATCCACCTGCAGAAATAATTCTACTTTGCTAGTTACATCATGTGTATTCCGCCCCCCAGTAGTATGTACAGTTGTTATACAGAAGAACACAAGAACACAAGGAACCTAAGGAGAGGAATACACTGCATTAGAGTAGCACAAGTGTCAGAACAGCTTTCCGTATAGCAGGCTGGGAAACAAAGTGGTGTAAGGCACAGAAAAGGAGGTAATTGCCACTTCCTTTCCCTATACTAGAGTGGGGAACCTGTGGTCCTGCAGATGTTGCTGGACTCCAACTCCCATCAGTTCCAGCCAGAGATGAGGAGAGTCGGAGTCTGACAACATCTGAAGAACCACAAGTTCCCCATTCCTACCCTAGGATTTGGTCACACGTTGTGATGGCTGGTCTGATACCACCTTGTTTCTATACAATAGAGTTCAGTATGTTTTAGGGTATGTACTACCTTACGACACCCAATCACCTGAAATACACGGATAATAGCCTGCGGCTGTTTCTACAGGCAATATAGTTATGCTCAGGAAGGCTTACAGCAAGTATCACCATTTCTCCCTGACTACCCTGAAAGCTACTTCATGCTATTTTCCCATAGAAACATAACCACTTTCTCCTTTTTAGTCAAACATAGCAAAACTTGCTCAATACTACAGTTCCTGGTGATGAAGAAATGAGGAGACATCAGACCAAAATGCCCCTAAGTGTGACCACCACCTCTAAGCCTGGAAGGGAATAGTTTTGCTCATTCTTTTCACGTGAAAGATAAAAGTGGGGAGGGGAGACAACAGAGAAGGGCAAAGATGTAAGGACACTCCTGGTTTAAGGTGAGGGAAGCCTAAAAACATCACAGTTAAGTCAAGAACAAGGAACTGTACTGAACCACAAGGGCTTTACCTGCTGTTCAAAGAGTAGGGTATTCAACGCCTGCCGGCAGGGCAGAATCATCATAGGGAACCCAACAGCTACAGACATCATGAACCCTACACGGATCATCTCGGTCACTACATTCGAAGGGAAGTTCATGAGCACATTCCCCTCAATGTCTCCGATGTAGCTCACATAGCCAAAGAACCCCACCTGTTCAAGGAGGAAAGGGGAATTACATTCAGTGGTCACATACATTTGTTCAACACAAAGAACAGAAAACTGGGCGTCCCTTGGGCCTGTCCTCAAGACAGTGGAAGACTATCTTCAATTAATCGCATCTTTATCCCACACTCCCAACTGATTAGTCCAAATTCTTTAAGCTCTGGCTCATTAAAAAAAATATTTTAAAAATCCGAGATCTCACATCACTTTTGTTGGGTTTCTCTATACATTTCCAAATTCCCATGTATCTTTCCCAAGGCTGGGTGACCAGAGCTGCATGCGGTATGAAAAGAGCAGATGCAGAATGGATTTATGACAGAGTAAAACAAATCCTCTACTATGATACAAAGCAGTGGGATGACATTAAGTCATTCCAAGCACCTGGCTATGACAACATGTAAGGATGCCTTCCAAAAAGTGACAATATTGCAATAACTTCACATTTTCCCTGACATCTCGAATGCGAACACTCACTTTGAAGCCATGACCACATTTTTATCATCATGAGTAGAGATAATGACCTTGGACTGTTCCAAAGACTGCTATGGAAGTCAAGATAGTAGCCAAGGGAGTAGAAGTAACCGACCCCAAAACATCAACTCTCCCTTGTCATGATGTTCTCTACATTTAATTGGCTTTTATGTGATATATTTTATGTGACATGGCATACTTCAAGTTTTCCTAGCAGCCAACAAGCTTATAATGAAGTACTTCAGGCTATTCTACAAAGGAGGAGCAGGATAAAAATCTTAATAATAATAATAATAATAATAATAATAATAATGTTACAAGTGTGGTTCATTGAATTCCCATGTTCCAAGCCCAACCAATGGTATTAATTGTTTGATGGGAGTTTTGTATTTGATATCCCGCTTTATCACTACCCTAAGGAGTCTCAAAGCGGCTAACATTCTCCTTTCCCTTCCTCCCCCACAACAAACACTCTGTGAGGTGAGTGGGGCTGAGAGACTTCAGAGAAGTGTGACTAGCCCAAGGTCAATCAGCAGCTGCATGTGGAGGAACAGGGAAGAGAACCCGGTTCACCAGATTACGAGTCCACCGCTCTTAACCACTACACCACACTGGCTCCCTAATGGCTCCCTTGATGGTACTGAGAGGAGAGGAGCGACCACAGCTCAGCAAAGGAGCAACTCTAAAGAAACTAATCTAAATGAAAACAAAAAAAAGAGAAAAGAAAGTGCAGAGTCCTCTGTCAAAGTTAGCTTTTAACCCTTGTCTCACACAGAAAGTGGTGGACCCTCCATGCTCTCTCACCTGGGAGCTTTGCTTTCTTCTCCCAGTCTCTCCCTTCCCTGTCTCTCACTCAGGATCCTTCCATAAATCCACCACTTTCATGTGTGTGTAATCCTTGGACCCAATAACAGCCCAGAGCAGAGGACAACAAAGGAAAACAAAAGGGGAGAAAGAGAAGGAAGATAAAAAAAAATGGAAAGAATAGAAGGAAAGAAGGAATGAATGAATGAGTGAACTAACTTCTGATTTTCTGTCTGTCAGTTAAATAAAATAAATTATTTGAAACATTCACTCTAGGATAATATCCAACTGTTCTACTTTCTGTTAAGCAATATTTTCTCAATCTTGAGACCCAAATGTCTGAAATCAATTCATTTTCTTTTCACACAAAAAGTCCAAAAGGGGTTCTCTATTATTATTATAAAGGTAAAGGGACCCCTGACCATTAGGTCCAGTCATGACTGACTCTGGGGTTGTGGGCGCTCATCTCGCTTTACCGGCCGAGGGAGCCGGCATACAGCTTCCGGGTCATGTGGCCAGCATGACTAAGCCGCTTCTGGCGAACCAGAGCAGCGCACGGAAACGCCGTTTACCTTCCTACCAGAGCGGTACCTATTTATCTACTTGCAGTTTGACATGCTTTCAAACTGCTAGGTTGGCAGAAGCAGGGACCGAGCAACGGGAGCTCACCCCGTCGTGGGGATTTGAACTGCCAACCTTCTGATCGGCAAGTCCTAGGCTCTGTGGTTTAACCCATGTCCCCACCCCAAGTTGTACACAGAGCCAATTCTCTCTCAGCTGTGCTGATGTCAGATCAAGGTATCACTCCATCTCTCCATCCATGACTAACTTGTGATGAACACATCACCACTTCTTCCTCCCGCCCCTTCACAGGCATGTACCAGCCCTAACGCTGAGAGCAGCAAAGGGCAAATGAGGAAGATATGTAATGCTCATCCTGATCTCAGGATACTGATGAAACAAGTTCTACTCTTGTCAGTCCCAGTATTTCTAGTACCTGTAGAAGCATCTCTGGTAGGTATGGATCATGTTTAAACTATATCTTTCTAACTGTTCAATAAGAGTAAGGGGTTTTTTCCCCACACACTCCAAGTGCTGTCTCTGCTGCTCTGGAAATGTCCCCAGAGAATGTCCATTGCACGTGGCAGAAAATGTCCCCACAGTTGTTTCTACACTTCTACAAAACATGCTCAGAGGAATATTTTTTACTTTGGGAAGGAGATGGAGCAAAGAGGGGTAGTTGTTGTTGTTGTTTTTAAAGGTTTCTTACCGTAATATAAAAGGTAGTGACCACGTTTAGCGACGAGGCAAAGATGGAACTCATGATTTTAACCGACGGCTCATCCAGACTGTCGTAGGTTGGCAAGACCTGGCTGCAGAAAAGCAGGGAAATGTTAAAACATGTCAGGAAATTCTCCCTTGCCAGTAGAGTGTGCTTGCTGACACCTTCCCCACATGGAATTCAGGCACTTGCCTCTCTACTGCAGTTTACGCCAAGAGGTTTCTGAACACTCACAAGTTTAAGTGGTGCCCGTATATTCCTGCTCCCTCCCTCCCTGCCTGCCATTGCCACATGTGCAATGTAAATATTTCACATATTTTAAAAATAAAAATGTCGCAACGTGAATGACCGCTTGTTTGCCTCAGACACCAGTGGCAGAGCTCCAGACAGCACACTGCAGATTATTGTTCTTGGAGCATCCCGAGCTGATAATTAAAGCAATGCGGTGTTTACAGAATAACGAGCAGGAAGAGAGCTAGAGCATCATATTGTCAAAGAGAAAAGTTAAACAACCAAGACTAAACACTGCGCCTGTCGTATTTCAGCACTGATGCTTGAGCTCAACTCACAGAAAAGCGGAAGGGCCAATTACATGGGGCTTGGGTGCTTATGCACATGGAAAAGCTTTTTCCTAACATCAGGTGTACAGCTTATTGCAGCAGCCAGAGGATGCATGGGCCTGACTTGACCACATGCTCTTGAACACACAGGGACACCTTGAGAGGGTAAGTAGATAGGAAGGTCATTTAGGATAGAAGCACTTATGAAAACTACCATGCAAGAAAGTAGGGTGGTGGTGTGGAAATCCTTAGCTCTGCTTAGCAGCTGATTTATCTATTTTTTTAGCTCTCCATCATTCAGAGGACTGGACAGTTCAGTGCTATTTAAGTATTTACGAAAACGGCAACGTCATGCTATCTATCTGGGTACCTTTATTACCACCACTGTTATATACAATGCAAATGTTGCTTGTCAATACAACCAACCCTGAACATATGCTTGTATATTGAGTGGGGAATAGCACAGCAAAGGTAGGGGGGAACTCCAATGTTAGGTGTGTTAGTTGCATGTGAAAATCCAACCTTAGGGAAGTTCTTGCGATCTCCAACAAGAAGCCACTTGTAAGCGGCATCTTCTGCCTTGCCATTCCCAACAAACTGAGATCCAAAGAACAGGTGATGTCAACAGCAACCACAGGCCCTGCTGATTCGATTCAGGACCATGGCACTGAAGGGGTGGGAGGTGGGAGTTTGAACCTTTCCAATTAATGTAATTTCCAATTAAAACTGTGCCTCCCAATGCTCTTTGCTTTGTTTCTGTAAATACAACAGAAACAATGTAAAGATTTGAACTCACTAGCAGGGTTTGAGTAAACAGTTACAATTAACAAAAAATAAGTATAAAAACTATAAAGATGAGAATAGAAGGATAAGAGACAATAACAATTTATATAGAGATACCATATGAAGATATATGAAAGCAAGCAGGGGGAGTTAATATGGGGGGATGGGACCAGAAGAGGAAGTTGAGGGAAGTGGGGGAATTTTGATGATTGGACATGTTGCAGTAAGATTAAAATGCAAAATTCAATATTTTTTATTAAAAACAAAACAAAACTGTGCCTCTCAATGCTCTTTGCTCTTTGCTCATTGCTACAAATGGTGGCACTATGGGGAATGGAGGGTGGATTTTAGTTGGCAAAAAAGAGCAGAGACTGAAAGGTTTATAACAGGCACCCCCAAACTCGGCCCTCCAGATGTTTTGGGACTACAACTCCCATCATCCCTAGCCAATAGGACCAGTGGTCAGGGATGATGGGAATTGTAGTCCCAAAACATCTGGAGGGCCGAGTTTGGGAGTGCTTGGTTCATAAGCACTCGTCACCAGCAACATGACCCCTATTCAAATACCTGTCCTCCATGAATGCTATTAATTAAAAACAAACAAACAAAAACACCCAAGAGGTCTTGTTCATGGATCTCCCTTGTCACATCTAGTTTGGATCCGAGGCTCAACAGGAAGTAGGGAAGCATTCTATGAAGTACAAGCAATGTAGCAATGGGCAAAAATTGAACGTCTGTATCCAGACGCAACATACCTTACGATCACTCAGTACTGGAGAACAATTACTCAGTACTGCAGAACAAACAGCACCACCTCGCCCTGCATACGAACTCTCCAGAGGCTACTGTCTGGTTGACAAAATGCTGAACTAAAAGGGACTTTTGGTCTCACCTAGAGCTGAAAATCTTATATATTTTAAGGGAGTAATTCTGGAGTCAGAAGGATCAAAAGTCATTTACTGCCTCTGCTTCATGAACCATCCCCAAGACATTTTGGCTTTCCAGATATAGCTGTAAAAAGTCCTCTAAACCAGCAAGGCACGTCACACACCAAGCCTCCCTGACTCTCGGGACTCCAGCACACACGACAAGCAGCATACCCTAAATGTGTGCGGAGTTTATTTCTGAGGTAAAATGCCCACCCTGAGGGCCAGGCCAGGATCGAGGCATTCAGGGCAAAGAAGCCTTTGTCTGACAAAACACTTTGTATGCTACAGGCTTAGGTTTCTTCACATCACTTGCAATCACATAAACGCCACTCCTCGGGGTAGACGGAAGGAAGATATTTAGACCAAATGCCCTTTACATTTATCTCTCTATTCCCAAGATGAACACAAGGAGAGAAAGAACACAAACAAGAAGCTTCAGAACCTGATACAGGGAAATAGCAGCTCCTTCTTGATGAAGAGAGAGCTGTTTCTTTTGTTAACAGATTTTCATCTCTGCCATACCCAAAAAAAAGGGGGGGGGGGGAAATCCCTTGCATGTAGAAAACAGAAAGGGTGCGTTTGCAGCATTGGGGGGGGGGGTTTCATTACGGACAGCAAGCGACACAGCTCAGAGAAAAGGGCCCAATCCTGCAAAATAAAAGAGGCCTCAGGGGCCAAGCAGCTGGAGTATTTGATCACAGTTAGGGTATCTGAGTCTCATTTCATCTTACAGAGGATGGATGGCCATCCACCAGTCTACTCGGCTGGAAATGGGGACGTGCCCTGCATATTGGGGAAGGGAAAAGGAAGCATAGTGTGGTCAACGTCAAGATGGGTGTTCAGAGTCTTTCATAAGCAAACGTTTAAAAATACACAGCACCCATTATGCTACATAGGAATGCTTGAGGAATCTGGCATTTGCAAATTCCAGTGTGAACTGACTAACATCCCCTGGACTTCAGCAGATCAGAACTCATACACCAGATTTCACGTTTCCTGGGTGTTCTGACATAGTTCTTGGCTGAACCAATGCTTCAAAATGCATATTTTTGAGAGAATATCACTTTAAACCGCGTATTGAAATACATACAGTCGTACCTTGGGTCTTGAACACCTTGTAAGTCAAACATTTTGGCTCCCAAATGCCGCAAACCCAGAAGTCAGTGTTCCGGTTTGCAAATGTTTTTTGGAACCCGAACATCTGCCGCAGGTTCCGATTGCCCACAGGAGCTTCCTGCAGCCAATAAGAAGCCGCGCCTTGGTTTCCGAACATTTTGGAAGTCAAACGGACTTCCAGAATGGATTCCATTCAACTTCCGAGATACCACTGTATTTAAATGCATGTTTTTGTGCAGTTGTTTTTTCTTTTGCCTTACCGATTAATGAGGAAACAGAAGAACGGATTTATGGGTGAACACTCGTCAAAGTGAGAGTAGAAATAAGGTTGATTCGCCTTTCCTTACAGTGCTGGCTTCCATTGCACCAGGAAAGACAGTGGTGTTAGACTCACCCCCAAAAATAGTGCCGGCCACCTGGGTTGGGACGTTCACTCAAGGATCCACCATGCTTCTGTGTGAAATCCCTGCCTCAAAGGTTACAGCACCATTGTTCACATTACAAACAAGCTGTTGTGATGGGGAGACTAGCCTAAGGTCAACATAGGAAGGCTGTAGCAGAGCTAATATTACATTTCTATGCTTCCTGGCTCCCTGCCCCATGCACAATCTGTTAGACCATATGGCACGCTCGCGGGGGGCAAAGACGTTTCTCTTTGAATTTGGCAATGACAAGCCTCAATGCCAGAAAGAGCCAACACCACAAGGAAAGTAGGCTTGTGCAAGCCATAGCAACCAGCATTCCGATGCATGTTACTTTTTCGCCTCTAGAGGGAAGGAACTCAGGTCTTATGCTTGTCACTTAAAAAAAAAAAAAAAAAAGGAGGGGGGAAGTGTGAATTGAGAGGTCAATGACTGCAAGCCTGTCTACTCTGGGATTCATCCGCATGTGACATCATACGGGCCAAGAAGTGTGTGTTATTCTTGCCCTTGGGGAAAATTATAGGTTTAAGCTTTCGGTTTGGCTTGCCACACTGGTGGTGTAGCAATCTATATTTAGATAGATATGTGAATATACTAGTCCAGAACGTATAATTTTCCTGTGTTTCCAACTCCCAACAAATGAAGGTTGGTTACTGAATGGTCGCCACAAGAAAAAACGAGGACAATTTTGGATTTTTGAAAAGCCTGCTGTGGTAACTAGGTACAGCTACAAAAGAATGAATCAACCCTTCTGTCACCAATTATAGCAGAGACACTTAAAACTGAGTGAGGCATGTTCTAGCTGAGAGACATAATAAGCAGGGGGGAAAGGTGAAGAGCCCAGCCGTGCCAAACTAATGCTAACTGCCCATCCCAGGTCCCCAGCTGAACATACACCTATGTTTTCAGCTGGGTCACTTTTCAGAGAAGCCACAAATCAGAGGGTGGCGAGGACAATGCTATCAGAATGTAAATGGGACTCATCTGTGGATGAAAGCTTCCATCTGTCACAACAACAACAAACCCCCACAACTAAGGATATGCATGTGCTACACCAAAAAACCCCACAAGTTTTCCATCCAGGATAGATTGTGCCAATGCTCAGCATTTGCTTCCATGATTAACTTTTATTGACAGATTTGGGGCTTTGAGATACGCAGCAGAAAGAAAAGAGGGGTGGAAAGAGAGGGAGGGAGGGAGGCATGAGAGGAGAGAAGGAGTTTGCAGTCAGGAAGAAACAGAATACGGGGCCCAGGGAAAGCCACAGGAGGGGGTTGCATTACGTAACAGAGATCCCATTTGGACTATTGAGGTTTCTGAGCCTTCAGATGTCAGTGACTCAAGGTCTCCACCCTCTTCTCTCAAAGCAAGAGGTTTAAAACATGTTGCTGCTGCTGTTTTAATAAAAGCCAAGAGCCTTAAGCCAAACTCTGGGTTAGCCTTTGTTTTGTGTATTGCACAAACAGAATGCGCAGAGCCCTGCCCACAGCCCAAGCGGGCAACAGGAATCCTATAATCAGCAATGTCAACTTGACCCAAGATCTGTTTCTGTTTACTTAAATATTCTTAGCTGAAATTGTTGTGATGCCTAATGAAGACACACGCGCAAATCATTTTAGGCGGGCTTCGGTGGCCCTACTGTGGTGTAATTATGTCCGCTTAAGTTCTCGTTACCTATCTAGAACGGGGGTCAGTAGCATCCTTAGTAAAGAGACATGACAGCCAACGGAAAATTACACTGGGGATGTATTTGCCTCCTACGAACAAGAAGCTTCTTAAGCACAATGACTCCAGAGTGAAATATAACCCCTTCTCCCAGCTAGGTAACAAAAGGGTCACAACCCAGTCAGATGCTGTACCTCAGTGGGCTGTAAAATATTTTGATTAAAATGAAGACGAGGGGACCAGATGGTATCTATCCCGTACAGGCCACCCTGACCCTTTGCCCTTAAACAAAACTCGTTCCACCCTGCAATCTCTAAGCAGCTGAAGTTGCTGGTACTTACGACTGACAGGCGAAAGACATGCCAAAGATAGGAATGCAGCGAAAAATGCCCTCCCAGCGTGCGTAACTGACCCGCTGCAGCCACTGCCCGCCAAAGAGGCCGTGCTTGAAAGCGGAGAGCACGATCTGCAGCCAAGGAAAAGAAAAGAGAGGTTACAATCTAGACAACAGAGACGCCAAACCCAAACCAACGTCTGGCAAGCCAGATTGCAACAACCAGACGAGCGCCGTGAAAACGATTAAGGGGCCAGGGATCCCGTTTGGTTGCGAGTGTGAGCCTCCTTCCTGGGTGAGGCCTTGCGCTGTGTCCCATCTCCTTAGGCCTTGCCCTCCCCTCCCCACAAGGTGAGTGACCAAACTACAGTTCTCATAAGGTTCCACACATTAACAGTGTGCCACACATAGAAAGGGTTGCTTAGTAAATTAGTAATTGCTTAAGTCAAGTAAGAACTTAGAATACGAGGTTGAATGTATGTAAATATACCAAAATCTTGAGGGAGAATTTCCTGAAGAAAGAAATTAAATATTATAGCTTAATCTAAGAAGAAATGTAACATATGGACTTCGTTTATAAATTCGATTATAAATATATCAAAACCGTGAGAGAGAATTTACTGAAGAAGCCCAAGACTCTTCATGGGCGAAACAGGTGACAAACGCTGGCACTCTGTCTAACTCTTGTGCGTAGCATCACCGAACTCACCGTTTGATCCAACTTACCTTTGTGAATATCTACAGGAGCCTGGCTAAAGGAAGCTTTAAAGACTGAATCTTCCTTTTGGACACAATTTTAATAAGTTTTCTGTTTCTGGCTTCTGTAGTGGATCTTGTACATAGCTCTCTCAATTTTGGGATTATTAATATAAGATTTAGAACGTAGAATGGTTTTTTAGTGTTTTGTGTGCCACTTATGTGCTGCTTACTTTATACTGGTCTACTACACACAGAAAGGGTGGCAAGAGAACTGAGGCTTACTCTCCACCGATTCTGCCATCAAACGGATGCTTTGTACGCTACTCAAACTTTTCACTGACATCCCATCCCTTTCCCATATTCAGGACAAACTCCTGGCCTCACCTTCAAAGTTCTCTGAGGCTTTGTCCCATGGTATCTTTTGGATCCCCTTTCCTGCCCTACCCTTCTTGTAATCTTCAGCTCCTCCAGCTCTATCATCCTCAGCCTCCAAAACATCTTCTGCTCTCTAACACGACTCATCTATTCTCCTTAGCTGTCCCTCTCTGTGTGTGGAACTCCTTCGGAATGGTTCTTTTCTATAAGGGCTTTTGTTTAACCCCTTTAGTCCTCATTTCCAGTTCCAAATTTAAGTATGTACAATCTGTATTTGTCACATTTACCCCTTGTTATCCTGGCCTCTCTCTCTGCTTTGGTTGTCTTTCTTCACGGTTTCAGAAGGTAAACTCCATGAAGGCAGGGACCTCTCTCCGTATGTGTGTGAGATATATGTGTGTAAATAGAGATAAATACACACTCATGCATGCACACTTACGAAACTTTGTAAAGCACCATGTGAAGTAGCACTGGTGTATGCTAGGGGTCAGCAAACTTTTTCAGCAGGGGGCCGGTCCACTGTCCCTCAGACCTTGTGGTGGGCTGGACTATTTTTTTTGGGGGGGGGGAATAAATGTAAAAAACACCAGGCAGGCCCCACAAATAACCCAGAGATGCATTTTAAATAAAAGGACACATTCTGCTCATGTATAAAACATCAGGCAGGCCCCACAAATAACCCAGAGATGCATTTTAAATAAAAGGACACATTCTGCTCATGTAAAAACACCAGGCAGGCCCCACAAATAACCCAGAGATGCATTTTAAATAAAAGGACACATTCTGCTCATGTAAAAACACCAGGCAGGCCCCACAAATAACCCAGAGATGCATTTTAAATAAAAGGACACATTCTGCTCATGTAAAAACACCAGGCAGGCCCCACAAATAACCCAGAGATGCATTTTAAATAAAAGGACACATTCTGCTCATGTAAAAACACCAGGCAGGCCCCACAAATAACCCAGAGACGCATTTTAAATAAAAGGACACATTCTACTCATGCAAAAACATGGACCGTCCGCGGGCCAGATTTAGAAGGTGATTGGGCCAGATCCGGCCCCTGGGCCTTAGTTTGCCTACCCATGGTGTATGCATTATGTTCATTGCAACAGTTCAGGAATATTTTTGCATCTTTACATGAACATCACCAGCTTTTTTACATGCTACCAAGTATCCCAGGGGTGGGGGACCAGTGGCCTCCGGTTTGGCCAGTGGTTGAGAATGATGGAAGCTTGAGTCCAGCAACATCTAGAGGGCCACAAGCTCCCCACCTCGCCACCAAACTAGCCGCTTTCATTCAGCATCTTAAAGAGTTTGCACAACTTTATATGCTATTTCTAGAATGTGGCCTAAGAAGACATGTTTTTATCTCCCAAATAGAAGCACTGTGGCTGGAAAGTTTGTGGGGGGAAGTGAGAAAAACCTAGGACCGCCATTAGATGTGAGGTGGGTATAGAGGCCGAGGCAGAATGCTTGTTTCAGGAGAATTTGACAACTGGCTCAGGGCATGAGGGCCTGCCAAACCCTCAACAAGCGAACCCTGATAATATACACTCTGTGAGAGAAAGCGAGGAAATTAATCAAGGGATTCTTCTGCAATCTGTGTGGCCTAAGAGCCCATAGTGCACTGTGGTATATAAAATGTGCTGAATCGCTAGAAGCTGGGGACGTGGCATGATCTCCCTGGAAAAATGTGTAGCATTAAGTAGTATATAGAAGACACATTCCCAAGTCTGTGGCCACATAGGACAGCAAGCGGCCTCTCTGTTACGGGTAATGGTCGCCCTCTACCCAGCAGTGCCAGTAACATTAAATACAGAAAGCCTTTCAAATTGAAACCCCGAGCCTATGAGCTCCTGCCAACAGGCAGACCTGGCATCCATTTGAATGTCCTCCGAGAGCCCACCCACGAGGAAAGCTTGGGACACCGTGGAACTTGAAATTTGTATTGCGGTTTCCCTAAGATGAATTAACCACCAGCCACGGAGGAAAACAAAAGCCTCCCAGTCATTAATACTGACCACAAACATAAACACCGTGTAGAAGATCAGAGCCATGGCACTGAAGGACTGTATGGAAGCCATCATGTTCCTCTGGAGACTCAGCGGGAGCACGATGCAGAGGGAGATGATGAAGAGCAGGACAATCCGGAACCAGCCGCTCACCTGGAAGAGGAGGAAGAGTTGCAATGAGAACATCCAAATGATCTCTAGGGGAATGGGGCAGCTGCCCAGCAAATTATATATAAACCATGCATACATAAACACAACATATACACAAACAATATAAGACACAGCAAGACTGAATGCCTTCCCCACCCACAATACACCAAGATTAAGATTCACTCCGAAAGCAAAGGAAAGGCAAGGAAACGCCGGCTTGCTAGGAAAAGCCGCTTCCCACAGGGCGTTCTGTGATTAACTTACATAGTCACTTGGTGCCACTGTTGCTCTACGAAGCTCTTAGCGAGCCCCGTTTTAAAAGCGAAAGCTTGTTGGCTGTTTTAAATGGTAATCCGAACGCAACCTATTTGAATATCTTTTATGTACTTCCAGCAAATAAAATGAAAACTAACCTTGCTGCAGAAAGGGGAAGGGGGGGTGTGGAAATGAAGGAAGAGATGGAAGTATTGGAAATTCTGACCCAGAAAATTAACCGGCAGCTTTTTGGTATTTATTGTAGCGGGAGGTTTGGAAATGCCTAGAAATATTTAATACCTAATTTGGCTTTGCTTATGACGCATCTTTTAAACTTCTCGGCTCCTTAATCAGAGCTTAACTACATCAGGCCGGAGCAGATAAAAACCGTGCCAAAACACTACTGAATGTCCATTTAGCTTTTCTGGCCTGCCCCTGCCCCTAGGGATTGTTCTCTGGTCCCTATTTCCCCAAGGGGAATTCAACTGTTCCTCTGTTGAAAAGGCAAACAGCAGATATGCCATCAGTGCTTGCACTTTCTTGACCCGGTTTGCCAGGGAATTCACAATCCAGTTGTGTATCCCTTTTTGGAGCTTTGAGATTAACAAACCAACCGGGTACATCCTAAGGCTTATACTATAGCCCTGAAGTATTGTTCAGTTCTCCAAAGTGCTAGATCCTCCAGGTCTGCCACAGACTTCCCCTACGGTCCTTTAGCATTGCTATCTCCTGGTTTTTTGTTGACAGCATCAGTGTAACAGGTCCAGCTCTGCCTAGTCTTGCTTCACATCACTACCAAGTCAAAACACTTCACAAACAAGATGAGAAAATCAAAACAGTACAACAATGGGGATGGGTGGGTGCAAACACCTAAGTCCATTCTACTGGAGTCCATGGACTAATGCAATAAATGTTTCTGGATCTGAACATAAGTGTAGCTACTATATAAACAGAAAGAGATAGTCTTACTACTGAACTAAAGGAAACACGCAGGAAACCGAACACTTGCAGAATATCCATTTGGGGCTGACCCTTGGACTTATATGTGGGAGTTAAGTTTGCCTTGGATCAGGCTGTTATGGGACAAAGTGCTATGTGGCTTCAGCGCTTGCTACTAACTTTGAAAACAGCAGGCTGGAGAGATGCTTGGATGCATCACAACAATACTGTTCAGGCAGGACGCATTCAAAAGCAAAAACGTACGCAGAACAACAGGAAAGGGGAAATGTTCTGAATTGCTGGTGATAAGGTCAATATGAAGCAAGCTTACCTGGAGCCCGAACAACCGGGCAAAGAAGTTGGATCCCAAGTCTCCAATAACAACGTAGAAAGCGATGCAGGTTCCTAGCATCAGTCCAATCATACTGCAAGAGCACAAAAATGGGCAGGTCACTCCAAAGCAGAGTGTTCCCTTGGAATGCAGCCCTTATTACATGCCAGGTATGTGCTAACGGCTGCATTCCAGATGTGATCAGCACTCAAACACTGTGAACAGTAACATCATCCACTACTGATGCCCTAGACACCTTTGCTGTGAATTTCCCACCACCTCACTAAAAGGACAGCTTCAGGAGAAGCATTGATTCTGTATATCAGGTGCCTGAGCTTCATGCTCCTTAACGCAGGCAGTGAGCAAACACAAAACGACAGAAATATGGTTGACACCAACTTCTAATCCAAACGAAGACGTCCACATCTGCTATCACCAGAGGCGCAGTCTAAGAAAGGCAGCCTAGGGGGGAACTAGGCCTGTAAAGTGAAACAAGCAGCCGCTGAGACACGATGGGACTCCAGATGGGCCAAATTTATTAGTGAGCCATAATAGTGCCATGTTTCGGAATGCACTGACATTACTGCTAGCAGTCTACGTAGTAAAAACAGACCTACCTGCACATATAGCATGATCCTAATGGTGAGTATTGCTCTAAAGAACCCAAGAAAGTCACAGAGGATCTTACATGTAAGCCACATGGTCTAGAGCACATTGCCAAAGCTGCTTCCCTAACTTTTCATAAGCTCCAAATTAAACGCTTCCTAAATCCAGTCTCACGTGGCACATTTTGATTAGTAGTGCAGGTGAAGCCCGAACAGTCCCATTTCACACTTTGTGCATAATGGCAAACTTTTCTCCACCGGAAGAGAATGGAGAATTTGCAGGTCGACATTTCAAAAAGCATGCACGCTTTTCTTTTGTGCAGCTGCTTTCATGTCACGCAACTGTTTTACGAAATAATGTCAGGCTACGGGAAGGGCCATAGTGGAGGTGCGGGGCGTCGGCTTTATGAGACACTAATAAAGGAGACACCTTAGCAGCGATACAACTCGAGGAGGTTAAAGCCTCCAGGTGCAGGCATGTTAATTTAACTGCCTTTCCAGAGCCAGGAATGGAACCTCTACTTTGGGAATGTGCTTTAAAAGGAGCTATTATTCACTTACACACTTTCAGAGGGCGTGAGCGAGTGTAGCATCACACACAGTCGGGGACGCTAGAAGCCCCACTCTCCACAGAGTGGGCTGGGCTTCACCCCCTTCCTGAGGAGGTTGGGTGTTTTAATTAAGTGATCATCCTGGGAACCCATGCCCTGTTCCCTTTCTCAGCGGCACGGACCACTTCCCCTCCCATTTCCGATCGTATAACATCCCCACAGCAATTACAGAGATTGCTCACATAGAAAAGCAATGGCAAACGAAGCGCTGAGAATATTTTTAGTCACCTCTCAAAGCAGTTTAGCAGCTGGGAATAAGGAAGACAGCCAGGATCACATGACTGTCCAGCACGCCAACGGATTCCCACTTTGAGAACCTCCATCATAAAAAGCAACTTGGTGATGCCACTAGCGCTCAAATTACAGCCTGATCTATCTGCAGAGCCCCTCTTTTTACTGCGTTAGGGACACACGTCCACAGTTGCAGGAGAAGACAAGTCAGAAGGCTTCCCTAGGTTTCTCTTCCACAGCTTAAACTCTGGGGCAAACCAAGGCTAAAAATGTAGTGGAGCAACATCTATCTTTATAGGAGAAAAGTTTTGGTTAGATGCAGCAAAGACCTCTGAACAATGACAGCAGCATCGTGTCATTACTATTGTTAGCTAATTTGCTAATATGATCTAGTGACATCCTGGCTCTACCGAGGGGATACAATCACAGGCAGGATAAAAAGCCATGACTACTGAATAATGGACAAGTCTCTGCACAGACCAAAGCCGGAGAGTTGAGCAGCTCTCCCCTGTGTGAAAAGCCAAGTCATCGTATGTGATTCGTAATGGGGTGAGCAGCCCAACCCTCCTAACAAAGCAAATGGACCCCATCACCTCCAGCTTGAAAATGCTGGGACTGCAACACCAAGCCATTTACTCCAGCCACCTTAACTAATAAAATCTGCGGGAGTTGGAAGCAAAATTATAACGGATACTTCTAATTCTGTAGGGTCTCGCCCACAATAATGCGAGGAAACAGCTGTATACATACCATGTTGTTGTTGAAATGGCCAATTGCGTATTCAGATGGGTTTAAATTACTTTTACCCAACAGGAGCACTGCAGCGTTTTGTTCAAAGCTTAAAATGTACACAACACCCTCCCCACTTTTCTGCCTAAATAATTATGGCATTCATCCGGATCTTAAGCAATGAGTACCTATTGACGGAGAATCCAGAATTCTGGGAAGATGTTTGAGAAGAGAAATCTGTGCTTAGAAATGCCCATCCCAGGTAGAGTGGTGGGACATTTGTGGCCCTCCAGCTGTTGGGCTCCCGATTCCCACCAGCCTCAGCCAGCCTGGCCAATTTTCAGGGATGATGGGAATTGGAAGTTCAGCTAACATCTGGAGGGGAAGAGGATTCTTCACCCCTGCCCTACAGGTCGGACCAATATGAGCAAATACTGTCAAGTTCCCTAAGAGAGAGGCTGGAATTAGCCAAGAGAACCAGAAAAAAACCCAAAGGTCCAAAACAATAAATGGAACACCAGGTTTGAAGGGATCAGAACTTTTAATTTAAACTATATATAGATAATTTCAAAGACTGGAATTTTGAAGAGGGGAGTGGGGCAAAAAAGAAAGTTACCTGGTTTCCACAAGCATTTTCCCAAGTTTTCCATAGGCATGGAAGGCTAGAAAGAAAAGGGGGAGGAAAACACACACATCACCGTCACAATTATTCAAACATATGTTCAAAACGTGGCATTTTTTTTTAAAGGAACAACAGCCACCAGAGGCTATTCAAGAGGCAGGGCTTTGCTAGTTTTGTATTTCAGAGTTAGTTTTCTTCTACCCCACAGCCACTCTGGGACTGCCCCCCACCCCACGCCTTGGCATACCATTCACAAATCAGAAGCCACATAAAAACAAATTTGGGGGGAAGATTCAAAGCAGGTTCTTCCCTCCCTCCCCCCTCCACCCACAAAAAAAACTCAACAGCACTAAATAGGAGTTACACATGGCAACTATTAGAAGAAGAAAGTCGGAGCGGAAAAAGAAAATATGTGAGCATGAGAGACTGTGTGGCAAAAAGTTACTGCAGTGCAAAATTTCAATCAAGTCCCCATTTTTATTCCTTCCTTCTCCATTATGACTGAACCACTTTGTGCCGCTGACGGGAGGATTGAGATGGTGCCCAGAATGTGCAGCCACCCTGAGAATATCCATGATTCACAACCCACACCAAAGGGATTTGACCAAGAGATTTCTTTTTCATTTCATACACTGGTCACCGCTCGCAGCACAAAGCAACCGGCATCCTTGAAATCACCGTTCCTCTGGAAAGCTCAGCTTGTATTTTCAAAAGGCGTTTTACTATGGGGATAAGAGGGAAATTGCCACCTCCGGTTCTGAGGGAGAGAACCTTTTTTAACCTGGGCCTCTTACTAATGCCACACATTCATGTGAAATGTTTACAGAAGGCAACAGGGCTTTCAGCCCCTCGGCTCGCACAATGTGCATGTTTTCTTGGTGAAATCTGCACATACAAAAACAGCAAAGAAAAAAGAAAAATAAAAAAGAAAATAAAAAAGGATCAGCTGCCCAAGCGCAAGGACGTAATAAAATAAGGGATAAGGACAACAGAAAGGGGAATAAGGACAACAGAAAGGGCGTATCCTTCTCCAATGGAAGGCTCAAAGATAATGCCGCCTTAGAAATTGATTGATTGATTGATTGATTGATTGATTTTTAAAGCAGATTTTCAATTAAAATGGATCAATTAAACAACAGACTTGGGATCCATCTGTTGAGTCAAGCAACTGCGGAATGAAACTACCCCCTTCAGGCTCAAGATACCTCAGAGGTGGGGAAGGAGGGGGGAAATGATTCCCTCAAATTTCTTTCAAAAGCTCCCTTTGAAGCAAGCCCAACCTAGCTACAAGAGACAGGTTGCTTGGCTGGCTCCAACTACCTGGATCTAAGAGCAGGAAGTTTGGTTACCAAGGTATTCTCCTTTTTACTTTGGGCTGCTGTTAACTGCTCTAATTTCACAGCCCACATCCTCTGGCCAGGTCTGAGGAAAGTGCTTGCGATTTTTTCTTTTCTGCCTACAGAATCAGAGTTGGAAGGGACTCCAAGGATAATTTAGTTCAGCCCCCTGCAATGCAGGAATCTTATGTCCAACGTGGGGCTCGAACCCACAACCCTGAGATTAAGAGTCTTGTGCTCTACTGACTGAGCTACCCTTAAGAATCCCGGTAAGAAATTGTGCCCAACTACCGCCAAAGAACTGGCAGAGGCAGCCCACAATAGGAACTCTTGCTTGACGAGCATTAGAGAACAGGCCTTGAAACAATTGCAAAACACGGACTGAGGAATACTGGATCAAAATGCCGGCTCAGTCATTCACTCAGCAGAGGGTTTTGAAAAAGTCACGCTCACTCAGAGTTGGTCCAAGCACTATCTGAGCTGACCAATATATGGGGGGGGGGGGGAAATGCTTGCAAAAGCGGTCCATTTGCATGCTGAGTGCAGACATCCTTGGACAAGACTGCAGTGGCTACTTCTGTGAAAACAGGTTTCTTGTTTCCAGCACACCCCTTTTACAGAAGGAGCCACTGAGATCTTCCACAGGCACTGCTTACATGAGAAGGCCACTGGTGGGAGGAGTTATTTATAACTCACTTTCCCACCGGTATACGGGAATAAATGGCTTATTTTGCCGGGAAAAGAAAAATAGATACCTGGGCTTAAGCTTTAAGCAATAAAGCAGGCTGAAAATTTAAGTTTGCAAATGAATCCCATTCATCTATGCGCAGGCAGGACCATCAGCATTTCATATTTTAATCTGGCATGTCATCAGTGTCAGAAGACAACAGGTGTAAAAAGCGCCCCCCCATAGCAAAGCAAACCCAAACAGTAGGGGGTTGGGGGAGGTGGAGAATGAGTCAGTGGAAAAGCGGAGCGCTTTGTAAACAGAAGGATTCTGTCAAACACTGAACTTTTGTGCCCGTGTAGAAGGAAAAGTGACATTGAAGAGAACTGTCTTGCGATTTTGCATTAGGCCTCTTAGGTGGATTCTAGTTAATTAGGGTTAAAATTAAGGTGTGCACCTGGGAGCGAAGGGAAAGCTAGCGGAAAGCGAAATAACCTCATTACGTTATAATAGATGGTATATAACACCAGTAAAATTGGGTAAAATGTATAAAGTGTGTAATAAATGTTGGAAGTGTAAGGAGACAGAAGGAACATTTTACCATATGTGGTGGGAATGTAAGAAGGTAAAAAGCTTCTGGGAGATGATCTATAATGAGTTAAAGAAAATGTTGAAATATACTTTTGTTAAAAAACCAGAAGCTTTCTTAATGTGAATACTGGATAATGAAATTAGTAAAAAAGATGTGAAATTAGTTTTGTATGCAGTAACAGCAGCCAGAATTTTGCTGGCACAGAAATGGAAACAGGAAGAGATGCCCACGAAAGAAGAATGGAGGATGAAACTAATGGAATACGCAGAAATGGACAGATTGACGGGGAGAATTAGGAACCAACGTGACCAGAGATTCTCCGAGGACTGGAAGAAATTTACAGGGTATATCAAAAATTTCTGTGATGAGCAAATAACGTTTGTTGGCTTTCAAGAAGCTCTGTGAAATTACTGTTAGAAATATTGTTTAAAAAATATGATGTGTTTAAGAGTATCTGAGTGCAATATAATATTGGGAAATGTGAGACGAAGATTAAAAAAAAACCGGAAAATTATCAGACAAGCTGAGGGAAGTTCTGGAAAAAAGGGTTTAAATTAAAAATGGATGTATAACTTTGTAAAAATGTTTTTTTGATGGAAAATCTAATAAAAAATATTTTTTAAAAAAGAAATAACCTCATTACGTTATATATTATTGTTATGCAGTCCTTTAGAATACAAAGGACTTGACAATCCTTATTACACTCCTCCTCAATAAAAAGATCATTATTCTCACCTTACAAATGAGGAATGAAGGCTGAGACAAGTAACTTGCCCAAGGGCATTTAATAAATCCATTGCAGAGCCAGACTCTGGATTTGGGCCCTCTAGATCCAAGACCAGATATTCTCTCTACCAAATCAAACCAGCTCTCTAATTTATATAATGATATATACGGAAATGTTTCAAGACTGATATCAGTTCCTGTATGACTGAGGTATAGGCCTAAGATATTAAACTATCAGTGTCTTTGGGTGTTCTAAAATGAGGCAATGAGTAGATGTTTTAGATTTCCTATGTTGAGACAGATTATTAAACAGATATCAGATAAATTAAACCTATAAATATGTATTTATAAGTATGCAGCTAAACTGCAGTCAGGATCCAAATGGGAGATTCTCCACTTTCCACAGTGAGCATGTCAACCATTTATGAACAGCCAGTCCCTCTCTCTAGTCTAATTAAACAGATGAAAAATAAATAAATCTGGGTCTTGGCTGAAGGACAGGGCTCAAGTGATGGAATGCTTTTCCATAATTCCATATAAACTATTCCCTTCATGCAGAAAACTAGAACATCAGGGGTAAAGGTTCTAGCTAGCTCTATGCCAGTTTTCTACACAGAGGGAATTATTTTTCTGTATGGAATTCAGTCAGATGCGCTTGCAAGACAAACAAACTGACCTCAGCTTCCGTCTACCACAGGTCTCATCCATATCTGAATGTTTATGAAAATGAAACCAGAGCATTATAGTGCACACAACATTCTTACAGAGAACACGTGAGACCCAGTATACCTTCATAAACACTAAGTATGTAGACAAAATGGCTTTCAGCCAAGATCCTGTAGTAGTTAGAACAACAATCAAGTGTCCACCCAGGACCCTCCTTCAGGAGTTGGGATTACATCTCCTCTCTTAACTTTGCAAACTTTGCAGATATCCAAATTCTTGTGTAATGTCTCAGTAGCCCAACAACCAATAGAGAATAGCAGTGGATGAAATATTTTTACCTATAGTCTTGTGTATTTAAATATTTAACCCCGCCTAACTCAAAGGCATCAAGCAGATATTAGTGTATTTCCCAATTTATTACTACTACATAATATTGGGGTAGGAGTGTACCAGAATACGGAATACTACAGTCATGTATAGTATTATTCCCAATATGTAATAAAGCTTTTATATATACAGTGGTACCTCGGAAGTCGAACGGAATCCGTTCCAGAAGTCTGTTCGACTTCCAAAATGTTCGGAAACCAAGACGAGCCGCGTTGGACATTCGGGTTCCAAAAAACGTTCGCAAACTGGAACACTCACTTCTGGGTCTGCAGTGTTTGGGAGCCAAAACATTCGAGTTGCAAGGCACTCGTCAACCAAGGTATGACTGTGTGAGTGAGTGAGTGAGTGTGTGTGTGTGTGTGTGTGTGTATTGTTTGTAGACGCTTCAGAGCACACTTGAGAACAGTAAGCTTATTCATTATCAATACAAATTTAAAACAAGGTTTTAAATAAAATTGAAATATAAAGCAAATCCCTTTTGTGGAGGGGCAGCAGAGCCAAGAGCTGTCCTCCCAGCACCAGCATCCCTGAAGCCTACATAGATGGGGCACAACGAGACCAAGTGAGACCGTGCTTATGTCCTTTCCGTGGAATTACTTCTACCATCTACATCAAGAAAATAAACAATTCTGAGTGAAAAGCATTAGCTCCTTTGCTTTAAACGATCCTATCAAAGCCTGAGAAAAATTATAGCCACAAACAACAGTATATAATTTAAAAACAGCGACAACATTGCTGCTTCGTTTCTCAGAGACAAATGCTATTGATTTGCCGGACTTGACAGACATCTAGAGTTCCTCCGCCCACCCCGTCTCTCGCTCCCAAACAACATTTAGAGGTGTTTATTCCTATTGTTCCTCTGCCACTTTGGCTTTTGTAGCCAAGGCTTTGAATGCTCTTCCGGAAGACACTGCTTAGATTAAGTTGATTTGTAAAACTTTCCTGCGTCCCTCAAAGCTGCCAAAGCCTCCCACAGAATCGGCATGGGCTCTGCCAGGATCTCTTGCAGCTGGACCGGTGTAGAAGAAAGCCAGCGACAAAGGCTGCTGTGTGTAGCTGCTCAACCTTGATGCATTAGGATGACTGTGGCGGCGGTGGCCCAGCCTTCCCCGGGGCAGAGGATGCCTTTTTCCCAGGCACTCTCCCTTGCTCTGGGCTGATGGCATCTCTCCCAGGGCAAAGGCGGGCAGAAAAGGGAAGCCATTTCTTTCCGCAGCAATGTTTGTGTGCCAAAAAGTTTGGAAGCATTTACTAGCCCTTCTGTGTATCTAAGCTGCTTAGGTTTTTTGGTTGTTGTTTTTTTTTTGAAAGGGAAGGGAACCTCTTCTTCCTGGGAGACACTCCAAGGTGAAGAGGACTCTCTGTATTCAGGCAAAGTAGGAGGAGTGTACAAAGACTTATTGTAACCCAGAAGGGGGAAATCAAGGACTGCGGGCATCTGGCGAGAGGGAGAAAGAGCTATGTCTGACTCCCCGTTCCTTTCGCCTCCTTAACCCTACCCTGCCAAAAGAGAGATAGAGAGAGAGAGCAGTTATAATAAAGCATATCTTTTGTAGAAAGGCTTTAACCTTCAGGACTACACGAGTTTTCTAATTTCTGTTGTTACCAATAGACATATTTTGCAGTGGCTGTGCTGTGCAGCTAAATGAAGGAGCCTCAGGCAACAGAGGAACTGAGGGTATCCATCTGTCAACAGTCACTAAGGAGACTGCACATTTCTTTAAATCCTTTGCAGGCAGGGAGACCAGCCAATTCCCCACTCTGACTCCCCAAGAGGCAACTCAGGAAACGCAAGATGGGGTTATGGCTGTGGGAGGGCAGAAAACAACATGTCCTGCCATGAGAGTCTTTCACCTCTGGCACCCCGAGGGACAAATCCCACCTCTGCAAGAGGCAAACTTAGAATGGGGTATGGCAGAGTTTCTGTTCCTAGAGCAGCCGCTTTTAAGAAAGCCCAAGAGGGGCTATTCTACCCAGCTTTGTTTTCCAACAAGACGACACATACCAATCAGAAAGGCTTAAATCCTCAGCCTTCTTCGAGCATCTCCTCCCCCACCCAAATCCTTGGGAATCGGAGGAGAGGTCAAAAATAGATGGAGATCCTGGCGCCAAGGCACAGCAGACAAGCTATGAGGAAGAGGGCTGGCGGGCCTTGCCAGAAACCCACACATGAATCTTGCAGATGTTTCGGTTTTCTTGGCTGCTTAGAACTTTGTACACTGTTTCCCCTGACCTCCCCGTTGTGCTGCCGCAAGCACACGATCCAAGGAGCCCACAGTCCATGCCAGGCTTTCTACTGGCAGAACCCAATGTCCTCGGCAGCATGCTGGGCAGGGAAAGTGAGTGGTTTTTGGGAAGAGACCAATAACTTATTCCAGAGACACCCGTCATGCCAGCTCTCTCCCTTAAGAGCACACGTTTGCACCATTATCTTCCTGGATTGTGCAGTCAAAGCAGTTTGGCGTCATCTTCGAAGAGTTAAACGTTTCTGCTACCAGCTGCTATTACAGAAAGGAGGAGAGAAACAAGCCTACCCTGGAATACTGTGAATAATTCAGCTGCAATAGTATGAGTGCCGTAAATTAGGAAGATGGGAGTAAAAAGCAAGGCATAAAATCACCCTTGCCCCCAGCAGACCTTGCTCACCTAGTCCAGGATAGGTCCTGCGTTTGCTGAGATTGGCCGATTTCACTAGGAACATACAGGATTGATGAGTCATCCAGGAGCAGAAAATAAGCAGCAGAGCTCCCAGAAAGATGCCACACTAGAAAGGAGGAAATAAAAGCGCTGGGTGAATAATAAGCACTCTCCACCACCCCCTCCTCTCCACCCCCCCACCCTACAACTCTTATTTCATGCATTCTTATTGCTGTCCCATAGCACCTAGAGGCTGCCTGGGATGTTTGCAGCCACACACTAGTCTGTTAAGGGAGATCCCCTGCCTCTGAACAGCAGTCAGCCAAAATGTGACGTATGAGTTCAATTTTATTCACACACACAGTTTATGGCAGAAGACATAGAGCAGCCACCTGTTTACTAAATGGCTCGGTTGCAGCACCTCCTTGCCTGGAAAAGGAAACCAGAGCAATTTATGGAAGGGAACAAGACTACATGCCCTGCTGTTGTGACATTTTCTGGGCGTATTCCAGAACAGTGATCTGTCTCAAGCTCCTACCAGATTCATGTTAAACAAGTTAGCATGCTGTTGATCCAGGAGTTTGAACTCCTCTGCAGAGGTGTTACTGGCTGTACTACCCACTTACAGCGCAAACATAAATTACCCTGTTAGCTACCTGTCCCGGAAAGCATTGTGCTGGCTCCCTCTCTGGACGTATTTGTAGAGGAAGCAAGCGGAAGGAGCTCAGAGAAAGGAGGGGGAGAGAGAGGACATGAATGCCTGAGCATTTATTGAAAACAATGCATGACTCCGCAGGAACAAGTGGTGCTAAACTTTAATCACAGCTGCTATTTGTTCTGAGTTGTAGCTTTGGAGTTGCTGGCAACTGTGGGCATAACAAACCAATGTCCTGCTCTGAGAAGCCTTAAAACGTAAATAGCGGCAATGGGCTAATTTCTCTAGGGAAGGCTTATTGACATCAGTTGGCAGCTGTGAGGTTGGACCAACCAACAAGAACCCCAGAGCCTTCCAAAGGTCTCTCAAAAACACTGCCACAGGTCAATTGTTTTGTGTGTGTGTGTGTCCCCACAAAATAAAGGAAGTCATTGCCATTTCCAGGATTCAGTGGAAGCAGGTGAAACAGGATAAGCAAGCCCTTGTCTCCCAGGGCCTGCTGAAACAAAGGCTACACACAGACCTTTCTGGGCAGAAGTTATACTGGAGTTAGTATCCTACTACTGTGATTTTCCATCAGGTCATTCGTGCAACCAAGTACCACAATCTATTAGCAGCATCTGTTAACAAGCGCTGCCGTGCATTGGGAAAGCATCTGTGACCAGATGTTCATGTGCATAACCACATATCATTTGGTGGTAAGCACTTTTACAACCACAAAGACTTAATTACTACCAGCAGTTCCTAACTCCCGTTAAGTCCAGCACTGAAAAATCAACTATGCCTCCGTGTGTCCGATGACCGACACCTGCGTCTCTTTTACCAGCAGGGGCATCTGTCTATGTGGCTCAAAACAGACGCAAGCACTATGAAGTGCCACTAGCAACACCAGTCTTAAAAGTACAACTTCTGATACACCTTAGGAAGAAAAGGCCTGTGCCCCTTAAGGAGGAGATGTGGACACGCCTAACAGCTCTTCTACTACCCGTCTCGCCTTCCCCTATATATATTTTCTCTCTTCCTAAGGTCCTTAACGTATTGCAACATGGCCACAGTTCCTTACACAGTGGTGCATTTATTTCCTATGCACTTTTTGGCTGGTTTAAGATCTATTATATTGGCATCGCTTTTTAGGCTCATCAGACCCTGCTTACACTTGCACCTTTGCCTATTTCTACCTTGCTCATTCATTTTAATCTGAGGAATTTGTAGGTAAGAGTGGGAAATGGAATTGTAAGGGAGCTTTATTATTTCTAAATTGCAAAAAGTTCACAACAAAGCACAAGGTTTATTTAAAGTGTGTGGGGGGGGAAACCTACAGAAGGCTCTGGGATGGTTACATTATTAGAATGAAGGACTAAGTCACCTCTTGGGGCATTCAGACCATGATAATGCCAGAAGTTTTTATCTTTTCCTCCCCTGTAGGGAGAGAAACCCATGAATACAATGAATGTAAGAAGAAAGGCACAGACATTCATTGCAAAGAAGCATACTCTCAGGCTATCACTTGCCTTCAGACATTATATACAACATGTCGCATATTCACAGATACTGGGAATGTCAAAAATCTGGTAAACAGTCTATTTCTCAGTCAGTCCAGGGTTAAAGCCGAAGATGGCAGCTGCTATTTTCAACTGACAACTCAGCTGCTATTTTCTGATCAAAGAACCATGTTTATTATTTGACTAGTCAAATATTCCAGCAAGAGTACCCTGATGCAGATCTCTCTGCAAGAGAAAAATATAACGACATCATTGGTACCATCTGTTAACGGACCTACTTAAATGACTCAAGTGTTTTGCTTTGCTATATGCTAATGCCATCTGTTGGGAAAAAGATGGAACTAACCAACAGCTAAACATCTTGATTGATTGGAACCTTCTGATGCAAAGGTTTGGAGGGTTTGGAATCTCTTCCAAAAGTTACTTGAAAAAGTAATATCAGGTTATCAATTTGCTTAGCAGCTTAGGAAAGACATTCAGCAAGTTTAGTCTCTGGTCACAAAAAGCTTGTGTTCTAAAACTATGCATACTTACTTAGGAGCAAATCCCATTAAACTAAGTAGGACTTGCTTTCGAGTAAACACACAGAGGATGGTCTGATATTCTTCCATTTTTCTAAACATAACTTACTCTGTTCTATATTGTTCCATATCAAAATCTGACTTTATGTAGGGATCATGAATCATAAGCCAACAAGAGACTGCTGAAACTGCTAAGGATCTTTTTTTAAAAAAGCCTGTGGGTTCTTGTTAGCATATGCAGACTTCCAGACTTCACAAAAGAAAGGAATAACTTTCTTGCCATTCATAGCTTAACAAGTTAAAGGTAAAGGACTTCTGACAGTCTGTAAGTCCAGCAACAGGAGCTCACCCCAGCGCCACACACTTAACAAGTTAAGTTTGAATAAAATCCTATGTAGCTTCAGTATTAAATTGGGCGGGATTCACCTAATAAGTCACGGCAACTGAAGCCCTGTGCAAAGACTTTCACTCGATCAATATCGCTTCCCCCACCTTTGCACTCTCCACACAAAATTGGCTGCAGGGGGTCAGAACCATGACCAAACCAGTGCACTGTGTGGAGTAGTGAGAGGATTGTTCCTCCTGGCAAGCCAAAATGCTTGTCCTGATGGAACCAGGAGCGAGATGTCAAATTCCTCCTAATATTTTTCTGTTTTATTTCAGAATAGTTTTTAGCCTAATTGACATTCAAATAATTCTAGAAAAACAGATCAAATTAAATAAAATATATATCTGTTATTGTAAAACCTAATATTGCACAGGAGCCTGGGCAAAAATACAGATTTTAGCTTTGTACTAAGGCAGCCATGTCCAAAGTCCGCTTTGGGGGCCTAATCTGGTCCGCCGTTTAATCCTGCCCCTGTGACACCTTATTTCCTACAAAAACCTTAACTCTTTGAAAAAAGTTTGCACACCACTGTACTAAGGAGTGTCAAACGAATCAGTGCCTGGCATATCTCAGGGGTGGGGGTGGGGATTCCATAATTGGAACACCACCACAAGGAAGGCCCTATTCCATGTCATCATATCATGCATCACCCCCAAGGGTGGGACAGGAAGGGTCTCCCCCCCCCATCCCCAGATCTAAGGGCATGTTCTGTTCAGACACCAGGACCACAAGCCATCAAGGACTTTATAGGTCAATACCAGCACCTGAAATTCAGCCCAGAAACTCACAAGCAGCCAAGTTAAGATCTTTTAACACCAGTGATTCCAGCTGGTTGCCCTAGTCAAAATTCTCACTGCCACTGTCATGATCTGCACTTACTGAAGTTTCCAAACTGTCTTTAGGGCAGCTCCATCCTCTGCAGTACACTGTAAAGCTGACCATTTTATATTGCAGGTACAAAATCAAGCGACTTTGAGTGGAGAGCAAGATTGCAAGTTCAGAGAACAAAAATAGCTCCGAAAGTGCAATGGGAACACCACAGAAGATAAATAAAACATAACTTTAAGAACTGCTGTCTGAGCCTGCTTTTTTCCACCTCTCCTCCCAGCCCTTTTTCCTTGTGTGTCATGTCTTCTATACTGCAATGCGCTTTACTTATGGGCTGCCTTTGGAAGCATTTCGGAAGCTTCAATTAGTGCAGAATGTGGCTGCCTGACTGTTGTCAGGTTTGGGGCAAACAGTTCATATAACATCAGTTCTATTGCAGCTATACTGGTTGCCTGTACACTTCTGAGCCCAGTTCAGGACCTCAGTGTCTTCTGCAAAACCTCTCCCAATATGAAACCTACCTTGACCCTTAGATCTTATTCTCATACCCTTCTCTGTTGGAGGAACTGGACATGGAAGAAGGGGTTATTCATGAGCACAAATCACCCCATGTATGAGATAAGTCAACAGGTTCAAGGTCATCCAAGCCAGTTGCTATGGCAATGGCCCAGTGCCATCTATTTAAGTGAGCAGGACACATCAGCTCATGAGTCAGTCAGTGGGTCTGTTGTGTGTCAGGGTCAGTCTTAGAAGTGAGTTGGAATCTGTGTTACATCTTGAATTGCTGGAGCAACAGAAATACTTTATACTCGCATGTATCTGTAACTGTATTTGTATCTGCAAAGCCTACAGGCTGTATGTATATACCAGTGTCGGGAACTGCTTTACTGAAGCCTGATCTTCTGCAGCAGTAAACTATTTTGGATCTTAAGATGCCTCTGAATGGTGACTGGAACTGGGGGAAACTTCCACTATGTGGGTATCTCACCTCAGATTCCCAACATTCTCCAGGTCCCACCTCTGAGAGACTTTGGGATGATGATGACAAAGGATGGGGCCTTTTCAGTTGTGGCTCCCCATCTGTGGAACGCTCTTCCCAGCAAGGTCCACCATGCACCTTCACTGACATCTTTCCAATGCCCAAAAAAAACCTTAGCTCTCAAACCTAACTTTTGATAGACTGCAATAATATGGTCTGTATTAGTGTGCTGCCAAAGCTTCCTCTGGCTATTATTGTGTGTGTGTGTGTGTGTGTGTGTGTGTATGTGTGCGCGCGCATTTTAATGGTAGATGTTTTGTATGATTTTTCTTTTACTGGTACAATATATCTATGGGTGAAATTCAATGCACCACCAAGTGGGTGGAACAAAGTCCACTCATGCAACAGTACTTTCTCCCTTCTCCTCCCACCAGGCACTCCTTAAACCTGTTCTGGATTTTCCCACAGACCTCCAGATCAGATTTAGAAGATGTGGGCAAGGGAGAGAAGTCCTGTTCTGCAAGCAGACCACATTCCACACATGCAACAGCTTAGCTGAATCCCATTCTATGTTTATCACAGAATCACAGACTTGTACAGTTGGAAGGCACCACTAGGGTCATCTAGTTCAACCCCCTGCAATGCAGGAATCTTTCACCCAACGTGGCACTTGAACCCACAACCCTGAGATTAAGAGCCTCAGGCTCTACTGAGCCATTGGAGACTTCAGGATAACAAGCAACTAACAAGCCTAAATGGGGCAATAATTATCTAGCTGTCATATTTTATAAGCTGCTCTGAGGGCCTCTTTGGCTAAAGGACTGGGTAAAAATGCTCTGTATAAATAAATAGCTATCAAATAAAGCAAACACCACCCAAGGTTAATCTAATTCAGAAGCCAACCACCGATGGTTATTTGCCAACATGCTGCACGCCCTAGGTGGGTGGATCATCAGAAAGCTGGCCATTAAGAGATATTGGGATCAAAATAATACAGAAAGCTATGGGGAAGGTATCCAACTTCCAGAGAAAGAAGGTGAGATTATAGGTAGATCCCAAATATAAAACTCCATTCAAGGTTTTTCTTAAAGAAGTCTGGAAGTCATTTACAGAGGCATGATCAGACTGGATTCTGTGAACAAAACCTAAATGGACAAATTGTAGAACTCTTTGTGCTTGTAAAGAGAGATGCAGACCATTACCTTGCAAATGGCAGGTGTAAAACCTGAACAGCCAACACCAGCTGTGCCTTTCCAATTCAGAAACAGAACTTAGTCTTAACAGGAAAACTGAGCATTCAGCGTCTTAGGAACTCTGACAAAAGCTCGAGGGGAAGGGATCACTTCGATGCCACTGAGACTGTATACCACAATTACAGGCTGTTCTGAAAGTTCAGAGGATCTCAACCAATACGCCTTAGTTCTAGTTAGAACAACAGTGCTATACACCTGTGAATTGTGGTGTATGGAATCTCCCGGTTCAGAGGCAGTATTCCACTGAACACCAGTTGCCAGGGAACAACGAAAAGGAAAGGGACACTACCATTATGTCCTCCTTGTGTGCATCCCAAAGGCACCTAGTTGCCCATCGTGGGAAGCAGGATGCTAGAGAAGATGGACCTCTGGTCTAAGGCAGCATGACTCTTCTTATGTCTTTGTCTACTAGGACAATTTCTGTACCAAATTAGGAAGTTCACACCTGTATAATAATTCACATATACAATATACCCCCAAACCACGCAAAAGCTTTATTTAAAGAGTGCAAGGAGCAGAAGTTGGTTACAGTTGCATATGCAGTGCACATGCAACTGTGAGGCCGATTACTCTCACCAGTTAAAGGGTACAGTGTGGTATATAGGGATGGTGTCTCATCCAGGACTCAACAGGCAGAGCATGGAACTTATTACTGGGGGGGGGGGGGAGCCACAACCTGCCTATCAGACTGTCCAATGAGGAGGATTCAAACTCAAAAGTAACTGGAACAATAAGCAAAACAACAGCAGGCACAACCAATGCAGGCAATAAAAGATACAGAAGAATGAGTCCAGGAACTCAGGAAGACCTGATTGCCACTCCCACATGTAAGGCAGCAGCAAAGGTCCTAACCCTGCTACCCCAACTACCTGAGAGACAACCTCAACCCACATCCCTGAGACCTGGCAGGAGAAGGGGGAGATCAGAAACAAGGGCTACCATGCAGGGATGCAGGATGGCTTTAATAGGGAGTGGGTGAAGTGGCTTTCCTGCCACTCTTCAACACAGGAACTATTTGAACACCTATGTTCCACAATTCTGTGACATTTTTGCGCCTGCCAAACAAGTTATACATGTGCGGAAAAACTTCAGTACAATGTCCAACATTGCTTTACTCATGGACATGGTTCCAAGCGACTTACGGACACAATAGAAATACTAAACCCAATTGCAATAAACACAATCAATAAAAACTTAAACAAAATGCATCTATACAAATAAAAGATAGGTCTTAAAGATCCTGCCCCATTAAAAGAGGCCACAAATACCCCTTCAAATTAAGGGCCAAAAGTCCATGTGAGAAGGATTCTTTTTGTCTGGCACCAAAAAATAAAGATAGCACCAGGTGAGCCTCCATAGGGAAAGCATTCCATACATGGAGAGCCACCACTGCAAAGGTCCATCTGAAATACACAAGATAGACAAGGCAAGGGAACTATTATGCAAAAGTTAAAATAACTTTAGATTTGCCATGATGAGAAAAGCTCTCTCAGACATAGCTCTGCTAATAGTGAACTCATTTTGAGACTATCTTTAAGTAGGCAAAACAGCACCATCCACACACAAGAGGGAGAACTCAGAAGAACTGGGGAATGCCAATGATTGTAGAAGTACAAAAATATTTGTCAAAGAAAACCTAAGGGAGGGGAAACCCCATAATAACCCTATAAGGACTGAAGATACTCAGTGGGCAGAAAAACAGGAGGCGGGGGGGGGGGAGAGAGAGAGAGAGAAAGAGAGAGAGAGAAACAGAGACAGAAAGAGAAAACAACAACAAATAGAATGGAATACAGTATGAAGGTAGGCAGCACGTCTGGCTGGCACCCTGAACAGGAGGTCACCACACTGCAACATTTTGTTACATGTCTCATTTTGTATTCTTTCTGAAATCTTTATTGTGGGATAGATGTCTTGCAGATGAAGAATACAGTGGTACCTCGGGTTACATATGCTTCAGGTTACAGACTCCGCTAACCCAGAAATATTACCTCAGATTAAGAACTTTACTTCAGGATGAGAACAGAAATCGTGCTGTGGCGACGTGGCAGCAGCGGAAGGCCCCATTAGCTAAAGTGGTGCTTCAGGTTAAGAACAGTTTCAGGTTAAGAACGGACTTCTGGAACGAATTAAGTACTTAACCCGAGGTACCACTGTAACAGGATTTTTTATAAGCAAACTAAGAATAAATAGGCTAAACCACAAGTGTTGTCCTAAACAGTCTGCAAAGTACCCCTCTTGTGTCAGTACTCAGCAAGCGTTAACAAAACATGGTCACTCAGGCCATAAAACTTAACCTGCATGTTATAAACTACCTTCTACAATATAAACAACCATCAACAATACAGTACAGTATAAGGCAAACAACTGATCCGAACTCATCTAAAACTGGCTTTTCTCAACAATAAGTGCAAGCCTGTAACTATCAAGGCAAGCGAGAATAAGGGAAAAGATGAATGGGGATGCAAAGTTAGGTTCAGTTAGCAGAAAGCAATTTTTAAATGAAATTAGTAAGTAAAACGTGAGAACATAAGCAAAAAAGGTGGGGCAGAGTGATTAGCATAAAAGGAAGGAGGACAGAAAGTGAGTGCGAGGACTAAGTGAAAGAGCAACTTTCCCTCCTAGGCAACCAACAAAATCAGGTGAAGTCGCTTTGCTTGGTGTGGCAGCAGAACCACCTGTAGGATTCCCAGCTTTATTTCTGGCTGAGCTCTTCTGCCTTTCCGAGAGACTGACTGCAGACAGATATTCACAGGGCGCAGCTTTCCCCACAGAAGACAACCCCCTGAGCATCTGCCTGCCACGTGCAGATTCCTTGCCACGAGGACATTTGGGGAGGTTGGAGGAGGGAACTCCCTGAGCACGGGGGTGGGAGTGGGGTCGGGGATCAGAAAGACTGCCCCCAATCCCCATAGATCCATGATCAAGAATCCACTACAGTCAGTTAGGGGAAGCGGGGCAGAGAGAGCCAAAGGAGAAAAGGAGCAGAATTTGGCGCAAACCCGGGACTAACCTGTCGAAAGCAGAAGGGCATCGTTAGCACGCTGACCCCAACAATGCTGTTCACAATATTCATGATCAGGCCCCAGTTGGAACCAGAGGAAGGGGAGGAAGCCATGCTCGGTGGAGGGCAGGGAGGGAGAGGGACCGTTCTTGGAGGGTGGGCGGTGAGGACTGACAGCTCTGTTTCAACTCAAAGGGGGCGGGGTTGCCGGGGACAGACGTGGCGTGGGAAGAACCAAGGTGTGGAGGGTAGTGGGGGGGGGGAGGGAGGGACACTCCAGGGAGTCAAGTTCTTCCCCCTTCCTCTCCCCAGAACCCGGCTCCGGCTTCACGCGTCGCACACACTTCCTCGTTTCCCCTGCTCTGTTGGCGCTTCCGGGATGCAAAAGAAAGGGGGAGGGGGGAAAAGAATGCAAGAAACCACAGAGGGCGAGAGGCCTAGAGCGGCACAAACGAGGAAAGAGGGCAAAACTCCTTTTGAACCGCTCTGACCGGCCCCGGAGGATTGGTCGTGGACGGGGCGGGGCAAGAGGCCGGGGTTGCCATGGTAACCACCCCGCGTGACGCCGAGAATCTTGCTGTACGGCCGCGGTGGTTGGCTGCTTTCAGTGCCCCTCCGGAGCAGCCCGGCGTGGCCGTTCTCGTCGCGGGTCACTGGGATAAGTGTGTTGTCGCCGCCGCGGCGAACCAATGCGGCGCTGCTACGTCGCTGTGTGCAAGCGACACAAAAAGAACGACGCTCATATATACAGTATATATATAGAGAGAGAGAGAGAGAGAGATTATAGAATTGGGAGGGACCCCCGAGGATCATCCAGTCCGACCCCATTGCAAGGAAGGAATATGCAGTGGTCGAACCTGCAACCTTGGCATTATCAGCAGCTCGTGCAGTTGATAAAATGGACTCGAGGCCAAGGTGGCTTATTGTGCTTCAACGCACTTGCCACGAGGCCCTTCGTCGTCAAGGAGAAGACCTCTGCGCATGTGAAGAGCGCCTTGGCCTCATCACAAGTAGCTGCAGGCAGCCCCCTAAATACCTGCAAAGAGATGTCACTGAGGCTGTAGCATCCAAGGTAGCCCTAGGCTCTGTCTTTCCAGGGGAAAAAGCCACTTCTATCTACGGTCAGGCCCTCACATCACCACCGTCCAAATAATATGCGGTAGCAGAATGTACGGCAACCGTGGCATCTAGGGCAACAAAGACTCCTTGTGGTTCATTAAACACTGACAAATTTAGGATGGCATAAGCCTTCGCAGACTACACTCCACTTCAGCACAAAGTTTTTGCTGCAATATATTTGTTAGACTAAGTTGCCAGCCATAACACATTTTTGTTTTTGCTGCAACAGACTTAACACACAACTTCCCTTCTGGAAATGGAAAAATATTGGGAGGGGCATCCTTTACTTTCAACTGGACTGTAATACAGTAACTGGAATCAAATAATCTGGCTACCCTAAAATTCAGTGCTATAATGAGATGATACAGTGCTATGAGATGATACGGTAGTGTTTCAGCTTGCACAGTACATTATTCCAACTTTCCTCTGGAGAATTTAGAGCAGCATACAGAGTTCTCCCTGCACCCATTTTATTCTCATAACAATTGTGTGAAGTAGGTTGAACAGAAAGATGGCGACTGGTCTGAGGCCTCCCGGTTAGTTTCATGGGTGAATGGGGATTGAGCCTGGGTCTCACAAGATTCTAGTCTAGCCAGGTGTAGCCAATGTTAAACCCTCCAGATGTAGTGGACTTCAACTCCCACCAGTATGGTCAATGATCAGGGATGATGGGAGTTGTAATCCATAATGTCAGGGCGGAAGCAGTATGTTATCTAACCACTGTGCAACACTGGCTCTGAGCTGGCTTTGCGGTGAATCTATACCAGGGGTCAGCAACCTTTTCCAGCCATGGGCCGGTCCACCATCTCTCAGACCTTGTGTGGGGCCCGACTATATTTTGAAGAAAAAATAAATAAACAAATTCTTATGCCCCACAAATAACCCAGAGATGCATTTTAAATAAAAGGACACATTCTACTCATGTAAAAACACGCTGATTCCCGGACCGTCCATGGGCTGGATTGAGAAGGTGACTGGGCCGCATTCGGCCCACGGGCCTTATTTTGCCTACCCCTGATTTATATTGTCTCGCCCTCATCTGCTAAGAATTCCGACATTTGTGTGGGCCAGGGACCTCTCAGGCATTCTGTTGTGACAGATTTGCATTTAATGATTCTCTCGAGCAAGAAGGCAACATGTACAGTAGATGTTCTAACATATAGGTGGCCAATCTGTGACACTGACAGGACATGTGGCCCAGGCAGGAAGTGCTTGTGGCACTGCTGGATTAGAACAGGAGGAACTCTGCTCTGGGAATGGCACAGAATTAGGCCTCCATTATTGAGTGCTTCTGTCATAGGATTTCAATTACACAGAAGGCAAAGCCACACCAAGGCACAGGGAATGCAGGTGGGAAGGAGCTTCATAGGTTACACCAGTGTGGCAAAGTCTCACACTCTGGTAAACTTCTACAAAAGATTTACTGGTTCTGACCAGATGACACCATATGGCTGGGACAATCTTGTCAGATGGGCAGGTTATAAGAAATGTTGTCGTTGTTAAATTATTACTATATTATAGGCCTCAGCAAAGATGATCATGAATGCATCCCTCTACACCAGTCCTAAAGATATTTTATTGGAAATAAGCAGGGTGGCCGTGTGTCCTACTTTACAGAGAACAGCACTCTCTTTGGGAAGGCTGTCTAGTCCAAGTCTGATTTACCTATAAGGAACTGTAAAAATGAGAACATCAGCAGTTCTTAGTCAACAGACCAAATGGGCACACAAGACATCTTTCCCACCATGGCAAAATCTATTATACAGAAATTATATAATAGAAATTTCTAATTATAGAAATTTAAATATGCAAATTGATGTCTTCTTTTGTGGTGATACAGATTTCTTTTTCGGTAATGTGTAACTGACCACCCTCAAAGTAAGTCTAATTGATTTCAATTAATTTACTTTTAAGCAAGCATGCATATGATTGCAGCCTGAGCCTAGCCAGCTGAAAACAAAGCTAGATTCAACCTTCGTAAAATGCGGGTTGTTGTTGGCATGCGTCTGTCTCGGGAAACAATGAAGAGCATGCCTTCGGGATTGAAGTCAAACCGCTGTAGAGTTTCGGTGCCTGCTGTGGCTGTAGAGATTGATATGGGAGAGAGACATGTTTTGTTGCAACTGGGGCAGATGAAGGTGCCCGGTTGCGCTCATGCAGGTGTACCATGGCATTTCTTCTTTCTCCACTTCTCCCAGGAGTCATTGTTCCTCTGGTTGCTGCTGTGGATACACAACCTGTGTGTTCAGGTGCTGCTGTCATCTGCAAGGGATTCCTACACAGCGGGGTTAATGTTGCCTGCCTTCATGTCATGTTTCAAACATCTTTGTAATGCAGAATTGTTCTGGCAATGGGCCTGGTGCTTGAAGCCAGCTCTCACAGAGCACATCCTTGGGGATCATGCCATTTTCCATTCTGTGGCCATGACCAAGCCAGCGTAGTCGTCGCTGATCTAGGAGTGTGAACATGCTGGGAATGTGGGCTTGGGAGAGAGCATCTTTGTTTGAGACTCTGTCCTACAATGTGATGCCCAAAGCCTTCCTGATGCAGCGCATATGGAAGGCATTGAGATGTCGCTCCTGGCGGGGGGTACAAGTTGCCTACAACTCACTTCCATAAAGCAGCGTGCTCAACACACAATCTTGGTAGACCTTCATCTTGGTATTGGTTGTTAGCATCACATTCTCCCATACCCTTTTGGAGAGGCAAGCCATTGTCATAGTTACCTTGCCAATACCATATCCAGCTCAGCATTTGGTGAAGAAGTTGCTGGTTATGGTAGAGCCCAGGTAGACAAAATTGTCTACCAGCTCAAGAATGTGGTTATCAGTGCTGATGCGTGGAGTGTTGGCGACGTCCTGACCCAGCTGATGGTAAGACCGAACTCTCTGCAGGTTTGGGCAAAATGGTTAATGAGTCTCTGTAGAACTTCCCCATAGTGTTAATGCTGTGAGTCCTTCTGCCTTCTGCTCAACCTGATGTATAAGCGTAAATACAACCATATGTCACAAAGACATGACAGTCTCCAGTGACCTTTGGCCCCCACCCCCCAAAATCAAACCAGAGGTATACGTTGCCACCCCTGAAATCCCTTAGCACTTGGCAATGGGGTGTGCATAACCATATTTTGTGGAGATAAGGAAAATTGCACAGAGACAAGTATGCAAAGAAAACAAAGCAAGAATTATTTCCTTTTCCAGTTTCGTACTATAAGAGGGTTCCACCTTAAGGAATTTTGTATTGCTATCTAGTCCAAGTGCTTTGTCAGTAGCTGTCACCACTACGTTGACAGTATGGTCCACATGTGTGCCTCCTCCTTGATCTGGTGTGCTGCTGATTTAATGGGTTTTCCAGTGACAGCATGCCTAAAGTATGTTTGCATGTGCCAGATTGGCCACACGTGCTAGGCTACATCTAGGACCCTGCATGTGAAGAAAGGAAGCAGGGGAGGGCTATTGCATTTACTGTGTTCTTGACATGTGTTGCATAGGAGGACTGCGTGACTTGCCCAGCAGTACACAAATACCCCGGGACGCGGGTGGCGCTGTGGGTAAAACCTCAGCGCCTAGGGCTTGCCGATTGCATGGTCAGCGGTTCGAATCCCCGCGGCGGGGTGAGCTCCCATCGTTTGGTCCCAGCTCCTGCCCACCTAGCAGTTCGAAAGCACTCTTAAGTGCAAGTAGATAAATAGGGATCGCTTTCTAGCGGGAAGGTAAACAGCGTTTCTGTGTGCTGCGCTGGTGCCGGCTCGCCAGAGCAGCTTCGTCACGCTGGCCACGTGACCCAGAAGTGTCTCCGGACAGCGCTGGCCCCCGGCCTCTTAAGTGAGATGGGCGCACAACCCTAGAGTCGGACACGACTGGCCCGTACGGGCAGGGGTACCTTTACCTTTACTACACAAATACCCCAACTCAGGGGCTGCCTCTGTGGGTTGCCGTGCTCCCCCAGAGCTCCTCCACTACCAAGTCACTTCAAAAGGGAGGGCAGTTCCACAAAGAAAGCTTCTTCCTCCACTGAAGTGAATGGGGATATCTGCAGGTGCTCTGGATTGAGAGCAGAGGTTTAATACAGCTCTTCGCTAGAACCCATATGCAGATGCATAAGCCTGTGTAGTGTGCACATGCAACACACAATTATCTATAATTTAAAACATTCCTCTTTCCCTCCTCTGCTTGGCCTGTGATCTCAGAACCCCACCCTGAACTCCATTCTGTTTTTTTCACTTTATCTGTTTCCGACACATGCCAACAGCTGTTTGAAGTTGCCTCTTGTTCTCCACATCAACAAGGATTGTGTTCCGCCAGAGACTGACAGTGAGTGAGATTTTTATAAACTAGCCAGAATTTTCAAACACTAAAAGGGAGAGATGGGAGTTTGGCAATTGCAGGACTAGTCCTTTGCCTGCCCGCCTGCCTGAGCCTCCCTCCCTCCCCACTCTCCTATTTATATAACCCCCAAAGTCATAAAAATGACAACACATCCAATAGAAGGGGATGGATCTAATTTACCGCCAGCAGCCCTTATAAAACCGCAGATGGGCTGTAGCCTGGGACTTCTCAATTAGATTATATGCTAAAATGAAATTCCATGGATTCTGTCCCAGGCCTGATGGTTAGGGTTAAACCTGGAGTCCCAACTGACGGAGAATCACATGCAAGAGCCAGGGAGCTCTTAGCTCTGCTCAAGCCACCTTGTAATGAGGAGTCTCATAAGCGCATCCCCTCTATACCCCCCCAATACCTGAGTATTGTTTGGCATGGCAAAGGATGCTACAGAATCTGGCCTGCGTGGCACTGCACTTCATGTCCTTTTGTAACAGATGTGGGCAGGACGTTTGTATTCTGTTCTAAGAAACAGAATAAGAATTATGCAGTAAGGTACTCCACCTTCTATGCCAAGAATGGCACTTTTATAATTCTGCAAATTAGGCCAGTTTATACCACATTTGTGTAAGTTTCATAATTACTTCTGTCACTAGACATGGGGAAGGAACTATACCGGGGATGAAAACCTTCCCCTGCTGAGCTTTGGATCAGCTATCAAGCGTGTCTTCTCAGTCATGAGGACTGCCAACTTGCTTAAAAATTAAATTATATTCTCAGGAGGTGCATTCTGCACCCAACTCAAAATGATGTGCTTCTGGGGTGTTGCAGAGGAGACGCGGCTTTTGATTTGCCCATGTATCTGGATATCCAAGAAAATGGGAAGGACTTTATCTAGGGACATAGGGAAACTACCTTATTCCAAGGCAGACCATTGGTCCAGGTATTCTTCAACCTTTTTCTATGGTAGTGTACTTGCTTTGAATCCAAAAGGTCCCGGTTATCTAGTGTCTCCAGTTAAAAAGATCAGGGATCAGTTGATGGGAAGCACTCATCTGTCATGAATCCTGGAGAACGGTTGCCTGCCAGAAAATGAAATACTGAGGCTGGGCACACAAATAACCTTCCTATGCTCCTAAAATGTGCTGGACACTGAAATATGCCCGCTTGATCTGCTCCAGGTAGTGTGTAGACAGACTCTAACTCAGTTTTATGGATGCTGGACTTGCAGGGTAGCTTTTTCAGTTATGAGCCAGGTTGCTACAGCTGTTCTCTCCTACAGCTGCTGCTCCTCCTCCCAGAGTTGTCATCCACACCTTCGATTTGTCCATCAGGACTATATGCCGGGATCTAAGAGGACTTCCAAACTGTACAAGTTAACCTGCCTGCCTGCCCCATATGTAGAAGAACAAATGGCATGAAAAATCTCCAAGGCTATCCCCCAGTGTTTCTGCTTGTATTTGCACCTAGTTGCACCTGTTCTGCAAACAACATGAACATAACAGTCATTCAAGGACAGGCAAGAAAAAGCAACAAGGACATTGCTCACTTCTTCTGGAACACTAATGCACACATTCAAGTGCTCCCCCCCCCCTTTTAAATAGTCCTATCCAATGAGCCACTGCACTGCGACTACAGCTTTGAGGATCAATCACGCACGTATTGTTGCTGGCATGAGAGCTGGAATTGGGTCCCTGCAGTAGTCCAATTGCTGACACAGATACTAGGAGGATTGTCACCAGCCAGAATTTTTACTGGCCTCTCCAGAATTTTATGCTCTTGTCCTGTTGCCAGAACTGGGGGATGCAAAGTCAGGGATAAAAAAAGATCTCACCAAGGCATTATTGCCATTATGGTGCATACAAGTGCTGTTTTGGTACAGACTTCAGACAAAGTGTTGCTTGAGGGCAGTGGCTATACCTATGGGCCAAAGAAACATGCACATGCTAGAATACCTGTGTGTTACTGATAAAAATGTATGTACATTGTGCTGCCATATAAAGTGTCATGGTGCCTGTTACTGGGTGCATGTCTTAAGACTGTGTTTGGGTCTGTTGGTTTCCAGGCATCCCAGAGGAGAGCTAGTTTATCTCCTGCTCTATCTAGGGATTGGCAGAGCTTCCTCACAGGTAGTTCAGCATCTGTGGAGTTGCGGCCAGCCCAAGGTGAGGCAGGTGAGGTAGATGCAGAATCCCAGCTTCTGCTGCACAGGAGGGCAATCTTTGCACGAGCAATGAAAAATCCACATCACAAAGGAAAAGCATCCTGCATATTTTGTCCTTTTAAACAAGGATGCATTTTTTTTCTCATAGGAAGAGGAAGGAATCATGAGGGGCTATAGACTTGGCCTTTTTCAAACAAGTCAGCAGGGAAGATACTTAACAGATTTTTCTTTCTTTCTTTCTAGAAAGTTATTATCTCTGGTTCCTGGAGTGACTGTGGAAGAACATGAAGGTAAGTTTTCTTTGTTTTTGTTTTGGCAAATACCTCTTTTTTCATCCTTATTCCTCTGCTGGGGGATTCTGTGGTTGGATTTGTAGTAGCCGCGTACAGCAGCCTAAAGTTGTTACTCTTAATCCACGTTCTGGCCTCATCTTGCAAAGCGTTTTGGCTGTGTCTTGCTGTGGGACAATAATCGCTCAGAAACAGTTCGGATAGACATCATGGGCACACTTTGCCCAAGCACTGTTGCTGGAGGTAGTTATCTAATTAAGCTCACACTGTTGTGGAAATTCAGAAAACCTCTAGTTTCCTCACAACTTTTACCCCCGCTCTCCTGAAGAGGAATACCTTCCGCCTGCCACATCATGGCATATTCCAACCCCTAGGTAAAGGGGACCCCTGACCATTAGGTCAGGTGTGGCCGACTCTGGGGTTGCGGTGCTCATCTCGCTTTACTGGCCAAGGGAGCCAGCGTACAGCTTCTGGGTCACTTGGCCAGCATGACTAAGCCGCTTCTGGTGAACCAGAGCAGCGCACGGAAACGCCATTTACCTTCCCGCCAGAGCAGTACCTATTTATCTACTTGCACTTTGACGTGCTTTCAAACTGCTAGGTTGGCCGGAGCAGGGACCGAGCAACGGGCGCTCACCCTGTCGCGGGGATTTGAACCGCCGACCTTCTGATCGGCAAGTCCTAGGCTCTGTGGTTTAACCCACAGCGTCCCCCGCGTCCCCTAGGGCCTAGCCCAAAAGCCAAGGACACCAGCCTCCTAATGTTAATTTCAGATGTAACTGACAGCTCATTTGGGGGCACTGCCACACATAGGGGCTTGCATTTATTGCTCATTTTTAAAAAAAATGGAAGCTGTTATCCATGGGCAGGTCCCATGGCAGCACTAACACTGCAGGGGCCCTTGTAAGCAGCTGCAGCTACAGTAGTGGGAGCTGCGAGTTAAAGGACACTTTCATGTCGACTTTGTTAAGGCTGCAGTCCGATACTCATTACCTGGGACCATGGGCGTAGCCGGGCTGGGGGCCAGCTGTCCCCTCCCCATCAAAGTAAATAAATAAAAATACTAAAAGTAGACAGATTCAGACAGATTTTTCTGAGTGTTTGGGGTCTAAAAAGTAATTTGAAACAACTGCTGTTGAGACATTTCATTCTGAATCTGCTAGACGGAGCCAGACAGAGGATGATGACAGGTAGGAGTCATGCCCTACCGCCCAACATAAATCCTGGCTATGCCCATGCCAGGAACCAAGTCACACTGAACGTAGTTGGGCCTACTTCCGAGTAGGCATGTAGGATTTGCTCTGTATATGTGAGTTCCATTTGGTGTGCCGGCTTAAATGCCTCGAGCGCAGCCCAGAACACCTGGGTGCATGGCCGTAGCTGGGGGGGGGCAGGGAGGGGCAGCTGCCCCCCCATCAATAAAAATCAATAAAAATACATAGCTAACTGAGGTCTGCTCCCCCCACCAACAAAAGGCCTGCCCCCGCTAGCCAAAATCCTAGCAACACCCATGCCTGGGTGAACCTACAAAACTCAATTTCCCATGTGCATGTGCGGGCGGTGAAACCCGGAAGTAACCCTTTCCGGTACTTCTGGGTCGCCGCAGGACGTAACCTGAAAGGACGTAACATGAAGCGGACGTAACATGAGGTATGAGTGTACTCTGTCTGAGAGGTGACACAAGGAGAAGGGAGCCTTCGTCGTTCATTCTGTTCCATGACACTCGCCTCTGAGCAGTGTGAGACGCCAGAGGTTCCAGGCCCAATTCTCAGGGTTTGGTTTCCTTGGAATGAGGGGCAGTGGAGGCTGTGATATCTTTATGATACATGGTTCATTTACACACATGTGCAACCTGAGCCTAGAGTGGAGGGCTCGCTTTTCCCATAGCCACAGCCTTGGATTTCAACAGAAATAAAGCATGGCTGTCGCTCTCAGGGCATCCACCTGCTTCCAGCCCAGCTCACACACATCCTCTCTCGCTGTTGTCCTCTTCACTACCAGCCAGGTGATGGAGGGAGCCCACCTATTTGCCCTTTTGCCACAGAGCAACTTCCTTTCCTGTACTTAGGGGCCATTGTGGCCCTTGCCTGGCTAATTCAACAATGGGATCCTCAGTTAGATTTTTAACCTTTGCTGGGTCCAGGAATTAGAAGGGACCCAGCGGGCACCATACAGCCTAACTCATTGTAACTCACACCACTACTTTGCTCTTCGACAGATTTTAATAACAGGCAAGTGTCACTTTGTAGTGCGGCATGAATGGGTAAACTGCAGCTCTCCAGATGCTGCTGTACCACAACTCCCATCATCCCTGACCATTGGCCATGCTGGAAGGAATCCCACAACATCTGGAGGGCGACAGGCTCTCTCTCTTTCTGTTTCTGTGCCTGACCCATTCAAGCTTCTAAATTTGGCTGCTACTGTAAAACACGTTCATAAGCAATAATGCTTTTCACCTGGGCTCTCACTGCATCCACCCTTTCAGATCAAATCCACATGGACGAGCCTCCCCACCTTACGCTGAGAGCTTCTTAAACGTTCCTACATTCTACTTTAACTGTGCCTTCCGCTCAGCGGCAAATGGACAGCTCCAGAATGCAAAGAAGTATTTTGTTTGTGCCAACAAAGGAGATAGTGCGTCTCAGCCAGGACTCCCCAAAACTAGTTTCTCTGCTTTCTTTTCTCCCCCAGGCCATGAGAAAAATCCAGACGAAAGGTTTGTGTGCTCATGTACACACACACACACACACACACACAGTCACACTGTGTCAGATTAGCTCTGCATGAGCCAACTGCACACTCCCACTGGAACAAACTCCATGCCGCTTGTATAATTTGCAGCAATTGCGCTGGCTAACCACAAGAATTTGCTCTACAAAAGGTCTGCAAGGAGGTGGGCCATTTCTGCCTAATTCCCTCCAGGTGCCACTCAAATTCTTGCATCTCAAGATCAGCAGGTCCTGGATTCTTTTTTGCATACTTGTGAGTACACCCTCTCTTATAGTTCCAAACTTACAACACACCGGAGAGTGGAGAGACCACCCTCATTTGATGACAAAAAGATATAAATCCTTTGACCAACCTATACTATATTTTAAGTTACATGATTCTCTCCCCTCCCAAAATTGCTTGCCTTCTATATTCTTTAAAATCCTAGTGGATTTGCAATAGTTTTGTTACGCGACAACAACAATGACTTGTACACGTAAAGTGTGTTGCACTAGTGTTTTCCATAGTATTGTAGTTTATGTACTTTCATACATAAACTACAATACGCGGGTGGCGCTGTGGTCTAAACCACTGAGCCTCTTGGGCTTTGCAATCAGAAGGTCAGCAGTTTGAATCCCTGTGAAAGACTGAGCTCCCATTGCTCTGTCCCTGCTCCTGCCAACCTAGCAGTTCGAAAGCATGCCAGTGCAAGTAGATAAATAGGTACCTCTGCGGCATTTCCGTGCACTCTGGTTTCCGTCACAGTGTCCTGTTGCGCCAGAAGCAGTTTAGTCATGCTGGCCGTATTACCTGGAAAGCTGTCTGTGGACAAACGCCGACTCCCTCGGCCTGAAAGCGAGGTGAGCACCACAACCTCATAGTCGCCTTTGACTGGACTTAACTGTCCATGAGTCCTTTACCTTACTTTCACACACATGTCTGGAAACTATGACCCAATCAGAGTTACTAGCATTCAAATATGTGTGAACATGGATTATTAAATACACATGTACACACAAGTGTTTCTTTCACACAGCTGAGGGACACCACAACCATAGTACTGGTGACCATGCAATTGTTCTAGTTGCTGCTTAATGCTTATAGTTGTCATTAATGACAAGGCGAAACCTGGTGACATTCTGCAGTTTGGAACATTTTAATATGTTGGGACATAGTCTTGAGCTGAAATTTCGTACAATACCCTGCTATAATTCTTGCAAACAGTGCCTGGGAAAGCTTTCATTGCTTCTGTCCCCACGACAACATATATTGATTTGCCCATCAGCAGCAAGTAGGACCTCCCAGCTTTCCTTCCTTCCTCCTCCATTCCCAACAAATCGGATTAACAGAATTGACTACCAGGGCCAATTCACACTTTCCCCTTTTGAACTGGATTTAAACGGCTACTTGCAAAAGGGATTGCTTGCTGATAAGCAGCGCAGATGATCAATTAAAATTCCCTCTGTTGGAGCTAATGGGCTTCTTAAACTGTAAGTGCATGGAGTTGTCAAGCCCAGACCTTGAGAAAGCTTTAAAATGTGCTTTAAAAATTCACCTGGTATGGGCCTTACTATTACACACACAGCAGCTCCCATTACTGCAGCACTATCTGTTTTATGAGACTCTTAAGGGAACAGGAACCCACCCAGAGTCTGAATCTGGCAACTCTGCCAGAGCAGCATCGTGACACAGATTCAGAATAAATACAGTTGACACCTCTGTTGTGGCTTCCTAGCAAGGCTTTGTGCCTTCAGCAGCTAGAAGACAAATAAAATGAGTGGGGAAGCCTTTCTTCTTCATTGTGGTCTCCACCTGTTTGACTGCCTATTTTGCAGGTGCTGAAGGCCAGGAAAAAGGCAATCACCACTCTCTGAACATTAGAGGGTTAATTGGTTTTAAACCTGCTACCCAGGGTGCACTTAAAATATACTTCCCTTCCCTAGTTACCCCAACCTGCTTTCCAGATACTTCAGTTCCTTTTTGTTTTGAGCAACATACTGAGGTTTCTCTATTACTCTTGGACCAACAAGTAAGTAGAGCATGAGGATGGAGAGGAAATGAGCTGAACTGAAGCAACAAGCCCAAAGTGAGGTGCTTTTCCTCTCTGGGAGAGCACAGGGATGACATTTCTATTAGTGGCAAAGTTGTGTAATTATAGCAGCTGGAATGAATGGCTTTGCAGATTGAGATGGTAGTCACAGCTGGAGCAATCTTCTTGGGTTCTTTCACTCTTCTTGGTCTCCTCCAAAGAGCTGAACTTCTCTCAGAAAGCATGGGCCATTTTTTTTAAGACCGAGGGCCAAATTCCTTCATGAACGACCTACCTGGGGCCCATCTACCAGGGCCAGAGACAAAGAGAGGCCATGGAGCAAACTTTGTGCCGTAGGCCCTGCAAAAGAAAGAGGTTTCTGAGGTGTGTGCATCTCCTCATTGCTCAACCAAGCGAGCCAAAGGTAGGAGGACCACATTTCAAGAAAACATTTCAGCAAGGCAAAAGCATGTGAGAATGTGTAGTGTATGGTTACCAGATTTTTTTCAATGATTCCGGGGACACTTTTTTTTTTTAAGCTGAGTAGCAACAGGGAGTCAGTAGTGGAGATGGTGAGGCAAAAGACCCTGGGCCCAAGCATACATGCATATTGTATAAAGGTGCAAAGTCCTTCTTTCGAACCCCATGAAACATAAATGCACAGAGTTTTTAAAAAACTGGGCAATGGTCGCTCGCCCACGACTCCCAAGCCTCCCCCGATCAGTCAAAACAAAGGGGGAAGGGGGCAGGAGATAGCACACGACACATCATATGGGGACTTCCGGTAAGGAAAAATGGCGGGCGCCACGGCAGTGAGCAACTCCTGAAGCCAGCCAGAGCCAACTGCGCTACCAGACTGGTTCCGGGCTGCTGAGGCTGCCACTGCCACATTTCCCGGGAACAGATTTGCAAATCTGGGGACATTCTGAGGACGGAATCTGTCCGGGGAAAGATTTGCAAATCCAGGGACTGTCCCCGGGAACGTCTGGTAACCCTAGTCTAGTGACTATGTCACAAGGGATGACCATGACTGTGTCTATAGGAGTGGACAGAGTAGTCTGGAGGAGGGGTGTGTGGGTCACATATTTGGGGCCTGAGCCTCAGGTTGCCCACTGGTTGAAAATACAGGGTTTGTCTAGGTCCAGGCATGGCCAAACTTGGGTCTCCAGCTGTTTTGGGACTACAACTCCCATCATCCCTAGCTAACAGGACCAGTGGTCAGGGATGATGGGAATGGAAGTCCCAAGACAGCTGGAGGGCCAAATTTGGCCATGCCTGGTCTAGGCTGTACCTGAGCTTCTTAAGAACAAATATTAACATTTCTGGTCCTTGCTTACCCCATTTGTATGCCCGGGGGGGGGGGGAGTTCTAACCTGTATGTGTTTGTTTCCATTTTTCCCATGGTTACCAGATGATAGTAAAAAAGAAGAAAAAAGGGGGCCTAACCTGCTTTGTGTGCCTTTAATAGCCGCTTGATCTACTGAAGTGAGGAGCAGAAGCTTTTCACAGAGGGGCACTATAATCTGCTAGTGTCTGTGGATCAAGCTGCTGTTCAAGGCGCAGGAGCTAGTAAAACTGTTAGCAATTCTAATTAGCAAATAGGTGATTATGCTGTGTAGTTTTAATCTGCTTCTGCTCTTCAGAAGGGAGAAGAAACATGGTAGGTACTGAAGCTGCAGCTTCCAATCACTGCAAATACTGCTCTGCCTCCCTGTTCCCACCTCCATACCTGAGATTTCTCCAGGTATTTCCCACATACTTTCAAAGTTTGTGGGCAAACCCCCCCTTCCTTTCCACCCACCTCCCGCAAGGAAAGCAGAGATTCTTAGAAGGCTGAATGTTGTGACCTGCTTGGTGCGGTTGTAGGTTGTATACACAGCCCAGGAGGCTATCTGCAGCCGTACCTTTGTAATTCTGAGGGGTGGAAACTGCCTCTGTATGAATGAATTGTTAAATGGGCCCACTTTCTAGGTGTGATCACACAAAATGTGCCTTCAGACGATCACTATTTTGTTGGAGAGATTCATGCGCATCCACAGAATTTAGGTTTACTCAATTGAAGAGCATTGCAGTGCTTTGTAGGCCTGGCACAACAAACTTAAAAAAACCAAAAAACAAAACAAAACCCCACACCAATATGTTTTAGAGTTAGGGAAAGTGACAGAGACACACACTTTAAAAAGTGTGAGCTGAATAAACAGTCAGCAGCCAGACATATAAGCAGCCTGAAAGATGAATGCTCATTGTTTTATAACATTCCTGCAAACAGATCAGAATGCTCAGTAAAGACTGGGCATAGTCTAACCTCCGCATAATCAAACCAGGATACATGCTCAATAAACAGGCTGTCTGGAGGAGCCCTTGGTCATATGTAATACTGTATACTCTACTGCAGAATAGCCTAGGTTGGCATCTCCCAAGCCAGCCAGGGACTGTGGGGGACAACAGACAAAGTCCTTGGTGTCAAGCTCTTTTTGCCTTATTAGGGGCAGGTGCCAGTGTTTCTTGCATGAATAATTAAGCCTGCCTCATTCCTGATTGCTTTGCAATATTAAAAACTAATTGCCACCAACCTGATGAAATGTACTTTATTGATCAGAGTGGCTTGTGACTGCCATTATTCTGTGGCTTCCAACCACTGGCAGGAGGTGTCATTTGTCTTGATCACGGAGCGTATTGTGTAGCTTGAACCTGCTGAGAAGTGTACCCACTTGCCCAAATCTGCAATGAAAGAGGAGCCTCATCTCCCAGGGTTGGCCAATACTGGGAGGGTACAAAAAGCCCTCCTCTCTCTCCTACCTGCAAGAGAAAAATGGCCACCACAGGAAGCAACCAGCTCTGTCAGCCTGGGACTTGCCACCCTCCCCGGTGCATTGGAAATAAGATTGCCAGCTGATCCCCACTCCCAAGCAGGGTTCTTCTACTTCTTAACAGTCACATGATAGAAATTCAACATCAGAAGCTATCCACATCATGGTAATACAGCAGTGGGGCTTCTGCTCCTGTGACCCGCCCACCCTTTTATTGGGTGTTTTTCATACAGCTGTTAAATGCAATAAAGCCCTATTGTACACAAAATGTGGCAATGCTTCTGCCGGATCAAGTTGACTGAGAGGGACATTGTACCTGTGTGTGTTGTGGCTGCCTTTATGTGTCAGTGAAACAGAGGAGTCCCAGAAGTGTGGCACTGGCGGAAACTTTGAGATTTCATCCTTTAGCTTCAGTTAAGTTGTAGGCGCAGCTTCTCTAGGCTGCTCCTCCTCTGATCCTTTTGGGCATCTTCTTCCTGCCTGCCTGCTACCATAAGCAAGCAAGAGTGCCACAGAAAAGGTGGACTAGGTGTGAAGACCAAAGGAACAAGGAAGGAAGAGATGGAAGAACTGCATTTTTCTGGTTTGTTGGTTCAAGGAAAAAATTAGTATATAGAAAGGAGAATTCCTGGATGCCAAGATTCAAGTTTGGGGCAAGTACCCTTTACTGAGAGAACCCTAGCGGAGATTTAAAATCACAAAACATGCAGCAAAGTTAAGCATGTAAATATAGGTTGTTGGACTTTAAAATATGCCCCTGTGAATTCCAAAACTTCCCTCTTCCCCTAGCATAGAAAAAGACCATGTTTGCGAAGTTAAAAATGGTTTACTTACAAATTCTCCCAAGGTTCACGTTTTTCCATACAGCATTCAGAAAAGGTTGCATAAGCAGTAAAACCTGGCTTAGTTACAGTGGTGAAAGTTCCTAAATTACTGGTATGGGAACTCAAAAGTGGCTTGTGAGAGCCATGCGATCTGAACTGGAGCAACCAGCTCAAGCCTCTTTATATGCTGAGCTTATCAGGTTGACAGGAGGTTGAGCAATAGGCTTGCTTACCCATTTCCTCCCGAGGTAAGAGGAAGTGACCTTGCTAGGTCTGGCAGGACAGCTTGCTCTGTTATTAACCCCTTTGTGCATTAATTAGACTTAAGTATGTTGGTTAGTTTTAAAGCTAAAATGCAGTCTGGCAAACTTAGATTGACATTAATCAACCCACTACAGTGCCCAAGTCCTCCTTCAGACACGGGATGTGTGTGTTTTGCAGGCCTCTGGTGCTTTTAACACCTGCATGGAACTGGGTTATCTCAAGAACCCTTTGCTCCTATATCGGGGGCAAGGAACATTTTCTAAGGCCAGAGGCAAAAATATTGTTGGAGCAATATATGCAGCTCTTACCTTTGTACAGCAGGCTGCATTCTGGTCATACAAAAGCAAGACGTTTTCACATGCACATCTCTTCATCTTCCATCTAGGCAAGCAATTGTCCAAGAATACATCCCAGCCAGGCAAAAGCAGTTGATGATGGTGTGAAGCAAGGGATGTAGCCTGGGGAAAATCCTGAGGGGTCAATGGAGAGGCCTGGACAGCTGCATTTGCTCTCTAGGCCTAAGGTTCCCCACCCCCTGTATTATATGAACCTCACCGGGCATTAAGGTCAGCATCAGATGACATGTTTTCCATACGGTCATTGCAATACATCTGATAGATGATTTCAGGAGGCAGGGCCTTTTTGTTGCCAGCCCCAAAGTTATGGAATGTCTTCCCTATGGAGCTCTGCAAGCTTCCCATTATTTTTCCTTTTAGTCATTTTTAGCCATTGAACACTTTTAAAAACCCCAACAATTCTGCAGACTTTTAATTTTCAAATAATATCGCGCTTTTAGGAGTTTTAAGCTTGGCTGTTTTCAACTCGTTTGATTTATAAATGCTGCTATTTTAGTGTTGTGCATTATTTTTAATCAATTTTTTAAAAAAAAATTAATTCCCCTGCAAACTGTTTTAAATGCCTTTTTAGAAAAGCAGGATAAATAATAATGCAAAAAAATATTGTCGAACAAAAATTCCGCTTTTCTCTCCCGAATCTTTGCTTATCGCACAGCTGTTCAAGCCCTACTTGGGGCACTGCCAGAATCAGTCAGGCAGCTGGTCTCCTCCTCTTTCTGCTGCACCCTATGCCAGTTTACTGAGAAGTATATGCACCACCGTATTTAATGGGACTTACAGGTGTCCTAGGACTGAAACCTTAATCACTGCAGCCTTAATCATCCATTGCATTGACTGTGAGGGAGTTTTCCTAGCATCAGCAGGAACGTGAGAGTGAATGCTGTACCTGAAGCGTGGCCATACAGCACCTACAAGAGAGAAGAGGGTTCAGCTCTGCCCTCCTTTTTCCTGGGTCTCCTGCACTTTGTTAACAGGTGTACAGCAAGCAGAAATTCGGAGGAGTAAACAGAATTACTGAACAGGGCAATTCTACTACATGGAGAGTTCAGGGGAGCCAGGAGTAAAGTTCTTCCGAAGGGCAGTTGGATCAGTCTGGAGCCAAACAGGGCACAGAAAACTTGTGATCAGGTTGCTTTAATTGTTTTTACATTTCAAAGCAGATGCAGGGATCTGAAGTTTTGATCAGAGCATCAATGCACTGTGTGTGTGTGTTTAACCCTCCCCTCGAGCTCTTTTCCTCATCTAATGTGCTTATCTCAAACTGTACTGTATCTGCGATTCACACCCACTCACCCTGCCTACACAAAGTTAATGTCAACCTGGTGGTGGAGGAATTTAGATCAGGGAAGTGAGGGTGGAGTAAAAAATTAAAACGCACAAACTGCTGGGTGCTCAGATTCTGTTAGCAGAGCAGTTTTAAAGTTGTTGTTGTTTATTTAAATCAGGATCCCATCATGGATTTTCCACATCCCACCTATTTTGGTCCAGTACTCAAGTGTCTTTAGGAACCTCTTTGCATGCGGATGAGAAGAAGTTAAGCCTTATTTCTGTGGAGTTTGTTATATAGTGGAGACAGAGGCCATGTACCTTTTGCACAAAAGGGACGGGAGAACTTTTGCCATTCGTTTTGCTGCATTTGTCTCCCTGGCTCTCCCCCTTTTTCAATAGTTATTTTTGGCCATTGCCCACAGTGGATGCTTCAAAAGATAATGGCAGCCCAGCTGGCTCAGACCAGAGGACCGTGTGCCTCAGCACTGTTCCCAGTGGCCCATCAGAGGGACTCACAAGCAGGATGCGACTGGAATTGCACTTGCCCTCTTGTACTGCCCAGCATATTGCCTCTGATCCTGCAGGTCATATATAGTCATCACGACTGTGAGCCACTGATAAATAACCTTATACTCCATGAATTTGCCTAACTCAATTTAAAGGTGTCCCAAGTTGCAGGCCATCACTTCTTATAGTACATAGCTGTCAACGTTTCTCCAAACATTGCAGC